GCCGGCAGCTGGACTACTTGTTATTGTCAGATAACTCAATCAAACGGGAAATATGGTAGATTCCTGTTGTGCCCCAGGATGCAGAACAGACGCGGACGACATAAGGAATGATCCATCTACAGGATTCCCCAAGATCCGGAGCGCCGCAAACGTTGGATCATTGTAATAAAACGCGCTAGTGACCGGGTGAAAATGAAGCTGTGGGATCCCGAGAGTAAAGGTTTTCGCTTATGCAGCGATCGCTTCATATCAGGTACTTAAACCAACGTTTCCTCAACTGTGTGTGGTATTTATTTTAAATGCTTTTATTGTGATTCTTAGTGGGCTTCCTAAACTTATTTTGGCGTGGCTTTTTCTGTCTTATTACTCATAGCAGCAAGTAAACATCACGTAAAACGTTGCCTCGTGAGTTCTGCGTGCTGCCGTTTACGTGTTTTATGATCACAGCAATTAACCGGCTAAGCTGTATTTAATTTATAAGCAATGGTTGATCAATTGTCAGATCACACATAAAAAGCACTTTGGATCGCTATTATCTGTCTCACCGAGACTACTTACGTGTAAATCTGTTATTTGTCCGTCCATCCATTTTCATCCGCGTATCCGGAGTCGGGTTGCGGGGGCAGTAGCGTGACTTCCCTCTCCCCAGCCGCCGGAGCCAGCTCCTCCGGGTAAATCCCAAGGGGTTCCCCGGTCAGGTCCGGTGTTGTGCCGGTAAGAAGCCCGCTCCGACAGCTTCTGGCGTCGGAGCGGGCAGTAGAGTCGAGAGTCTCAGACCTTCTCCCCAGCTCCTCCGGCCGGGGGAATCCCAAGGGGTTCCCCCGGCCAGGTCCGGTGTTGTGCCGGTAAGAAGTCCGCTCCGACAGCTTCTGGTGTTTTTAAAAAGTATCCCAGGGGCACGGTAAGGGTCGGAGATGTTTAGTCTATTTAATTTCTGACTATATAAAACGATTTCTTCTGTTTTAAAGTGTGAAGTAAACTCCGACGAAGTAAAATCCAAGCGGATCCCGTTCATGTTCATGGTTACATCCGTGTTTGTTTACCTTTTTTGCATGCCAAAATGGCGTCCACTAACTGAGAGTCACGTGGGGTCCGGAGCTCTATTGAGTGTGGTGAGGGAATAATCCAGAGACGAGGAGAACCTGAGGTCGGACATCCAAGAGACGTAAAGTCACAAAAGTCCCAGGAAAAGGTACACGTAACAATGTTCACAAAAACCAAGCGCCAAGTACGAGGGCAGGAAACTACCAGTCAGCAACAATCATCCGGCGTCGAGTAGTGTCACTTTCTTCCTTAAGAAGCCAACCCGCTGATTAGCTGATCAGGTGCAGCTGCCGCTCCCTCTCCTGCAAGACACAACTCAGAGATCTCATGTAGAGAGATGAGTACTCACCCCCGGCTCATGACATTAGCAGCCCTTTTTATATTTGTTCTTTCAGATTTTCCCTCTTTTCCAATGCTTATCAAATATGCATTTGTCCTGGACTACTTTCACTTCACTCCAAACAGATTAGTCTTCTTTATCACATGTCATCTTATTGTTTTCTTAAATATATTTCTACTTTTATGACATGATTATGAAGCTCCTAACATACCTCAACTAGGTCTAAAGTCCCCATTTTATCTCGTTTAGTTGACCTGGTTATGAATGAATTCTATATTTTACTGTTTCCTGTTGTTATTGGATTGTTTGAGCCATTATTTTACTGAAGAAAGGAAGCAAACTTTGAGCCTTTTGTTTCTGATGCTTCTTCTAAGCTGGCACCCCAACACAGACATTAACGTACAAATGTGCACTGGTCCAATGGTGAAAACAGCCTTCCTGTGCATGAAGCTGTTTAGTCTGCCCCATGTGTGTTTTTCAGTCTGGGCTCTTTCTGTGGCTCTGGCTCAATAAATTTGTCTCAAGGCTGTTTCTCCTGCTTAATTTGAGTCTGGAGCACATTTCCATATCCGCAATGCCATCTTTCTCTTAGCCTACCTGCTTTGTTGGTATAAAAATACCTCCCAGTGCTGTGGGGTATAGAAACTATGGAAGGAGGTCGTGACAGAAGGCCGTTGTTTCCATTTAGGCAGGCTGAGTACAAGGGCACAAATGACAATATGATTTTAGTTTGATGTGACAGTGATAATAAACAATAGTGTTGTTTTATTATAGCCCGACTTAGCATGTCTAGACATACTCAGGCACTGGGGTTTGATATCACTTTTTATTGTTTTGTTTAAGAATCATTTTTAGTGTTTTGCTGACTTGGAGTTGGAAAAAGCAGGTTATGGTGAAGAATAGTGCTAATAATTTTAAAATACAGTTTTACTGTAATAAGTGGACCACTGGAGTGACGTTCCTGCCCTTTATGCAGAGCCCTAGGTGACCCTGGGCCTCGACCCACAGTGAGTCTAGAGGGTCAGCTTTAACAAGGGCTGTATTGATTCAGCGTTTGAGGAAAGGCGAGAGTCTGTTTTTGAGGTTTAAGATGAAGACAAGACAGCGGTGGATCTGCCTTTTGTCTTCGCGCTTAAGTCTCCATTCAGTCAAGAGGCGGGGGGTAACACCTGGTGGTCCGAATCCCATCAGACAGCAAGCTTTGACATTCAAAGTCATGATTTCCATTACCCGTGCCACAGTTTTCTATTCTGTGTTAGTATTTTCAGTCAGTCAGTTAAGAAAAGAGATGCTGCTTTGGTCTAGATTTAGATGTTTAGGCAAACATTTTAAAACATGTCTGTATGGAGATTTACTGCCCTTAAGATGTTTTAAACAAAGACAGCATGAAAAAAATAAAACCTGCCTTTGTTTCTAACCCAATTCACACACTTTCAAGAACGAGACGACCACCGAACACATTCATGGTTGTTTAGGCTCTTTCAGCTAAATAACTAAAACATGTTCCTGCTCTTTTGTGAGCCAAGAGCGTCTCATGTCTGCTGTCACACACGCGGGAGGTATGCTGAACATGCTTCTGTGTTTCATTCTCTGAGGTTGAGTTTGAGAGCATTCCTGCTTACTCCACTGTTTACATCTGACAGTTTTCATGGCTAAATCTTGGCCCAGGGGCCCAGGGAAGGGGACCCCTCACTGATCCCAAGGTATGTTATGGTTCAAAGGTTGAATCTGTGTCTTAGATATGGGTGCACCGATTGCAGCTTTTGGCCGATCACTGATCTTGAGAAAACCTGACTTGCCGATACCGATTTTGTCTTAACTAAAATCAGATTACGTCAATGTTTCAATTTCCTTTTATTGAGAAAACTAATATGAACATTCATCAAAGAATACCAGTTTCAACTGGACATGAGATAATGTTCTCAAATATAAAGGAACGTATAGCAATGCTGTTTGAACTACAAAATCATGCTTGTTCCTTTAGACTTTCATTTTTCTAATTTTGGAAACAAAACTTTTGTATTCGTTTTGACACACTTGTTCCAAAAAATGTTTCAATAACAATGATTTACTTTAACAATAAATAGGGGCGCACTGATTACAGTTTTTGGCCGATCTCTGATCTTGAAAAAATCCCTAGATTGGGGCCGATAGCTCGGTTCACCCCAGTCTCAGATCTGGTCTAGATGAGGTTGCTGCCCCCTAAAGCCCTTGTTGGTCTTGGACTACATTTTTCTGCTTGCAGTTGAGGCCTCGTGCATTAGCCTTATCATGTATTAGTACACAGCTCTTTGTACTTGATCTTGAATATTCAAAACACTTTGAAGGTGTGTTTCTCATTCACACACTCGTACAGCAACACTTTATACATATTTGCACATTTTCACTCAAAGACAAAAGAGCCAGTGGAGAATTTTGGAGGACACACTTCAACATGTAGAGCTCAAGATCCATCCCTCCATCTTTGGAGCTATGCAGTATGAACAGCCTGTTACTGAGATACAACACGTTTAGCTTTGATAAGACAAGACTCAAATGAATAAACCATTTTATCATCCTTTTAAAACCCAAAAAAGGTTGTGCACAGTGCTTGAGACTGTTTTGTGATGCGATGTTCTAGCATTTATAAATTAATTGAACCTTACAAACTTCTTAAAGTTGTTTTAAAAGCTTGAAATAATTAAACATTAAAGAGCCTGACTGTATCCATGCAACTGTGATGTTACTAGGGAGTCATAACTTGAGCTTGATATGATGAAGTATGATGTGATTTAAACAAAACAATGCTTGAACATTACATTAGTAGCATTCCCATCAAGACTTTTCGGCTCTGTTGGTCTTAGAAAGGAGTCGATGTGCTTCCTGCGTGTTTTAAGTGCTCAACGCGCTTCAAGTCTCAAAGAGCGGCGGTGGACGTGGTCCAGCTGTTGGAGCGCTGCTGGGATGGGAGGGTGTTCTTTGTCCTGTAACAATGTTTAGGTGGGTGTTACCTTTCAGAGAAATGAATACCACAACAGAAGGATCCCTAAATAAAAGCTTGGTTACTTTACCTGGCAACAACTTTAAAGTTGTTTCATTTAGTCTTGTGCTTATAACCTCTTGCCTCTGGAGCTCAAACGAGTACAAATAAGAAAAGAAAAACATGGAGCCCCAGTTGATTGCTTTTCATGGCGCTTTCCAGGATCTCCAATCTCAAGAACGCAGCTTTTTAGACCAGCTTTATTTTCCTGACCCACTCTTTCTACCCTCACATCTGAAAAAAGCTGTTTTCTCAGAGTATTAGCTGGCCTGCTTGCTTCTTACGCAAACACTTGATCAGGAAGCAACACAACCCCCCACTACCACTGGCCTGGTGCCACTGCATTGTCACCAGCTCAGTGTACTCTTTAGGAAAACACACAGCTTCTCAGATCAAGGCCATCAGCAGTAACTCTGTGAACACTTCACCTCAACAAACACCTCAGATATGTTTACGTTATTATTTAAAGTCAACACTTTTCTGAATCACCTAAACACCTTGGAGGAAAAATATCTACCGGTATATGTGTGCCTTCAAATAGCTCTTATATGATGTTTCTGTGTATTTGTGATTGATGGAGTGTGTTTATCTCCTCAGGTGTTCCAGGACTTGGGTGTGTCTGTGCTGTCTGGAGCGTCTGAAGGCTATAATGTGTGTCTGTTTGCTTATGGCCAAACAGGATCTGGAAAGACGTACACCATGATGGGAACACCGGTAAGGAGCCATGTAGTGCTGGAATCCCAACATGATGTTTGTTTATTTTTCACATGAATAAATATTACAGGATATCGTTTACATAAAAATGTTTCATATTGCCTCAAGTCTTCATGGTGCTTATCCTCTTTATTTCGTCAGGACTCCATTGGCTTGACTCCTCGTATTTGTCAGGTAAAACAGATTACATTTAATGGAAGTTCACACATTTATGATTATTTATAATTTGATTTTACCTTTCAGGGTCTCTTTCGTGCTGAAGACACTTTTAGTACTGGCCAAAACTCAAGCAGAGTGGAAATCAGGTGGGTGGTTGTGTTGCTTTGATATTTTACATTTATTCTGGTTAAACAAACAAGAAAATCTTGAGTAAAAAGGACTTTCTTACTCTCAGATCACCATTTAGTTTGTTAAAATGTTGTGTTTTTTTGCGTTTTTGCTTGCTGTTACTCACATGGAAAAACTATTAACATTTTATTCAAAGATAAAAACTTAAAGATCCTAAAATCCATGTGACCATTTTTACAAAAAACAAAGCCCTTTGTTCTCATACATCACAACTCGGGATGTTCCGATACGACTTATTTCACTTCCAATACGATACCGATGTTGCAGCTTTCAGTATTGACCGATACTGATATCAGTCTGAAGTATCAGCACAAATCAAACATACTTTTACCTACTTCATAGTGTGGAATATATAAAAGGTTTGATCAAGTGATTTTACTGAAACAAAAACAAAAACCAGCTTCAGTTAGTATAAAAAACATTTGGTTGTATAAATGTGAACAGCTGAGGTTAGGGACATAAGGAAAAAACAGAATATTGTTCACTGACAAACTGCTACAAGTTGAGTGTCTAAAGTTTCTATTTCACACGCTGATAAAATCCTCATGCAATGTTTTGTGATCTTGCTTCAAATGCACGATGGGGTTGGATGTATTACCCCTCCCCCGGTTCTGTTCCACCACAGGAAACTTTTGCACGACAAGTGTTGCACTGAGCCAAAATGTCTTTTTCGGACTTTAACGGAAAATACAGCCACATGGCCGATATTGTTCCTTGCTGCTTTGCTAGCACACACTGTTCTGATCATGTGGACTTTGCATGCTGGATCTGTGTGCTGCTGGATAGAACTGCTGATATTGGAGATTTTTGATGCAGTCCGATATAATCCAATACAGTGTTTTTGATATCTATATTGGAACGGGACATCCCTAATCACAATGGTCCCATTAGTTTCTACTTTTACTTTTCCAAAATACCAGAAATTCATTGAAAATTTTAAATGTTAACAGATGAATTTTCATATAATTTTCATATGGGCTGCATGGTGGTGCAGTGGCTAGCACTGTTGCCTCGCAGCACGAAGGTTGCAGGTTCGAAACTCGGCTGCGGCCTTTCTGCGTGGAGTTGCGTGTTCTCCCCATGCATGCGTGGGTTTCCTCCGGGTACTCCGGTTTCCCCCACAGACCACAACATGCCCTATAGGTTATAAATTGTAAGTCGCTTTGGATAAAAGTGTCTGCTAAATTAATAAACATAAACATATAACTGCTAGGCTTGTATCTAGACCTGCAGAAAGCATCTCATTAATTCAACAAATAAAATCCAGAATTAATAATCCACGTTGAAGTTTAACTTCCGGGTGTTCTCTTGTCTTGCAGCTTCTTGGAGATTTATAACGAGCGTGTGAGAGACCTGCTCAAGAAAGGAGAGCAGAAAAACCGAGTTTCCTTAAGAATCAGAGAACATCCTGAGAAAGGTCCCTACGTACAAGGTGAGCCATATCTAACTACACCTTAACCTGTGGAGTGGTTCCCTTCCTGTAGCTTAACAGCAGATTTCAGCAGATGTTAGATTTAGATTATATAATCCCAAAACAGAGTTTTCTTTTTATTCTTGCAGCAAAACTCCGACACACTGAATAAACCTTTGGTGAAAAATTGGTAGAATAGTCATTTATCATTTTAAGTAGACGTCTTCAGCCTTTAAATTAATCTTTTATAAATAATGAATTTTCTGGGAATTAAATATATATTTTTTTACCCGCCATGATCTGGTGAAATGACTACCCGTTACTTCTTTATAAATGCATTTCATAATTAAATACGTAGCGTAAACTGTAGTATTATGAGTAATGCTCGTGCCTGGTAAGTTTGGTTTATGAAGCCAGTTTTTCTTAGCCTAGTGAACTAGACCAAATTCTTGCTTTGCAAAGTATGTAGTCTGGCTTGCCAGGCTAAGTTTTTCTCCCTCCAACTCTGCATCCCTTTTTCTCTCCCCCCTTTTTCCTCCTCAACCATCCAAGTTTCTGTGTTTAAATCCCAACATCCACTCATTGTCCGTGTCTGGAGAAATCCCAGCTGTCCAGAGGAAGTGAAGTCATTTCCTTTCTGTTCTAAGCAGAGCCTTTTAACACACACACACACACACACACACACACACACACACACACACACACACACACACACACACACACACACACACACACACACACACGCACGCACACAATCAAGAAGTCTCTATGGTAAAACACGTGTGCTCATGCTCATCAGCACACATGTTTTACTGCTTTAAAACTCGCTCTGGTTCAAGAATGGAAGTTAAAGAGCATCTGAAGGAAAGTTAGTCATCACCACAAAGGAAATGCTGATAAAAAACGCTTCCTGTTTTTTGCCTTTTCTCTTCAAATGTTTAGGCTGACAAACAATCTTAATGAAAAGGTAATGTTGTCATACATCTGTTATTTGTATTGGGTGTGTGTGGTTGCACACATCCCTGAAATATAAATATAAGCACGTTTCTTTAGTGCTTTTTGAGCTTCATTTCTTTCATTTGCTTTTTATTTACCAAAGAAAAATAAATTATCTGGTGTATCATGGGTAATTACACGTCTGTGATCACTGATACAGCGAGTTTTCCTAGTTAGGAAATAATTTCCACATTAAGCCTGTTAATAAGGTCAGAAGTTGCTTTCAGGCCACATCTCTGTTTTTTTTGTAATTATTTTAGATTTTAACAGTGATTTTTCTACTCAGAGCTTTCTCAGCATGTGGTCTCAGACAGCAAACAGGCCATGGAGCTTCTAGAGGAAGGAATTGCTAACCGGATGACGGCAGCGACCCACAACCACGGCGCCAGTAGTAGATCCCACGCCATCTTTACCATCCAGTACACACAGGTCCTCTTCTCTCTCTCTGTCTCTCTGACTTCATCAAGTCAAGCTATAATAGTTTGGCCAGTAACTGGTATTCATTTTTATACATGATGACAGTTTGTAGAATGATTACAGGTTAAAGGTCTTTTTTCAGTTTTATTAGATTTCTGCACAGTGACTCTTGTTTTCTCTACAGGCAGTCCTAGAAAATAACCTTCCTTCAGAAACTGTCAGCAAGATTAACCTGGTGGACTTAGCTGGGAGGTACGATTCTATCTTCTTTTTTCTCATAAAGTCACCACACAAAGTGCCCCCTGGTGGATATTGACTGCTGTCCTCAGGTTTTCTGAATCAATATAAAAGGAGGCTCATATATTGTTATCTCACAGTGAGAGAGCAGATCCCAACTACTGCAGGGACAGACTGACAGAAGGCTCCAACATCAACAAGTCACTGGTTACCTTGGGAATTGTCATTTCAGCTCTCGGTAAAAAACAAAGTTACCGTTTGACCGTTTAAGTTCGGAAAATCAGAATCATTTTTTCCCAGACGTATGTTTCTTCCCCACAGCCCAGAACTCCCAGATGTCCAGCAGCTGTCAGAGTATCAACAGTGTGGCCTCCGAGGGTGACGGGAGCACGTTGGGAAGCCACAGCAGCTCCCTGTCAGGAGGAGGAGGCGGCGGGCGAAGGCACTGCTTCATTCCTTACAGAGATTCGGTTCTGACCTGGCTGTTGAAGGACAGTCTGGGTGGAAACTCCAAAACCATCATGATTGCAAGTGAGCGCCACTTATTTAAACTACCGTATCCATTCATGTCCATGGACGCTCATATGTGTGTGTCCTTGTGTTTCAGCGGTTTCCCCCTCTGCTCACAGCTACAACGAGACCCTAAGCACCCTGCGCTACGCCGCTCATGCCAGAAACATTGTCAACAGGCCTCGGGTTAACGAGGTCAGAGGTCGTTTAGGGTTAAACGCTGTGTTCTTTTGTTGGATCGAAGTGTTTTCTGTGGGTCGACACACACTTTGGTTTCTCTGCAGGATGCAAACGTTCGTCTCATCAGAGAACTGAGAGAAGAGATTGACAGACTGAAGAGCATGCTGCTCGGCTTTGAAATGGTACGGCGACCTTTTACTAGCACTAACTCTCGTAGGGAAGCACTCCACCGAGTTCACATCCCTCACAAAGAATGGTGTTTTCTCTATCAAAGCCTTAATGCAGCACTTTATTTGAGGGCGACATTTCTAGAGCCCTCTAAGGTAAACACTGGGTAGTGTTTTGATGTGTGTGACATTTTCTCTTTGTGCTGTCTGATGACTGATCATTTTTCCTCCATGAACTTGCAGCAGCGTAACCTCAGTCCGTCCCTGAGTGATGAGAGGGACGGAAGTCTTTCTGAAATCGTGCTACAGAACGAATTAAAGGTAAAACAGCCCCAACATGCTTACATACGCATCTGGTTTTAGTGATCGCCACCCTGAACGCGTCTGCTTGATGACATAATGTCGTTTGTTGCAGGTGGAACAGCTGACGAAGGACTGGTCAGACAGCTGGAGAGACAAGAAGGAGCTGCTAGAGCAGTATAGTGTGGACATCAACAGAGACCAGGCTGGTTTCCTCGTCAGTTCGCTTCAGCCACACCTGGTTTCTCTGGACAGAGACGTTCTCAGCACTGGGGTCGTCTTTTATCACCTCAGGGTACGACAATCAAATAGAAGAACTATATATGTTTTTTTAACAATTTATTACAACACATGTTCTATATTTCTTTTTAAACATTATAAAACTAAAAATTTGTTCATGGGAAGCAAAATGTCACTAATATAGTTTTGCTCCACTTTTCCAAAAGCTATGATTTCTGTTTTTGTCAGCTGTCCTGACTCAAACCTTCTCCTCACACTAGCATTTCTCTCTGTTCGGGTAAGAAATGACTAAGGGTGGTTTCGTTTGTCTTCTCTTCCCACTGTCCTGTCAGTTCCCCCTCTGTGTGTGTCAGTGTGTGTTTTCTGAAGTGTATGAAGCTTGGATAGATAGCAGGCTGTTTGTTTTGAGGCTGGGATTCGGGAAGCTTAAACTGTCCTGATTCTGACAATGACAAGTGTAGCTTCAGGCCTGGGGCCTCATTTATCAGGCTTGCTTACGCACAAAACGGGGTCGGAAAACTGCGTAAGCAACTTTCCACGCAAACTTTGGGATTTATGAAAGAAAGTTTAGAGGAAAAATGTGTGCAACTTTAAGTTGACCAAGAACCTGGCTTACGCACATTTTGGACATGGAGAGCACCTGCAGTGCTGCTGCTGAGAAGGATAAAAGGATGAAATCCTGCAGCATTATCACTTGTACTGCTTCGTTTTCACACAGAACAAGACCCCCCAGACGCACACACGCATGTGCGCGCGCGCACACACACACACACACACACACACACACACACACACACACACACACAGCCTGAAGCGCAGAATACGGAATGCAGAAAATCAGCGGGGGGACAGATTGAGACAGAATGTCATGCGTCTGTGACAGTGTGTGTGTCCTGTCACCGTGACCCGATTGATCATGCGCCCTGGCTACCTGAACAAGGGAGATCTCCGTTTGGCTGACTGGTTAGCACGTGTGACTTTCACCCAGGAGTCTGGGGATCAAATCCCGATTGGACCACTTTTTTTATATCCGCCACAGATCTCTCTGAGGAACTCAGCATTGATGGCTTCAGCAACGCTGTGCCACTCTGTGGATTTTCTCTTATTTGTTTTGCAAAAGTACTTCCTTTCATTTCTCCACCTCACCCACAAGTACCTCAATTTCTGCTTGTGAAATAGCGCTTCCTTGATCTGCGGTCGTGATCGAAATGCTGCAACAAGCCGGCTTATGTATATGCATGAGATCCACAAGGAACTTTGCCTTGACCATTCGTGGCAGAAAGTGGGCGTGGTGAGGGCGGGATGTGACTAAAAAGCAGCTGAGAACATTTGTAGATAGTTTCTGATTTATGAAGCGGAGATTGCGTGCAGCTGTGCGTACTCCAAGTTTGATAGATCACAAATCTACTTGGCGTAAGTACATTTTTTTGCTGAGCTGAAGTACGATTTTAGTAAATATTCTACACAATGTTTGATAAATGAGACCCCTGATGACTATGCTAGTTCCTCCACTGGGAGAGCTGCGTCCACGTGGGAACGCGTGTGGTCCTGACATCATCAAAAGGAGGTTTTAATTCCTTTAATTCAGAAAAATAAATACAACTATTCATCTTTTGTCTGTGAGGGTAGCTGTAGATTAGAACACCTCCAGGACATTGGGGCGTGCAGGTCACAGCTGACCAGTCTCACCCTCGACAGTCTTTTTGACTTGCTACCATCTGGCAGGAAGCTCCGACCCATTCGGACCAGAACCTCTCGCCACAAGAACAGTTTCTTCTCTTCTTCATTTCCCCTCTTCCCCTCTACATTTAGTTTCAGTTTTTAAGCATTTTTATGTTGTGTATTGTTTTTAATATATTTTAATTTCTGTGAAGCGCTTTGGTCAGTTTTACACTGTTGTAAGGTGCTGTACAAAAAAATTGGCTTGGCTTTATCAGTACTTACACTTTCTAGCATATATTAGCCATTTCCTTAATTATAACCTCTCTATATTATTATTTTATTGTGCTTATTTCTTATTTTTTGCACCAAGTACCGCAACAATTTCCTAATGTTGTGAACCTGTCTCCCACATATGGCAATAAAGCCGTCTGATTCAGATTCTGAATGCAAAACAGTTTTTATCTTAGTGAATGTCAGATTTTGAGTCTTTGGGGTTCCTGTTCAGAGGAACTGGTTTTAGGTGACTGGGTTAGAGTTCAACCCCCAGAGCCTCTTCAGCGGGTCTTTTACCTGTCATGTAATGTAAACGTAGGGCAGATGAGGGGGTGCACAGCTCGACCAACTCATTGTCTTGGATTGAATCAATAGAAATGCTGTGTTAACGCAGTATGGGATGAAACCTTGATGGATCTGTTTATCTGATGTCATCTGATCAATTTAACTAGGAGAAGAAAAGTAGTCATTTTTAGGCATCTGCTATAAAATAACAGAAAAGTTGAAACGTAGTAATGTTTGTTTATGAAGCCTGCTACTGTCAGTGTTCAACTCTTCTTCTGCTGACATTCCTGCTGTTTAGTTGCATCGGTCTGCTTATATTTATGATGCTTTTCAGCTGCAGCAAAGCAGAAACGAACGTAATACAATAAGAAAACACTGAAACTGTTCAGATCTTGTGAACCAACTCATTCCAGAAGGAACAAGTTAATAGGTGTTTTATTATTTATAATGTAGAAAATGTATTTTCCTGCTCACTGCAGCTACTAAAAGACTGATTCTTATATTTGCTGCTTAGCAAGTTTTCAGGTTTTTGTAATAATTGTTAGTCGTGTTCTCTAAAGTCTAAAGTTTCAGCATCTGGGCTACTGCTGAATATTCTGCAGAAACAAGCATGCAGAATAATTTTAACCGGTTTTATTTTATTTTTATAGGAAGGAATCACTCACATCGGACCTCCAGATCAATTTGAAGAACCCCATAGAGGTATTAGATTAACTAATTTATAAATGCAAAAATTGCACCAGCATTTATGTCCGGTGTTACCAAATGGAATAGGAAATATCAAGTGATTTTAAATTTTAGCTGCTATCCATAGACAACGGTGAAACGTGAAGTTACTCTTTTGTTTAATGCTGCCCTGAGCCGTGCTGAGCAGTACAGCGGCTGCATCAGCACAGCCTTCTGCATCAAAATGTATGAATCTCTCTCTGAATTCTGTTTGTAGTCCTGCCGGGCAGAGCCAGATGTGAGATTGAAAACCACGGGGGTGTGGTAACGCTCAGACCGCTGCCGGGCTGCGTCTGCCTGCTCAACGACAGAGAGGTCACTGAGCCCTGCAGGCTGGCTCAAGGTCAGTTTGTGTCCACATAAAACAAACCAATAAAAACTAGTTTGTTCTCATTGTTCCGAGTCTTGGATAACTTGTGTTCTTTCCACACAAAAAGCAACATTTCTGCAGGTTTTAATCTGACCTGAGCAATTTATGTAATCTTAATTTAATGGGGTGTTTAACTCAAACTGGTACAGAAGTTATGATCACATGCTGTAAAATAAGTGAAATGTAGTTTATTTGACAGAAGGGCAAAAACAAAGAAAATTAGGCTGAAATCGATTTTTACCTCTGTTGTTACACCGTTGAGCTTGATATCAGATTCAGGTGAGTGTATAGTTACATCTGTGCAGAGTGATTCATCTGAAGATATAGGGCAATGTACACTTATATAAAATAAACGACACACACTTCAATATGTTTGGAATCCTCCCACAAACACACACACACCTGCGCTGTCTGCTCGCACAACACAACAAGCTGAGAGCAGCGTGTGATGAACACGTTCCTGTATCTCCAGGAACAGTCGTCACCTTGGGAGGCGTGCATAAGTTCTGCTTCAACCACCCGGCAGAGGCGGCCATCCTTCGGGAGCGCAGGCGGGTAGGTGCCGCTCACCTGGAAATGAACATGATGCTAATTAAGATCACGGTCGGGATAATATTTGTGATAAGCAGATATTCACTTAACAATGGAGGTAAATTTATTTTCTTTGCTTTTTTCAGGTCAGTGAAGGAGGCACCTACGTGGATCTTTGCCCCCGGACTCCTGCCGATAAGTAAATACCGTCTCAGACTGAAAAACAGACTTTTGTACAGTAGGGATTGTTTTCTGCCAGCTCTATGTGAACATATTTAATAAGAGTTATAGAAATGTACTCACTGCAGAAATAGGTCAGTGCTTCATGTTTCCATTAGCCCTCTCAGTCTCAGCTAGTTGTTTACAGTTCAGTAGTTGCTTAGTTACAGCTGACGCTTGCTTTTAGTCCAATGCTGCTAAAACATCAGTAACCATCCTTCTAGGTTTAATTATTCCTGGATCACTTCATGATTTTCTCAATGTTTTAATCACTTCTCATTCTGTGGATGGTGTGTTTGTTTTGTAGTGCTGAAGAAGCGACGCTGCCGCTGCAGCTGGGCACCTGCCTCGCTCCCACTGAGGAGTCTACAGCCAGGCAGCGCGTAGAGGAGCAGAAACGCTATGTGGAGAGTCTACGGCAGGAGATTCAGGCTGAGCAGAAACGAGCAGAAAGAGACCTGGAAAAAGAGCAGGACCACCTCCAACAGCAGCACGCCGAGTGTAAGTGCTTATTCTGCGCGGGTATTTTGAAATCTAAAGTCAGATTTAAAGTTTAGCTTCATAAGACATAAAAATTAAAGGTTTCCTAGTGCTTAGATTTGCTTTGTTGTTTCAACACCAGTCCAAATGTGGATTTTGCAAGAGAAACGTTGCCTGAAAACAGCAGAGCAGAGACTCACACAGGACTCTGGAGTTCAAGCAAACCTCCTCCCTGCTCCTCTTCTGGAAAAGCTCACTGGCCATCGGAAGGATCTTAGCTTGGATTATCCATCCCAAGTGGTGAGGGTCAGGAAGAAAACGGTCCAGGATGAGCTGCTAAAGCATCACTCCCTCAGACGTGCCAAGAGCCGCCTCCGCCGCAAAAAGCTCCTCTACCAGCTGAAGAAAATTGCCAACAAGCAGCATCTGCTGGACGCTAAGTGGAGGTTACAGCAGCTGGAAAAGTCTCTTCCCTCAGGACTGGACAGTCAGGAGATTCCTGAGATGGAGACGCCGTTAAAACCCAAAGAAAAAAAATGTGTTCCCCGAAGGCATTCGTTTTCAGCAGATATTTTGTCTCGTCTCTACCCTCAGCACACACCAATCTTCAGGTAAGTACATGAAGTCATATCCTTTAAAATAATGAAATAAAATAATCGAATCTGGTTTCTTTTTTCCCATCAACAGACACTTCCTCAGGAGAAACAAATCCACCGAGCGGCCTTTAAATACATTCACAGCGTCTGAGTCTGTTGACGGCAGGAAGTGGGTTTCAGATGAATGTCTTCCTCGAGGAAGAACCCAAAGTTGTTCCAGCTCTGTCTTCTCTGGAAAACATCAGTTTGGTCCAAATCAAGTAAGCATCTCTGAAAGTTTCAGACAAACCTCCAACGAAGAACCACAAGCTGAGCCATGTCTGGGACAGTCGGAGAGAAAACCTCTGCTGCCAAAACGAGATGTGTCTTTTAAGAACAGTCCGGACCAGAAGACAGCGCTAACACTGAAATCACCTCCTAACTCTAATTCATTGCTACCAGTGAGCAAGGAAAATATACGAATCTCTAATACAGACAGATTTGGATCTGAGAAGAACTCTTTTCCAAATGATCAGAGCTCTGATCAGAACTCTGGTTGCACAGATAAAGACAGGCTGGAGATCATCAGTAAAGCTTTGTCTCATTCTGTGGGACCCAGATTAAAAACAGCTCTGTCCAACGTTTTCAGGAAACCCTCCTCAGGTGTGAAGGGAGGACGAGTCCTTAAGCCTCTCAGCAGGATAGCAAATAAATTCTACTGGAGACAAAGAGGAGACAAGAACCTAAGGACCAATCAAAGCGAAGGCATCATTAAAACAGCCATTTCATGTGAGGAGCTTGATCAGAGGACTCCGGTTGAGAACCAAGGACAGAGGCGGTGGCACAGCACAGAAGCTCTGATGAACAAGAACAGTGGACCGATGGCTCACCAGCAGAGACTGGTTCGATGGGTCGAAGAGTGGGGAGAAAGAGATGAAGGGACATCAGACTGTGAGAGTCTTTTCTCCCTCGACTCCCTGTCCTCTGCTTATGCAACAGCCTTAGCAGAGCAGCTGAGATACGAGGAAACAAGCGAAGCAGAAAGCGAAGACAGTGAACTGTCTAAAGATTCCTTAACTATGGAGATCAGTGGAAAATTTACGACAGTGAGGAGATGTAAACAAACAGTGGTACCAACTTATTCCCTGGTGAGAGATTCTGCAGCACAGCCTGGATTTCTGAAACCACCTGGAACCCCAACAGAAGCCTCCTCAGATCCAACAAGGACATCTCTTTCTCAATCCTCCATAGCTGCTGATTCCAGGGGAAGAGATGCTGTGGATAAAATAACAAACGACTTCAGGAATATGCCGTACATTTTATCCAACAGCCCATGCTCTCTAATCAGCTGCAGTGTGAGGGAAGATTTGCAGGTAGTCACTGACACCTGGTCCTACGCTGATACTGCTGAAAGTCCAAGGATTGTCAGGAACTCTCCGCTTTTACAGAAACAAATAACTCCCAGTCCTTTTGGGACAAAACTCTCAGACTCACTGAGTGGATCTAAAACATCCATACACGCTAGCTCTGCGATGATTAATGTCAAAACACTGGAGAATGTCCTTGAACTGTCAAGAGAGTCTCAGGATCGTCCAACTTCAGATTTATTGATCTCAAAAACCCACAAAAATGTAGGATGTTTTATAGAACAGTCGCAAGATATTCAAGTTACAGATTCAAGGAGTTCAAGCTGCGGCACAAGCTCACCTGAGTCTTCACACCAAACTACAGAAGAAACATCGGGTCAATCTCACGTGTCTGCGGCTGGACTTGGTGTGGTGGCTGCCAACATGACAATGTCCTCGATGTTCTCTGACATGCGTAGCTCAAGTTTTCCAGCAGCTGTGCATTTCTATACAAGTTCATCTAATTACGGGGGAGTGCTGGATGAGATTAAGCCTTCAGCCAAAGCAGCCCCAGACACTGATGGGACAAATGTTACAGATGTGCAACAAAGTTTTTTTAAGAAAGCAGAAGATTTAACAGGTAAACGGACTGAAACCAAAAGCACCGAGCTGCCTGTTGCCTTGCAACAGGATGTTGTGAAGTCGACTTGTAAAAATTCCAGAAAAAGGAACAAAGACCAACAAATTGCTTTTATTGGAGGCCTGAAAATTCCAAAACGGAGCGACGACGGGGAGTTGGAAACTTTCTCCTTCACACCGGGTGACATTTTGGGTGGTATTTGCCCGAGGCACCATAAAAACAGCAGGGACTTTAAAGGAGAACGATCTTTTGTGGAACACGACGACCGAGATTGTGTTTGTAATCATGGCAATGCTAGACAAGATACCGCAGCTTCAGATGTGCTTCCATTTACTAATATCAAGAACAGAGAACAGGAGCCAAATGGTCAGATCTCTGAGTGTTTCCTAAAACACAGAGACAAGCGTTCACAGTGTGATGCCACGGTAGGAAATAATGAGCACGTCGAAAAGGGGGATGTAACACACAAGGAAGTTTTGGAAGATACAGAAAAAGGAGAATGTCAAACGGGTAGCTGCAAAAGTGCCAAACACTTAAGCAAATCAGACGCCATTTGTAGCGCAATTGATCTGAGAATCTCTGAAGTGGTAAAAGAACACATGCAACTGTCAGTGACTGGCAGAGATGGAGCCCGAAACAGCAGGAGTCAAAGTCTGAACACACTGTCATCATATGTGCTTCATTGCTGCTCTGATCGTGATGAACGTAGATGGACAGGAGAGCAGCTGAGGGATGAAAAAGGCAACGATGTGAAAGAAATCCAGAACTTCTGCGGAGATCTTTCAGTGGAGACGGGGCTGAGCAAAAATGTGTTAACTATGAATGAGCACCTGACAAGCAAACTGAATACTGGACACAAATGTTTTGACTCTCAAGAAAATACAAATGAAGATCAACAAAGTGTTGCATCCACCTGTAATCTGGTCATGAGAGATCAAGTGGACAACCAGATCCGATCAGATGGCCCTGGTTGTAATGCTGACCTCGTTTGTCAATTTCAGACCAAACACACAGGTACAAAACCTCAGAAACTAAACCAAGAAACATCTTCCACCATGATTACTGCTTTAGAGGATTTTCATCCTACAGCTACACCTAATAACAATTCATCCAATCAAAATCCACCAAAGATCTTTCAGCATTTCCAAAACAGCCATGAAATCTCCGGGCTCAATAATTTACCAGCTGATGTGATATCGCTAGACAAATATAACCACATCCAGATTACTCTTAATCCTGTCCATGAAGGAAACGATGAGATGTTTCATAAATCAGGGGCTAGACCATCTTTCATAATTCAGGAACAACTCAGCCGTTCACATTCAGAGACCTTGGCTCAGACTTCTCTCTTCAACATGAACCACAAAGAAAAATGTAAAAATCCATCCAGTTCCCCACGAAGCTTCAACCAGCACCATCAAGTGGACAGCAATGAAGCTTTTGAATTAAAAAATGCTGGGTTAGAAAATCCACACGTATCTGCTGAAGAACTCTTAATGCCTGAAGAACGCAGACTTATTAAAACGAGCTGTTGTCATTCTGTAATGATGTCTAAAGAGGCCGCGATGAATAAAGCTGGAGCTATGTTAGGGAATTCTGCAGTCAATAAAAAAATCAAGAGGTTCAGGAAGTCTAACATCAAAACCTGTCCCACTTCTTCCTCTGACTCGTCTCTCAAGTCATCCGATGAGGAAGATGTGGAGAAACTGGGAGCTAGAATGCATCACAGCAGGCTAACCTCTAAATGGGTTAAGCTGGGTGCAGAGAATGATGTCAGTCAGACTCGTGATGAGGAAAGGTCTGCTCCAGTGTCTGCAGTCAAATCTAAATTGAAGGTTCATAATAGAAACAGAGGTACATCTAATAATGAGTACTCCTCTGAAAGGAACCCTTCACCCCCTCAAGCGGCTTCATGGCAAACGGTAGCAGAAAAATTCAGCCTCTGTGGAAATAAACGTGAAGGAAGCCATTTAAACTGTCAAGACTCCCCCATTCATTTTGATTCCAGTGACATCAACCCATTCGTCCATCAGTGGCAGTGTGATGACTCAAACCAGCACTGCTACAGGAACCCGGCTTTCGGAAGCGCTGCCGATCTGTCCTCTACATCTCCGCTTTTAAACGGCTCGGAAAAACAAATGACAAGGTGCTGCAGCGCAGAAAATGGTTTAAATGGACAGAATTCCCCTTTCAACTCCCACCTGAGTGCCCACGCAACCAACAAGGGGCTCTCCAGCACGCTTAGCAGCATCGAGGATTGCAAGGGAAAAGCTAACTCGCAGCGCAGTAGCTTAGCCGGTCAGACTCTAAACAGCAGTTGCTCCGGTAACGATGTTCCTGGTGGTTTTAGTAACAACTCCAGTCAGGTGGACGAAATCATGCTTGTTTGTTCATCTGAGCAAGAGTCAACGATAAAAGCACAGAGGTGGAGGACGCATGAACTCGGCACTCAAACTGAATGTCAGCTTGAGATGGTGTGCTGCAGAAGCAACGGTAGTGCTTTCAAAAGTAAAGATCACCACAAACGGAGCAAAACGGACGTTCCATCATCTCGGAGAGGCAAAGTGGATGTTAAACAATCTCCAACGTGGGCCAGTATGGAAAACATGTCGGCTCACATCACCAAGTTGATCGACAGCACTTCAGACCTGCTAGGGGACGTCCAGGGGATGAGGACGGGTGAAGTCAACAAGACCAGTTCAAGGAGCATCAGCTGGTCTGAGAACAGCCCCTCTACCAGATGGGACCGCTCCACTCACACAACCTTAGATGTTGGGATTCAGACAGAGTTTGCAGCTGCGCCAGCAGTCAGAGAGCGATCCAATTCTCATGAAATCAACGTGGTAGTGAAAGTGATCGGTTCTGAGCAGAATACACACTGTGTGAAGCATAAATGTGCAAGAATTAAGAGCACACCTGACCTGAGATTGAACAAGTCTGCTCCTTCGCACTCAGATCCCGACCCAATCAGATCACCCTGGACAAAAGGTGCAGCTGATTGTCACAGACGAGTAAAATCTGCCTCATCTCGATTCTCAAAGCTCAGCAATCCCGAGTCTCCGAGCTGGAGAAGTGCTGCCATATCCGAAATCCAAAATAGATCACCAAAAAAGTACTGCCAAGGTAATCACAGCCCTTCTTCATCAAAACATTCTTCTGCTCTGTGCACAAAAACAGCTACCTACACAGACCGTGCATCATCTCCCATTGTTACCGTGGGAACACGTTTCAGACAGAGAGGGAAACAATCACACTGTCATCCAGAATGCAAGAGTCAAAAAATAACCCATCCCTCAGAGGACGGAAGCCTTACAGTTCCCTCTGTTTCAGGTGCCATTCAAAGTCCCAGACAGGACTGTGAGGTTTCCTCCAATAAATCAGAAACTGTATCTCTGGAGAGGGTGAGTGAAGTGAGCTGCTCCAGTCCTCCAGAATCAGAAAAGAGCCTTTCAAGCCCCAGATTATCACTGGATAAATATGCAGATGCTGAAAAGAGAAGCATGTGCTTCAAAGATGAGTGCAGCCACCGGTGCAGCTCCAAACAGCAGGTAACGCCCCAACAGTGGAGCACCGCTATTTCTCCCACACCAAGTCCGAGCGGTGTGCAGGAACAGAAGAAATCCAGCTTCACAGCTGGCTCCGGGGACTTTTGCTTTGAGGATGACCTGGAATCACCAAGTGAGTGCAGCACAGAAGTCCTTGTAAACGCTAAACCTTCCACTTGTGTGTCTCCTCATGAGGACAGTCAGAAAGTCCCAGAAGACCTGCCCATGCACGATAAGTTCACCAACTGGTCAGGAGTCCGCCACCACCATCATCAACGGTCAAAACACCCAAACAAACAGACGTTACTTCCACGTTTTGACCACAGAAACTGTCCTGAGTGGGGTGAGACGGAGAGCTCTGGTTTAAACATGGAGGCCGTGGCTCAGAGGGACAGAAGAGCAACAGAGATAATGAAGCTACGTCAGGAGAGGGAGCGGGTGATGGCAACTGTCAGCCTCAATCCCAGCCTGATGCCTTTGACTGTGGAGCTAAAGGAGGCAAAGGTCCATTATGGGCTGGGAGAGACGGATGCTCTGCTGAAGATTCCCTCCCCGCGGTCCAAAGAGGAGCGGCAGCAACGGACCTCAGCTCCTACCAACCAGCAGCTGTATGACAGGTAAAAGCAATACACTTTCTTTCGGAAACACCAGCTCTGGTTCTTTGAAATCTGCTCAAAGCCCTTGTTCTTTTTTTTTTCTTGTCTCAGACATCGTCTGAGCATCGAGGGTCTGAGGCAGGACAGGAAAGAGCGCCTCCAGATGTATCGGAGAGCTCGCAGTCTGAGTCCCAGCAAAAATCCACATTCCCTTCCTCAAGAAACCGATTCTTCCCCTAAGGTCTTTACAGCTATTCCCACTCAGTGCAAGAAGTACCTTCAACAGCTTCGCCAGGAGGTGATAGACAACACCAGGTGAGACTAGACTCTTGGTTTTATCAGGTCATAGTGCAATTAATGTATTAATCCTAGATGTAAGTGTGTCTAAGTGAGGAAAAGTCAACATACCAAATGTTATTGACTGTATCTGACCATTTCAAACTGCATTTAGATGTGTCCACCATAATCTCCACCATAGATTACAGGAGCCATGTAGAGGAGAGAGTCCGTATCCGTCTGACATTGAACAGCTGCTGCGGGATTACGGCCGAGCTCGGGAAGAAGCCAGGACGGAGATCGCAAAAGCAAGAGAACGACTGAGAGAGAGGACAGAGCTGGAGAAAAGGAGGCTGCAGCAACTTGCTCTGTCCCAGGAAATCAAGGTCTGCCAGTATATTATTAATGGGTCATATCTGTAGAGAACAATAAGCAATTCTCTTCAGGTATGTTTTAAATGTTTGTGGAATCCTCTTCTTTGAATAACATCAGTAATCTGCATCGCGAGGGTTTGTGCTTTGGTTGGATGAGCTGATTTATTATGTTAACATTGGAAACTTGACTGATTGAATTATTTTACCAGGATGACCTGAAGCATCGGACAAGAATCAGCAACAGCACGTTGTGCACAGGGTCCAGTTTGAGTCTGTCCTCTGGACCAACATCTGGATACAACAGCAGCCACACACCTCAGCTGCAGCAGTTCACCAAACCTGCCGTAAACCGAAAGGTTCACTTAGTTTTTATTTAGCGTTTCAATAGAAATCTAATCTTCAAGAGTGATACAAAATAATTTTAGTCGACTTAAGTTTGTGTGTTTAAAGTGTTAATTTCTTTGTTTTTATAAGCATCATTAAGTAATTGATGCTTTCTTGGTTAGATCACAGGGATCCAAGAAGAAAAGGCGCTTAGGGCACGCCCAGCTACACGTGACTCGGTGAAAACAAAGCTAACGTGGCGGTCAGCTCAAGGTAACGAATATTCACCTTCACCTGTTGACCAGAACTGCTTGTGACGGCAACTGTTTCTGCTTTCGATATTTGATCTTTCTGAGAAACGTTTAATTTTACAGACTTTTACCCTAGATGTGTCACGTGTGATGGCGTGTTCATGTTTAATTTTCTTCTTCCTGTCATTTGTGTCCACATGATAAATTAATATTACATTTTATTTATCAGATGTCGACCTCGAACCTCCTGTTGGTGACTTTGAGCCACTGATGGCTTCCTCTCCATCACCGCCAGTATTCGGACGCAAACGCACTGCATCCTTTGCCTCCGCCTCTTCTGTAACAGCAACCTATCAGGACATTACATCTAGTCTCATCAATCAGGTTCTGGCTGAGGTAATTCCCTTTTACAAGAAAACTTAATTGGGCTGCACAGTAGTGCAGTGGTTCAAATCCCGACCTGGGGTCTTTCTGCATGGAGTTTGCATGTTCTCCCTGTGCATGCGTGGGTTCTCTCCGGGTACTCCGGCTTCCTCCCACAGTCCAAAAACATGACTGTTAGGCTAATTGGCCTCTATAAATTGTCCTTAGGTGTGAGTGTGTGTGTGTGCTTGGTTGTGTGTCTCTGTGTTGCCCTGCGATGGACTGGCAACCTGTCCAGGGTGTACCCCATAGGCACCAGCCCCCCGCGACCCTGCGAGGATAAGTGGGTAATCTAAATGTGTATTTTAATATAAAGATGGATTTATTGACTGCTGTAGTTAGCGGTGTTTAGTGAAATGTGATCACCCCTGATTACGTTTTACTTTCACAGATTTAGACTATTTTGAAAGTCGTCTTGAGCAAAAATTCTTCTCATTTTCTAAAGTTGATGTAATAAATGTTTTATTTCGAGATTGGTGATGCTATTACATTTCTTATTTAATTTGCTACCTGATCAGTTTTAGAGTGGTTTCTTTTTCTTAAGTTTTCTTTAAGTCATCAGTCATGCTTAGGCTGCTGGCCTGAGACCCGACCCCGGATGAGCGGCCGAGAATGGATGGCTGGATCTTTAAATCATTCTAGCTTTAATTTGGCAGCTTTTTTTTTACTTTTAAGGTCTGCACATACAACTTGTGTGTTGCATATAATTTAATTCTAATGTTTTGATCATGGAGTTAGCCAACTTTTTCAATAACAGTAATATTTTTTGGATTTGCTAAAGTCAGTTAGCTTTGTCGGCCAATTTGAATCAAGTTAACTCCAAACTGCACACTAACAGCTTATATTCTGTCAAGTGATTCATGGAATATTTTACTAACAAACACACACACACACACACACATGCACTCACACACACGCACGCATTATATAATATTTGAAATATCTGATATTTTTCTCACCAGGTCAGATCGGCCTCTTTCGGGAATTTGGGTAATCTGCTGACGGGCAAAGCCACAGGAGAGTGGAAGTAAGTTTATTTAAACTTGAGACAAACTGTGAAATGACAGAAAGACTCACTTTCACAGACATGATTTATGTGCTGATGCATCAAGTCTTTATGTGTTTAGATACCAAGGTGAGGAACGAGGAATTCAGGTGTTCTACAAGCCTTCCTCCAGCCCGTCTGTTCACAGTTTTCTGGGGATTGGGGAACTGGACCGACCCCTGGATGGTCTGTGGAATATAATCTGCCAGATGTCCAAAAGCCACCTGTATAATCCGTCTGTCCGCTCCATGTGGACACGACCACTAGATGACAGCACTCAGCTGGGTAAGCTAATATCGTCACCCTGATTATTTATTAAACTTTAAAACATTGATGTGCTGCCTACACATTAATATATTAGTTACATTAACTTTAAAAGGTCAGGTCTTATGAGGAAAATAAAGGTAAATAAAAAAAGATTTATTTGTGTTATATAAGTCGAACGTATTCTGAGGAAGAGTTTACCTTGCAAAACATGCATTTTTGCTGAAATGCACTTGTGAATAATATTTATATTTGTTGTTTTTGCAGCAGATCTGTGTATATTTTTGCACGGCTTTATGATAGATCCTGCAAATTCCCCTCACTTGCATCTGTGTCCTTTGACTGTGTAGTACAGTAAAGCGCGGCCGTATTCATCACTGCCAGGCTTGTTAAAGTCCACCTTCACACCTGCATTATGTGTGAATTTAAAACAGCACATCATTATGACCATCTTACCTCTTCTTGTTCGTTTTTGTGTCAACTCCGACTGAACTCATACTTTGTCCACACGTTTGTTACTACAGCCCTTTTGACTCGTTTGTGTCTGTGTTTGTTTAGTTTACATCCTAACAGATCCATCCGCCTGTCACCTCAGCCAGCCACGAGACTTCTGCTGCATCAGCACCGAGTCCAAGCAGGTAAGCACAGCTGCAGCGGCTCTGGTGATTACAGCTGCTCGCCCTCACGCTAAAGATGATTTGCATGCTTTGGTTCAAGGGAAGAAATTTTATTTGCTGTGGTTAAACTGCCGTGTAAACAGTAGTTCGACCACAAAATGCGGAACACGCTCTTTAGATACATTTCATGCTCACTGACCACAGTGTGAGCACTGCTGACCCAGAGGGTCTGTGTGTGTGTGTGTTTAACCACGTCAGATGTTGGCTTTTAGCATTGCGCTCGTCTCTGCTGATTCAAAGGCAGCGCCAGCTGTTTTATTGATGGTACCTCTGTCTCTCTGCCTCAGGGTGGCCTAAGCGTGCTGGCAATGCAGTCTGTGTTTGAGGAGTCTCTGCCCAGACCCAGTGTCGACGCCATCCGAGGGGAGATGATGCCCAGCTGCTGGATCCTGCAGCCAGTCAGACGTCGTGGACAAGAGCTCACTAGGGTCACCTACCTGCTACAGGTAACACGTTTAACTGTTAGGAGCCCCAATCTTCTCTAACTAACATTTTATAAATGTGATAACTTCTTGTGTTGCTGTTTAAAAAAAGTATACTCAAAGGAAAGTGCAGGAAGAGCCAGGAAACCGGAGCTTCCCGTTAGGAAGATGTAGGAGCTGGTTCTGGCGTGACCCTGAGGTTCAGTGCTGATCTACAGCAGAATGAGTTTATAGCTCACTGTTGGCAGACCCCTCTTTGCTAATGAGATTACTTTCATTGAGCTGAGGGCTCGTCAGATCGCTTTTTGTCATTTTTCTCCCAAGTTTACATCTATGGCTTCAGCAGCTGATGCAGGCACAGTTCAGTAGTTGATTACTACGTACATTCTACTGTTTTTTTATTCATTCACAGTACTTGGTGTGAGTTAAGTGTGCCGTTTTGTTTTGTTCAGGTGGACCTTGGGACTCCGTCGTTTCCTCCTCGTCTCCTCAACACTGTTGCCAAGAGACAGGCAGCTGTCATTGCTGATCTTGACGTCTTCTTCTCATCACAAATGAACAAAACACACTAATGCACGTTAGCAGTGAGCACTCAGACCAAAACCCCTTCAGCCTGGAGTCAGCCGGTCTTTTAAATTTACACCTAAATCTTGTTTACTTGACATTTTTTATTTTATTTTAGAGGCACTGTTAGGTTCATTTCCCTACTAAATGTTGTAGCAGCTTTTTTCTATGAAGCATTTTTTAGATAAAATATTTATATATTTTTTATATTTGTATATGAAGGCTTAAAAAAAAAAAGAAATCTATTTGACCAAAGATTCATCAAAATGTTTAGACACAAACTTTCCATGTTGCAATACTTTTTTTTAGCTTTTCCAGGGTTCACGAGACTTTTATTAGTCTATTAAAGAAAATTGGAGATAATAGTGCCTTAAATTTACAATTTATCCAGTGTTTTAAACCCACAAGCCGGTTCTTTTCTTGTTTTATTGCACCAACACCAAGTTTTTACTTTTTCAAGATAAAAAAATGTACTTCATTTCTACCCAGAGCAGTTATTTATTCACAAACTGATTCGTTCTGTTTCTATGAGCAATGTAGATTTGACCAGAAATGACTTTAATTAGCTGAAAATGTCTTTCTGTAGTTCACTAGCAACAAAAGCTAAGACCTGCACGAGAAAGTAGCTTCATGTAGTTAAAAACTGCACTTGAATGTGTTTATTTTTGTGAGTACTACCAATGCCACCCTGAAGAACTAGTTAGCTGTGAAACAGAAGAAAAGTCACGTTTTTGGATGGAGCAAACTAAAAGAGTCAAATCAATGTTTGTAGTTTTCCATTCGCATTTTCTTCCGTTCTGGTTTAGAAATACCGTTTTTAGCAGTTGTAGTGATGTTGTAACGGTTGGTGCTGGGTTTGCAGCTGCTTGCACATGACTTTTTATGCTAATTGTTTGTGTTGCATTGCTTTGTTTGTACGTTATTTAATTCTATGCAGACGCTGATCAGAGATGGGAGTTCTTCGTCATGAAGCCATATTAGTTATTGTGAGGTTCAGGAAGCTTAGGCTCAGTTTCAGAGCAACCAAAGAAGGAAAAGTGAAGCAAAAAATAAAAAATCAGTTTTTGTACAAAAATATCTATTTTGATCTATACAATTTGAAATATGTTGTTCCACTTGTTATTTATGGTGTGTTGCACAGGTGTTTTGTTATACGTGTGATGCGTCCTGTGGTTAATCATTTGTTCTGTTTTTTAATGAAAACAATAAATACAGTAGTTGTAAACAATGTTTTGCTTTTTTAAATAGAAACATTTGATTGTTTTCGATTTTAATTTAGTTGAAAGAAGTTATCTTACAGTGCTTAGAAAAATAATACTGATCTTTTAGATTCCTTTAATTTTTGTTCTTTGTCACTCTAAAATGTTTCATATCAGCAAACAAATGACAATATCAGACATCTGACTGTCATGTTGAGGAGCAGGAGGTTTGAACCCAAGATGCAGAATTCCCAGAATGACTCAGGGTAGCGGTGGTTAAAGAAAATAATTCCTTCATTTAAAGGAGGATGCGCCAAAAGTCCAAAGCACAAAAAAACAAACAAAAAAACAAACAAACAGAGAATCTCAAAAACACTGAACGCTCAAAAATAAACAAAAGCTCACTCATGAGCACAGATTCGGAGAAACTTGAGAGGGAACAGAACAACGCTGACACAAACACAATGGACCAACAAACATTGAGGGATAAGACGGGGTTTTTAACACAGAGGGAAGCAGTCAGGGGAACAGGTGACATGTGTGAGGAGTGAGGTCTGGAGGGAAGACAGGTGCCATTAATAAACTAAATGGGGAAAGAACTTAAGCAGAGGGGAAGATAAACCATAACCTATAAAACACTAAATAACTAAATCTAAAGACTAAGGGCAAAGATAAACAACTAATGACTAGAGGGGTGAGGAGGACTAATACAAACCAATAGGAACTACATGGGAGTGACTAGGAGGACACACGAGGGAAGCCTAGAGGGAGCTGGGGAACACAAGGAGACACATGAGGAGAACCTGGAGAGGGCTGGGGAAGCATAAGGACACACAGAGCACAAGGGGACACATGAGGGGAACACAGAGGATGAACAGGAGGGGGCTGAGGACCAAGGGGACACAGAACACGACACTGACAGCATGAAGTACGCTAAGCTATCTTAAAAAATCAAAGCATTGTGCCCTGTTATTAAAATATGAAACAATAAAAGACCTCAGAACATCCAAAGCACTGTCTCTTGATTAAGTTTAAAGTCAGTTTATGTTTCAACAATAAAAAGACGTGGTGCAAAAATGGAACGCTACAAGACCAAAAACCACATAAATGCTTGTTTCACATTTACTAAAACCCACCTTGATGATCCTTAAGAGTTTTGGAAAAATATTCAGTGATCTGACAAAACAGAAATGTAGTTTTCTGGAAGGTGTGTGTTCCACTCACACTGCATTTAAAAAAAACATCATTATGGCATTAGTCAAACATGGTGGTGGTAGTGTGATGGTCTGGGGCGGCTCTGCTGCTTCAGGACCACTGGCTGTTACAGATTCATGAATTCAGTTCTGTAGCTGGAAATCCTGCAGGAGAAAGTCTGACCTTTGACTTTAATCCGACCATTTACTTTTTCACATAACTTTGTCACCAAAATTATTCTAATAATTTCTTGGAAATGTTTTTTATTTACTTGGCCTACCTTTATCTGATATTTAAATGTCCTTTCAGTGTAATTTCCTATTGAGAGAACGGTGGAGGTGACATTTCTGAGGGTCTGGTGGGGTGTGTGTGTGTGTGTGTGTGTGTGTGTGTGTGTGTGTGTGGGTGGGTGATGTCCGCGCGCGATTAGAGGCCAACCCTGGACCCGTTCCGGGTGGGCGGAGGAGGAGGAGGGTGGGTGATCAAGGTACCGGGAGATCAGAAGTGTCTCTGCCATTTAGAGTCACCAGCTCTTGTCAGGAATGCGCGTACCCCGCGCGCACAGATCATGTACTTTATTTTTAACCCGACAGGGTGGGTCAGTCGCAGGCTTTCGGGAATGACCGTGGAGCGCGCGGAGCCTTTAGCCCCTCTCCCTCTCTCCCCGAGCAGGACCTCCTCGCGCTCAGGACGCCCACACAGGCTCTGACCCCGCCGCTTCAATGGGATTATAACTGCTTTACTGGCGAGATTAAAAACACAAGTCAGGAAAAAACAAAAACAAGTAAGTCTGAATTAAACTCGCTTCTGTTTGCTGAATCAAGTCAAATGAACTTATTTGGCCCAAATGTTTATGTTTTGCTTCTTGTTCCCACCTGTTAAACATGGCTACCATCTTTAAGTTTCTTTAAACTTGAGTTTTCTTTCATTTGCTGCATTTTATTCAGTCAGAAACCTTTTTCTTAAACAAAGCAGCTTTTAATTATTGAGTTTTGTTATCTTTCACGCCACAGTAAAGTGCGCACCATTCTTGCAAGGACACACCTCTAATTAAAGAGGACATGCTTAGTTTGTTTAGATTTAAAATCACACTAAAAAGTAACATGAAAGTGAAAAATTTGATACATTTAGGTAAAAAAAAACCTCCACACATGTACATTAATCACTTCTTTTGTATTTTTATTAAAGTGTAATTTAACCGCTTTCAATGCAGATGGATGTATTTTAAACATATTTTTCTACTTTATATGAGCCTGTGTTTTGTTTTTCTGTACTTAAAATCATCTGAATCCTTCTAAAGTTGCCTTCAAGGTCACAGGAGACTGAAATGTACAAGTGAAGACCAGACAGGCACCTTCAGTGTGTACTATCATAGGCTGGAGGACCTCTCTCTCGCCCAGATTAGGCCTTTAGTCGTGCATTTTTCATCCTTTACTGGAAACACTGTTGAGTTTTGATAGAAATGAAAGATTCCCAGCACACCAAAGAGACGCTTCTGCTCATTCCCCTTAAAAGGACAAGTGTGTGTGTGTGTGTCGCCCCATCTGGACTAGGCGTTAGTGTAAACACACTCCAGGAATAATTTACTATTGATTTCTTGCAACCTTTCAAGATCAGGCTCTCCATTGTTTGAGTCTAAACAAAACTGATCACATCATATAATCAATGTACTGTTAGGATTATTCCCAACAGCCTATTCCTAATATTTCCAGTTTAGTTGGAGAACTTTAACTTCCAGCCCGGTTTGTGTTTATGTCTCACGTTGTCTCTCCTCAGCCTGCATGCCAGAGTTTCTCCAGCACATGCACAGACTGCAGGTCACACATTCTCACCACACCCAAACACCACTCTCATATTTCATGCCCATCTAATTCAGTTCTGCTCAGAATAATGTGTTTTCTCCGAGCTGCCTGATGCGGTGTTGGGTCATCGGCGAAACATTCCCAAAGAGGAAATCCAATAAAAGTGCTGCTTTGATGTTCACACCAGTCATTCTGCTGGTTGTGATGCAGTCACACCTAAATGTATCCACAGAATTGTGTTTATAAAAGCAAATTCATGTTCAGAATCTTAGAAATAAGAAAACGACAAGAATCTTAAGAAAATTCCGGCTGAAATTTTTATCCCCTCTCTTGAAATTTTATTTCTAAAGAGAGTCTCTTGGTTTTACGATGTTCAGCTATTAAAACATGAATCTACTGGTAAATATGTAAATATAAGTGGCAGAAAAATTAAAAGAGTCATATCAGTCATACGCTTTAGAACTGCAACAATGGTTTGATTTAAGTTAAGTGTGTTTTCTTATGTCCTCTGAAACAAGGAAATTAGAAGAATTATTATTTTTGAGTATTTAAATGGGAGCAGGACACATTTTATAATAGAATATTCCCTCCATCTGCTTTTGTTAGTGTCATTAATTGTCCTTCTATGTCCTTGTAAATTGATAATGTTTGGAATCACTTATAAGGCTGGCGTTTTAAATGATTCATAAATTATTTTTAAAAAGCATTAAAAAATCAGATAGTCAGTAAACTGACCAGAAATGTGTTTACCAATTACTTTTCTGTATGATCACTTAACCAAATAGTGAATAAAACACATTTTAGATGGGTTTGTAGGATTAAAACTTTTTGCAATAACTAAAAAGTCCAAAGTTGGGGCTTTATTGTGAATTTCTGCAAGCTTTATATTTAAAAGTGTGCAACACGCTGTCATCTCGTTACATCTTGTTTTTCCATGTTTGTTTGAGCTTCCAGCTGATAGGATGACCTATTGTTAGACAGGTTTGTAACAGATTACTTTGCTCAAGGCCACCACGGGGGTGTCCGTCAACTCTTTTCTATCGCCGAACTGTTCAGGAGCAGCTCCTCTCCGTCCAGGTAGCTCAGAATTTACAGCTCATTTGCAGCCGTTGGTGTTTACCGGCCATGTGGAGTCAGTTCTCAGACCGGATTAGAGTCATAAATGTTTGTGTACGACTGACAGGTTGTGGATGTGAGTCTGAGAGGTGTGTAAAGAAGGGTTTGTGCCGTATTTCTGGTGAGGTTGTGTGCCGGATGATAAGGGGATCCCCCGGAGGTGGGTGGAGCGTCTCGGCGCTGATAACAGCCCTCTGCAGAGGACTGATACCACACAGCAGAAGGAGGGAGACCTGTCCAATGGCATCACTGTACACGACTGAGGGCCTCTTCTCTGCATACACTGAACAAACACACTAGTTGTGTGAATTCACCGAAAGGAGGAAGTTTAGTGAATGTTTGTAGTGACTCTTTTAGCTGCTTGCACGTATTTTTTGATGTCCATTTGGAAAATTCAACCTTTTTCTCTTCAATGGCTTGAATTTCTTTTCTAAAAATCTACTAAAAAATGATTTTTTTCACACACATCATTTAATTATCAGCTTGTAAATTACACAGATTTTCTGCACGAGCAATACAAGCCAAATAAGTATAAAATGAACAACATCACAATGATAATTCTGCAAAAAGAGGCTTATTAGCGTTTTGAGGGCTTGAGATTCAGGGCAGTTTTGCAAAAGGAACATTTGTTAACTTCACACACCTCACTAATTCAAACGAACCTGTTAAATCATTGATTAAATTAAACCTAATTCATCATTAATTGTTTTAAATCTGTTAGAGGGTCGTTTATCCAAGTGGTCCATCTCACTTTACAGATTTTCTTAGCAGATCCTTACAATCAAAAACGCATGCATGCACACACACGTACACACACACACACACACGCACACACACACACACACACACACACACTAGATTGTAACCTACGTGAGCTGCATCATTCAAAATAAGGCGGTTTGTGTCACATTCTGCTCTACAGAGGGGTTATCCCCCCCCCCCCCCCCACACACACACACACCATGATAAGAGAGCTATGCTGCATACAGATAGAGCTATCTGAGCGACTGCCCTTCAACCCACCATTCCATGCAGAGAACACACACACACACACACACACACACACACACACACACACACACACACACACACACACACACACAGTGGACATAATGGAGCTTATAGTTTGGGTGTACGGAGTTGGTGGGGCCTCCTTTTCAGGCTAGATTATGTAAATTTAAGACAAATTGTCTAAAAATTCTATTCTGGTGCAGAAGCAGATTTAACTATCAGAAAGACAGCAGTAGCTCTGTAGGCAGAGCGGGTTTTCCAGTAATGGGAAGGTTGCAGGTTCGATCACAGATCCCACCAGAGAACGCTGCTGTTGTGTCCTTGGGCAAGACTCTTAATCCGCCTTGCCTGCTGGTGGTGGTCAGAGGGACGGCGGCGCCTCACCTCTGTCGGTGGGACCCGGGCAGCTGTGACTACATTGTAGCTCCTCCCCACCAGCGTGTGAACGTGTGTGTGGATGGGTGAATGCCTGATTGTGTTGTGAAGCGCCTTGAGGGTTTGTAGAACCCTGAGAAGGCGTTATACAAATACAGGCCATTTAAGGTTGTGACTGGATGTAAATCTTCAGCTGATTAACTCAGTTCAAGATGGCTGCCAAGACTAAATGACATCTTAAGACTACAAAATAGCTGTAACTCATCAATTAGAAGAAGAAACAGTTTTTATAGCACTTCTCAAGGTAAAACCACGAGGTGCTTCACAAAAACAACAACAAAGCTGAGACTTTCACAGTACAAAACTTTGTAACATCTAAGAAGCTTTTGTTTCTTGTGTCTAAATCCCAAAAAGCGTCTCTTTGATGAGGTTTTTGGAGCTTGTCTCCTTTTCTTGTGGAAAAAGGAACAGAGGCTCATAAGTAAGATGGGTTGTAGTTATGGCGCTCCAAAAATTGGTTTATAAAATGATCCAGTTTATGATCCTGACTAGAAAGGTGGTGGACGAGCAAACCTTCCAGAGGAATCTCGGGAATGGAGATTTATTGACTATCAGCTGGTTTAGAACTCCCAAATTCCTCAGTGGGAACCTTTCTCCTAGTGATGAAGTCAGTTCTTTATTTTCATCATGCAATCATCTTTTATCTGTTTCAGACCACCGTCAGTATTCACCATCCGTCCACCTCCTCTTCATTCAGGACATCTGAGGACGCCAGCTGTCGCCCCCCCCATCCACCTGCCACGCTGGCCACCACCATGACTTCCACCACAGATTTTGACAACGTGGAGATCACGCAGCAGTACAGCCACATCAACACCCGCTTCGACCTCTCTGAAGAGGAACTAGACAATGACAACAGCTCCGCCAGGCTGTTTGAGCGCTCGCGCATCAAGGCCCTCGCAGGTGAGTGCCTGCATGGTAAACAGCCCGTGTCCTCTGTGACGGATTCTTGAGATGACAGACTTTTTAACAGCGAGAGAAGGGCAGAGAGGATGAGCGTCTGTGTAACTTTGACAGGGTTCAATGAGTTTGAATAAAACAATAACCTTCACTCAAAGAATCTCAAACTACAGGTGATGTTTGGAGCTAAATGTATGCTCCGAAGCGCACTCGCTGCCATAGCTGTGTGTGTGTCTGTGTTTGTGTCATGCTTTCACACACACATTCCCAAGCAGCTGAGCCCCGCCACTCCTCCACACCCTCTGCAAGCAACTGGGATCACTTGCACATTCCCAGATTGTCCACAGGCTGACCGATCTGGACAGCTGCCCTGCCCGTCTGCCTCACATCGCACAGATCTTTTGCATTTCTGGCTAAGCTGCTAGGCTGTGGCCCACCTGTGGGCAGGCTGTTTGTGATTTTAAATTAGCTGTGTTTTTTTTTTGCAGCAGAAGGACACGTAACAGCAGTGGGTCAGGCTATTTTCATGTAAACTAATCTGCAGACACAGGACAGGTCAGATGTGAGTGTGTGAAACACGAGTGCAGCTCTGTGCAGGAGAAGAGGCGTTTTCCTTTTATTCTGACATTCAAACATTAGGAATCGTCTCTTTTTCTCTCAGGAGTAAAAGGCAAAAGGTGAGAGGAGTGTTTCCATCCTGATTTCACTCATGGACATTAGAGAGGCACCGATATTTGATTATTCTTTTTATCTTAAATCAACGGAATATAATTAAAAAAAAAAGTCTGAATAACATCATAAATGACCTATTTGAAGGTAAAAACGTCCACATAGCTTTTTGTTTAGCAACGGTGAGTTCGTGGCCTAAAAAAACACAATCAGCTGCTTTTTGAGTGCAACTTTTGGATCAATATTTTATTATAATGTGCAGCCCCGGTTTCAGACATCCTGCAAAGCGAATTGCTAATTGCTGCATTTAGACCCTCACTCGCTTTGTTTGCTGCTGTTTGGCTTCGATCGACTCGTTTAGTTTATCAGAGCTTCTTCAGTAAAATGCAAAGCCGCCATGTAGAGGGTGTTTACTCGGATAACTGTGGAGTGAACAACCAAAACAAAAAGGCTTAAAGATGCTAAACATCTCCTATAATCAAGGTCGATTATATTAACATCTGTTTTCAATTGTTGGTAAACAGAATTAAATTTAGATCACACCGGCGAACCTTTAACGGCCGCCGTTTCCGGTAAACATCGAGACGAGACGATTGAGAAGAAAATGACTATAACGTTTGTTTTTGTTCTTGCGTGTTTGTGTTGTATTCAGAAGCAATTCACTGACCTAAATGAGCTTCGAGCTTTACAGCAAAAAGCCGTTTTGCTTGCAAGCCGATTGAAAATCACATTTCAACCATGTTCTGCAAAGTCTATATAACTGATCAGATAAAGACAACAGGAAATAGTTGCAATTGGATCTCAAACCAATGGAGTTCTTTATATCACACCATGGAGGTGAGAAGAAGTTTCCCATCCAAGGCTTTTATCAGGTGAAGCTCCTAAACCTTTTCCTGCCTTCTTTAAATGATGATGGCTGCTGTTAGAGTGCTGGTTGATGATATTGTGCTAGAAGAGTGCCGCTGCACTGATGTTTCTGTAACGCAATCAGTGTTTCCTGTCAGGCAGCCAGAAGAAGGTGCAGGAGGAGCTGTAAACTCAGAAATGTGCTCCGAGACGTATCAAACATCCGGTCGTTTACTCTCCATCATACAGGAGCTTAAAGAAGATGAGTTCCTGATGAGCTGGACCAGTTGTGTACTTCGTGTTCAGCGACGAAGCAGCTGTGTGGGAGGGAGGGGGGGCACGGGAACACGTGTAAGTATTGAAACATACTGTATGCATGGATGAGGCTTGGAAAAAAAAACACACCCTGAAACAAAGCAAACTGCCCATGCCGCCTGAAAGTGGAGGCAGAGCATCATCACGTTAACGGTGAGGAGAGCCTGAGAAACAAAGAGGAAGAGGAGGGAGGGAGGGAGCAGGAGTTAATGCGAGAGGGATCTGGAAAGGAGGACAGAGAGCCAAGAGACGAGAAGAGAAAAGGAGTGCCAAGCTCCTGTGCCGGCTCCAGAGGAGGTTTATTGTTGTTGACGTTGTTCGGGGGTCAACATGAGCAGCCCGTGCCTGCTGCGCACCGCCCCCGTAAGCCAGCCCCGACTCCGAGAGGTCAAGATCAGCCTAAAGGCCAGCAGCAGGGAGACTGGGGCCATCCGGAGCAGCGCTGGGGGGGGCAGAGAGGCTGCCAGCCGGCCTTACACCCCAGCAGAGAAAGAGGCACAAGTTCGGGTCGGGCTGAGCAGCAGCAGCATCAGCCGGAGCAGGAGCACCCCACCGGTCCACCGCGCCCTGAGACCCGAGACCAGGAAGACGGGGAGAGATGGCCGGCAGCAGGAGCTCCATCAACACCCAGAGAGGAACGGGACCCTCCTGCATGTCCCACTCATGGGGACACCCTCAGGGGTCTCCTCCTCATCATCCTCATCCTCCTCCTGCACCCCCAGACGTCAGCGGACATCTCACCCTCACCCTGCCCCCCTCCTCTCCTCGTCCTCCTCCTCCTCCTCTGCCAAGAGTATGAAGCGAGCGCGCTGGCTGAGTTACAGCACGTCCAACATTTGTTTCAACTCCGTCCTGGATGGACGATTCAGGCAGCTGCAAGGTACCAGGTCCTCAACGCAGAACTGTGTGTGTGTGTGTGTTTGAGTTATGACACTTTTCCAGTCATCCCCTCCCTTTGCCATCATGTGTTTGTGTTCATGTAGGGTGGTTGGGTTGGGGAGTGTGTGAACTCAAGAAAGTGAATAAGCAGCAGAGCGTGAACATCATTAGCGTTTCTTTTATTAAATACGTTTGCTAATAACTTATTTATTCTAAAGAACTCAGCTCTAACTGTTCTCCAACTTGGCCTTCAATAATTCATTTACAAACACTCAAAGTGGTTGTAATGCTTCCTCTCCCCAAACCCTCGTCTGTGACTAGCGTTCTGCAGTCTTCCTTACATTTGTGTTCAAGAGAAACATTTGTATTGATCTCGCCTTTCCTCCACGTGGACTTTTTTTTCTTTTCTTTGAAAGCTACTCCAAATGAGACAATCGTGAGTTTTGGTCCCAATGATTGTCCCAAATGATTGCACTGGGGGGTGTAAAAATAAAGAAATCCAATGTTCCATTGGGTTAACTTCATCCTGCTGGTGTTATTAAGGGTTTAAGAGCAAGTTCTGCCACCGCAGTGGATTTCTGTGAGCTTGCACTGTGCTTTCCAACTCCCTGATGGCAGGAGTGCATTAGTGAGAGGAAGAAAATGGAGGAGACGATGCAGGAATGGAGAGGGGAAATGCATTTTTCCCCCCCTCTTGCCTCTGCTACATTTCAAGTATCGACTGATTCTGAAGGCTGCAGAGGCAACTGATACGCGGAGTGGAAAACTTCTGATGCTTTCCCAAATCAAAGACGTGTCACGAGCCGGGCCAAGCGCATCGATTCACCAGCTGCATGTCATGTCAACTTATTTTTCAAAGATCTCATCAGAATAAAGTTAGTCAAAAGAGTTAAAATAGAAAATACAGGTAATAAATATAAGAAAAGGTTTTAAACCTATTTCTCATGTCACTTTTCAAAAATGTGACATTCTCGTCCTTTCATGAAAAATCCTCCCTCCTGCTCCGCCTGTTTTTACTGTTTGCTTCTTTTGCATCCAAGTCTAATTCTCCTAATGCTCCAGCTGACGTAAATAAACTCGGGGAACATCAGATGCACATTAATCTGATGCTCAGCAGCTGCGGAGGGACGGCTCATCTCCTGACGGATCAAACGGCTCATCTTTGAGAGCACGTCTGGAGGAAGCGTGTAAGAAAAGCCTGCAGAGCTTCAGTTCATTGTCGTGTTCTTGTCATGCGGTCATGGCGTCACGCTCTGCTCTGGTACTGCCATGACTCAGGCGCGTTTAACAAGGGCTGTGGATCCACTGGGCCACGCCCAGTAAACGCTGACGGTAGGGAAAACCAAAAAGTTACACCAAGTTATATACAGGGAAAAGGCATCAGCATGAATAAGTCATGGGGCTTTCACCGGAGTCTGAGTGGAGGAGAGATTACTGAGTGGAACACATGTTTAGTAAAACTTGTACTTAGAACAAGATTGGAGAAAGTTAGAGGGAGCACAAGAGTTGCTGCAGTTTGTTCAAAAACCAGACTTTTGCCTAATGAACAATCCAACTGTTGCTCTTTAAATAAGAACAACCAAACGTTACTCTGACGTGTTGAGCTAGCAAACAAAATTAGCTTTGGTTTTTTTTTTTACCTTCTTTTTCAGATCATTTTAGAAGTTACCATCAGTTCAGTACACAGCTGGTACTTTAGTAGCAGTACTTCATGTCAGATATACTGCTAAAGTTACTGTAGAAAACACAGCAGGAGAAGAGAATTGGCTCGAAACACACTGATCCTGGTCAGATTTAGTCCATCGTGGTATCTTAACTGACGGAGTTAGTCCAACATGGTCATGAAAATAAAGAAAACACATTGAATGGGAAGGTGTGTCCAAACTTTTGGCCTTACTGTATAAAAAATTCCCATCTCACCCAGGTGGTCTCATCCTTCCAAGCTCGGGTCCTCTACCAGAGGTCTGGGAGCTCGAGGGTTCTGCTCAGTGTCTTAGCTGTTCCTAGAACTGCACTTTGCTGGCCGGAGATGTCTGATGTTTTTCCTGGGATCCACTTTAGCCACTCCTCCAATTTGGGCGTTATTCCCCTAGTGCCCCGATGACACGAGCACATGATGTCTTCACTTTCCAGGCTTTCTCAAGTTCGTCATTGAGGCCCTGGCACCTCTCTAGTTTCTCATGCTCCTTTTTCCTTATATTGCCATCACTTGGTAATATGAATTTCTAGTATTTTTGTTCCTGTTTCTTTATTCGGATACTAAAATATTGGTGTTAACTTCATCATCGGGGAGAGTTTTTACAGATTTATTATAACTGAGTTTTATCTCATAACTGTTGGGACAGCAGTAGCTCAGGGGGTAGAGCGGGTTGGTTGTCCAGCAGTTGGAAGGCCGCAGGTTCGATCCCGGCTCTGACCAGAGAATGCTGTCGTTGTGTCCTTGGGCAAGACACTTAACTCACCTTGCCTGCTGGTGATGGTCGGAGGGGCCGGTGGTGCCTGCGTTTGACAGGCCTCGCCTCTGTCAGCGCACCCCGGGGCAGCTGTAGCTACATTGTAGCTCATCTCCATCAGCGTGTGAATGTGTGAATGACTGATTGTGTTGTGAAGTTGTGATTGTGTGTAAATAAAGGAATAAATAAATGTGTACCTAAATCCTTAAATACTTGAAATAGAGCTAATCTACTAATATCCATTTATATTGAGATCTCAGATGCAACAGAATCTTTTTGGTAAGATTTAATCTTCTGCAGCTCTGCAAAACCACAGATGGAATTAGAGGATTAAACAGCGTGTTTTTCAAAAGGGCGCTCAAGGCTTTGTTCACTGAGTTTACTCAGAACTTTGTGAGGAACATCCAAACAACAGCTTCGGTCCTCCCGTTGTCCCGTAGCTTCCTTTATGACCAGCAGGCTCATGCATGCTGCCCCTTCTCAAGGTCTCCGCTGGTGATGTGATACAGCCAACAGAGAGCACTTTGTGGGGATGTACTCTGATTGCCCTCTCAATGCCTCTACTGTAAAACCCTCTGAGTTCAGAAAGGATTTGTCACGGCTTTTTGCTCAGTCTTTTCTTTTTTTGTCTGTGTTTGCTCCTCTGACAGTCCCAGTAAACATTTGTGCCACTAATGCAGCTTTGACTTATTTGCATGTATAACTGCCATTACTTTTTCATGCTGCCTGTGTGGATGCATGGAGCAGTGCTGTGTGCCGTTATTCTGCTGAGGGGAGCAGTGTGAGGCATGATTTATTCACCCTACCCTGCTGCATCATGTGTTTTACATACAGTAACTCTTTTACTTCCTCTGTGAGAGAACAGGATTCAGCTGGAGCTTATTGAGGTGTGTTTTTAGCAGCAGGAGAGATGCTGTGAGTGATTTTGTTTATCTAGCTGTGGCTCTGTACTCTAAACCAGAAAGGCTGTCAGTCAGTCTGCCTGGTTTACTTCTGTGCAAACTCTGTCTCCAGCTCCATCTCACCTTGTTCTATTTTTCCCTTCTTAACTGATAATTCAATACCCCTAACGTGTCTTTTCTGCCAACATGTTTTTCCTTTTTCATTCTTCTTCTCTTTTTTTTGCAGCTTTGGGCTAAAAATAATCTTTAATTTGAGAGAAAATAACTCATGAACCACTGGGTGGGTTTTACTGAAACTCTGAGGAAATAACTAGGGATATTTGCCATATTTGTAGATGGACATCTACAAACTAACTGACTTTTGGAGTCAACACAATTCAAGGGGGCCACCACAGCTAACAAACATTTGTCAACCTAAACGTGGCTTTAACTGAGTCTGATTTAACAGACACTGAACTGGACGTGTGTGTGTGTGTGTCCCCGTCATGTTCTCTGGGCTCTCACTGGTTATTCAACCAAAACAGCAGGAATTTCTCATGCTTAAAAAGCAAGATCTCTGAGAAGTTGTTTTTACTTGTAATTTTGAAAATATGATTGGTCACTGTGATGCAGGACAAACATGAAAATAGTCTTCTACCTATTTCTGGCATTAGACGGGGAAATGCTCGGGTCCACGAAAGCCACTCAGATCTACGTCACACTGAAAATTAGCATTCATGGACTCATCCATCTTGGCTCACGACGGTGAAGGCTGTCGTTGGTTTAGCTTCCAGGAAACAGAAGAGAGCGTCTTGGCTAGTAGAAGCTGACCGTTAGCATTAGTAGCTCTGCAACATGGCTAAACTCCTTCTGGCTTTTCATACACACCAGAAACCACATCAAGTGTATTGAAATAATGAGTGAATAAGAGCTTTAAGGAATAATTTTCTTTTTACTATCAAATTTCAACATAATTTTATCTCGGGGACGAACAGAGGACAGTCTTCAGCAGTTGGACCAAAGCTGAGGAGGCTGGGACAGCTGATGATCTCATCAGTGGCCTAATAAACTTAGAGAAGCTGTGTATGTGAATACGTGTCTAACAGTGTCTCTGTGTGTGAAATCCAGGTTAGTGTTATCAGCAGGCTTTGACATCATTTCTCCATGTTAGCTCTAGGCAATGTCAAAGCATCTGAAGTTACATTAGCTTGTGCATAACACGCACTGATACTTTTTATTGTGATTTGTATTTAATAAAACAAGATCGGAGTCGTGAAGGAGCTCACAGAGATTTAATGTTTAACTCTCTTTATGCTAATGACAAAAAGCTGTCTGGAGGACAAAAAGGAGACACACTGTGTGTTTTATTGTGATGGCGGATATTAAATCAGCAAAATTTCAAAGAAATACAATGAGTCATAATAAAGCCGCCAGATACTTATTAGTTAAACTAATATGGTCTCATAATGACTTCATTCGCCTCAGTAGTGCCTGACAAACTGATGTTTTTCAGCGCTTTAACAAACTGAAATTCTTGCACTCTGAACTGTTATGTCATTAAATTGGAGGAGCTAGATGGAGACATGTTGAACAAGCTGCCATGCTAAAACAAATGCCTGGTGATGTTTTATTTTTTACAGCACAGAACAAGTAACTTTTAACCTAAGATCCCTTTAACCAGCAGGATTTCTCCATCTCTGAGGCAGATATCGTCACACTAACTCTGAGATGAGCTGTAACTCCTGCCAGGTTTTCCCTCAGTCTCACAGGCGTCTTCCCGTTTGAAGTGCTCTTGTGCAAAACAGTAAATTCCTACCAGCTTCGATGCTGCTGCTCTGCAGCTATGAGGGTTGTGCATTATTTATGAAACTCGTGTTCTTTTTTAACCCTCATCAGATGAGCGCGAGGCAGTTCAGAAGAAGACCTTTACAAAATGGGTCAACTCCATCCTTTCCCGAGTGGGCTGTCGCATTTCTGACCTTTACCTGGACCTGCGCGACGGACGCATGCTCATTAAACTGCTGGAGGTGTTGTCAGGAGAACGACTGGTGGGTAGTTGAGCTGTTCTAGCTTGTATTTTATCATCATTCCAAATTCTCTTGTGTTCACTCTCCTTTCAGTCGTTCCCTTTTTCATGTTTTACTGTTCTGCTTTGTTTCCTCTGTAGCCAAAACCCACTAAAGGCCGGATGCGGATCCACTGTTTGGAAAATGTGGACAAGGCCCTGCAGTTCCTCAAAGAGCAGCGGGTTCACCTGGAGAACATGGGCTCACACGACATAGTTGATGGAAACCATCGCCTCATCCTCGGCCTCATCTGGACCATCATCCTGCGTTTCCAGGTTAACTTGGACCCATTCTGAATTTAACTTTTACTTTAAGTCCAACAAAATGTACCAAAACTGAACGTTACATAAACCGTGAAATCCTTCCAGCGTGTAAGGGCGATGCTACACCGACCACCGAGACACATAGGACAGATAAATGTTCATCACTGTCATTTTTAACATCGTTAGATTATTAACTGTGGACTTTCTGCCATCCATCCTCTCCCATTTGAGCCTGTTCTAAAACCAGTATCTCACTGGGCTGCTACCGTTGGTGACAAGTTGTGAAGGACGTTTCAGTAATCTCTCAAAATGTTTAGGAGTTCTCATCTTCCTTTTATAAGTCACAGTTTTGCCGTTGTGTTGTAGCATTTGTTGTTGGGCTCTGAACTTGTTCAGGATATTTGAAAAAGTTCTCTTAAATTAATCGAAATTACTCTGAGTTACCCTTCAGTTTAAGCTGATTAGTGAGCGGGCTTCGCTCTCTGGAGGCTCAAACTTAGGAGGGATCTTGTGAGAAAATACTTAAACTTTCCACTGAAACATTTACATCCTGCATGAATGCTGCACAAATGCCCCAGGACCTCGGGTGAAAAATCCCTAATACAGATATGCAAAGATTTTTTTCTGGAATGTCCAGAAAATTTTGAATAGCAAACTTGAGAACTTTTGAGGTGCATCAGTGGCGTAACAGTTATGCCCAACAATCGAGAAATCTGAGCTGTGCCAATGTGGAGACCTCTTCCCAGTCTTGTGCTCGTTTTGTCGTCACACGTGAAGCAGAATGGCGTTGGGAGAAGAAGTGGACAAACTGCTGGACCAGAAACCCAGCTTGGATGAAGACCAGGAGAATTGCTGAAAGGATGCAGCGTGTCTTCTGTGCACAAACAAAAGCTTCTTCCCATAGCAGAGATGACTCCTTATTAACCTGTAGGCTTATGAAGATGCTTTAGGCATCCTTGCCAACAGATGTTTGCTAACATTTTTTTTGTTTGTTTTTGCAATCATTTACATTTGGGTTCCAAATGTGGCCTGTATGGTAAATGGCCTGTATTTGATATAGCGCCTTCTAGAGTCCTGGAACCCCCCAAGGCGCTTTACAACACAATCAGTCATTCACCCATTCACACACTGGTGGGGATGAGCTACGATGTAGCCACAGCTGCCCTGGGGCGCACTGACAGAGGCGAGGCTGCCGAGCACTGGTGCCACCGGTCCCTCCGACCACCACCAGCAGGAAATGTGGGTTAAGTGTCTTGCCCAAGGACACAACAACAGCGACAGACTGAGCGGGGCTCGAACCTGCAACCTTCCGATTGCAAGGCGAGCACTTTACTCCTGTGCCACCGTCGCCCCAAATGTGTGTGGTGACTCTGCCACTAACATGCCCATCCATGCATTATCTAAACCACTTCATCCTCCCTAGAGTAACAGGGAACTGGGATCTATCTCTAGCAGTCAGCTGATGGCGATGGGACACCCTGGTCATGTCACCACTCTATCACAGGGATACATAAAGGCTCCATCACACCCAGGGACAATTTAGAGTCTCCACTCAACTGAAGACACATGGCTGGTTTGTGCAAGGAAACCTGAGTACTCGGATAAAACCGCGTATGCGTGGGGAGAACATGCTAGCCCCATGCAGAAAGTCCAAGTACAAGCAGGAACCAGCAGCCTTGCTGCAAGACTCCCTAGAGAAAACTGAGAACCCTGTTTATGTATGAAGACAGTTTAGAAACTCCCTCATGAGAACCATTCAAAGTTGCAGCCCAGTGAGATTCTGACTTCAGTTTTCACATGAAATCCAAGAAAATTTAGGGGTAGCCACCAAATCAGGGGAAATTGTAACCAAACGGAAACATAATTAAGGGACTTAGCAAGTAGATTGTGAAAATAAAGTTGCACCCATGATATTGTAACAGTTACGTTTTGTTTATGTTAGACTTTTATTTTGAAGCGAGTGTTCTTGGGGGGAAGTTCCGGTACCAGGAGGGAGTGCGGGAGTTCTGGAGGGAAAACAGAGTTATTGTTGAGAGCTTGTGACTTTTGAGGGGAGTTGAGCTGCACGCCGTGGATTATGGTCAACAGTCACCCAGAATAAAGAATCGAAAGGGGTCATTACAATATGCTCAATCCCCACTTTCTCTATTGTGTCAAACGAAGCATAAAATATAATGTTCCACTCCAATGATATTCCACACATAACATCAATTGTTAACATTAACAAAACTTTGTGTTTTCTTACTGTTAAACATTTTTTTCATCTATATTTAGCTGAATAGCATCACTTTCTTTAAAGCTGCGATGGCAAATCTGAAAAACAAGCTAGCTTTTAAACCTAAACAGTCACCGACCTCTCACCGCTCCTGTTGGCTATCATCCTTAGGCCACGCCCCCTGATATGGGAACACACATTGCCACAGTAAATGAGAGAGCGCTAAACACCAGACACCATTTTCTAAATCCAAACATCTTTTGTTGTTCGCGACTTCAAATGTTGTTTTTGGTTTTGGGACTCTGGTAGTTTGTGGTAGCAGCTGACTGTTTCTCCTTTTCTGATATCACTGAGCAGAGAGCCTCTCATAGCAGTGGTGTTATGTTGCACATTACTCGGGAGCGTTACGAATGGAGGGCCCTGGTAAATGTGGAACTGTGGTGGTTTGGTGAGACAGATAACCGGATAGTACAAACTATGGTTTCGGACCGAGCCACAATATTGACTGAGGTTCCAAAAGGGTTCAGATGAAGGCAACTGGGCTTCTTTGGTTTCTTGAAGATCTTTCGCTTCTCATCCGAGGAGCTTTGTCAGTTCTGACTGGAATATGGAGGAGGAGTACCCAGAGTGGTTTCTGCTCGTTAAATAACTGCTTATAAGCTTGACGCTCCCATATTCCAGTCAGAATTGACAAATCTTGGATGAGAAGTGAAACGGTTTCAAGAAACCAAAGAAGTCCAGTTGCCTTCATGTGAACCCTTCTGGATTACCATGACCTGGATTAATGAGAACCTTCACCAACACATTGACCAAGGTTTTTAAACAAATAATAGAGAACCACTTCATTAAATGTTTTTTTTCTTTTTTTTAAACTCTACGCAATATTTTTATAGCTATACTACATTAGAACGTTGTTAAAAGGCATAACAAAAGACTTTAAGCTAGCTTGTTTAGCAGATTAGCCATTGCAGCATCTTTTGTTGTTGCTACTCCCGTGAAATAAATAAGCTTTAGATGCTGCATTGTTTACTTACATTTATGTCCACAGGCAGGTAACAACGCCGTGCTTTAAACCAGGAGCTGCAGGAAGTTTTTGACTGTTCCACCTGAAACGATGCCTTCAGGCTCCAGTCGTTATCATCTGCTGTTAGAAGCTCATCAAACACATCTGTCTGGCTCTTATCTTCTTAGAGGGGCCATGTATTTATTTTTAACTTGACAGCAGCTTGGTTATTTTTAGATGAGGGTTGAAACAATAGGATGTGCTGCATTTTCCAGCCTTTTTCAAAACAGAAACAAAAAGAAAAAGGCTAGTCCCGTCTGTTTGCAGTCGCTATTAACCAAGGAGAACCAAAGCTGGCTAAATTTAGCGCTCTCTCAGGACTTGTCTCTCGTATCACATCACCGCTCTAATTACGAGCCCACTGTGAGGGGAAAGGAGCTCTTCAGTCATTATCACCCGTTTTTCTATCACTAATAAGTGACGATCCAGCCTGACTGAAACGATTAATGATATATCAGTTGAGATTGGTTTTGTTTAACACAAAGAAAAGACAAAAAGATGAGTAACGTGCCTAAATGTTCCCTACTGAGGCGACACCATATCTTTCTCTGATTGCAAAGAAAATGAAATTAAGATAAGTTTCATTATTCATCATCCAGCTGTGCTTGCTGTTGTTCACCAGATCCAGGACATCATCGTGGAAACGGGCCAGGCCGACCAGAAGGAGACACACTCTGCTAAAGATGCTCTTCTTCTGTGGTGTCAGATGAAAACTGCAGGGTAAGTGTTTTGTGTGATCTGTAGCATCACCAAGCTGCTGTAAGTATCCAGCGGGAATTGTTACGTGTTTGTGTTTGCAAGCAGGTGTACAGCTGTTAGCTACTATTAATGACTTTCAGTTTTACTTGTTTAAACACATTTGAGTCTGTGTCATCACAATTTTATGGTTAAAAACACCAAATCCACGGAGCAAATTGCAATTCACCAGAGCAGGATGCTTTATTTATTAAAGTGATTTTTATGTTCATTAAATGACATCTCGCGTCTGTTTTCTTACAGATACCCCAGTGTCAACATCACCAACTTTACCACCAGCTGGAAAGACGGGATGGCCTTCAACGCTCTCATACACAAACATCGGTAAGCAGAGTTTAATGGAGACAACGACTCACATCTTTTCTCCTCATCTTTTCTTTTTCTGCCCTCCTATCTCTCTCTTAGGCCAGATGTGGTGGACTACAACAAACTCAAGAGGTCCAATCCTACCCACAACCTCCAGAACGCGTTCAATGTGGCAGAGCAGAAGCTTGGTGTCACCAAACTCTTAGACCCAGAAGGCGAGTGACTGATGACCGCTGGGCACGAAGCCTGGTGGAAAATAAACACTTTGACTATCTAGTCGCTGCAACTGACTTGTTAGCCTTTTTGTTTTATAGATGTTTTCACAGAGAACCCAGATGAGAAATCCATCATCACATATGTTGTGGCTTTTTATCACTACTTCTCCAAGATGAAGCAGCTGGCAGTGGAGGGAAAGAGAGTTGGAAAGGTGAGCTGGAGACCAGGAACAGTAATTTCTCCAGCCTGCCCCCCGTGTTTATCTGTTCCGTTCTTCTCCAGGTTCTGGATCAGGCTATTGAGACAGAGAAGATGATTGATAAGTACGAGACGTTGGCGTCAGACTTGCTGGTGTGGATCGAGCAGACCATCGTTGTGCTGAACAACAGGAAACTTGCCAATTCTCTATCAGGAGTCCAGCAGCAGCTTCAGGCCTTCAACACCTACCGTACTGTTGAGAAGCCGCCCAAGTGAGCCAAATAAATAATTCCACTTTGTTTTTGTATTTACAATTGGATCATTAAAATTACTTAGAGATGTTTTTGTTTATTTCTACTGCAGATATAAAGTTGGATTTAGGCATAACTCTGTATCACACGGGGCACAAGTTATAAAGTAATACGTAAAGTTTTACCAGCTGCATTTTCTCATAGCTCCTCATTTCAGTACAAACGCTGTGTAAAAATTCACTTTGTCACCACATTTATTTAGAAAAATACAATTTTATCTCGAAATTTTTAGTCATTATTAAAAATAATGATGTCAAGCTAATGTCACATATACATCTTCATAATTTTAACATGGGTATTTAGAATTAAACCTAAATACAAAAAATAAAAAGATGAAAAGAAAAAGTTGAAATTCTAAATTTAAACTGCCATAAAACAAGAGCTTAACCAAATATTTAGTTTGAAATAAGATTAATATTTAGATCTCGGGTTAGAGTGTAGATTTAACATGATCATATTTATTTATAATTCTAAATGTTTAGAAATGTATTCATATACTTAGATATGAGTTTAAATAATTAGATGTTTTATAGATTTGATTTGTAATCTTTAAATTGAACTTCATGAATTTAGATTTCTCTTCATAACGATCTTTAAATATTTAGTTTTCTTTACAACTTTGAACTTTATATATTTACACTTGATGTAATTTTTAGATTTTACTTTATAAAGTTAGATTTATTTGCGACTTTATTATTTTCAAATGTAATATTGCCCCGTAATTTGTCTAAATTGCAGCTTTTTCTTGTTTCTTTCCCCACCTCAGATTCCAGGAGAAAGGGAACCTCGAGGTTTTGCTCTTCAGCATCCAGAGTCGTATGAGGGCCAACAACCAGAGGGTCTACACGCCTAAAGAGGGAGCGCTCGTCTCAGATATCAACAAGGTGAGAAGCTAATTTACAAATAATGTAGAGCCGCTTTAATACAAATAGCCCCTTTGTGTCTTCAAAATGGACTCAGGCAACTGCAGCATTAAAACAGGAAAAATAATTGTATTAGTAAACTTTTAGACTCAGGCTATCAATTATAGAACAAATCAATGTAATCATAATGAAAGCAATCTCTTAAAGATAATTAAATCTGACTGCAAGCGTAAAAAAACACGTCTGGAATTTGTTTGATTCTGAGTCGTGTCTACATTATGTCCAAGACAAAAAGTATCAGCACACATCTGGTTATACATGACCCAGGTGTTCTGTCACATCCCAGAGGATGGGATCAAGCAGGATGGTGCCTCTGGTTTCCTTAATATTTCAGCACCACCTTGCTGTTGAGCTCACGAAGACAGCAAACCATTACGCTGCTTCTTCTCCTCGTCTGTGTGCAGGCCTGGGAGCGTCTGGAGAGGGCGGAGCACGAGCGGGAGCGCGTCCTGAGAGACGAGCTGATCAGGCAGGAGAAGCTGGAACAGATGGCGAGAAGATTCGACAGGAAGGCTGCCATGAGGGAGACCTGGCTCATGGAGAACCAGAGACTAGTGGCTCAGGTTAGTCAAAGGAAAACCCACTGGAGGACATCAGTGGATGTTTGTTTTATTACACTGGTGTCAGTCTCGGCTGCGTTTTTGTTTTTTATTTAATTACAACAGCTGCTTGTCTTCATGCCAGATCATCAAAACCAGAGGAAAAAAGTGAAGACAAATTGTTCAAGCCAGCTTAAATATTGTCAAATAGTAATAAAAAAAATTGACAATATGTTTCATATAAATCCTCTATGTCATCATTATTATTGGAGTACTTAAAAACTCTTTTTTTTTTTTTTGCAGGATAACTTTGGTTACGACCTGTCAGCAGTAGAAGCAGCAAAGAAGAAGCACGACGCCATTGAGACGGACATCGCTGCATACGAAGAACGCGTCCAGGCCTTGGTGAACATCTCCAAGGAGCTGGAGTCTGAGCGTTACCATGACGCCAAGCGGATCGACGTAAGAAAAGACAATATCCTCCGTCTGTGGGACTACCTGCAGGAGCTGTTGAAGGCTCGAAGGGGGCGTCTGGATATGAACCTGACCCTGCAGAGGATCTTCCAGGAGATGTTGCACATCATCAGCTGGATGGATGAAATGAAGGTACACACACACACACACACACACACACACACACACACACACACACACACACACACACACACACACACACACACACACACACACACGCGAGGACATCTTCTTTCTAAACATTCCTCTAAACCAACACTTTCCCTTCAGGCTAGGCTGCTGTCCCCAGACTTTGGGAAACACCTGCTGGAGGTGGAGGACTTGCTACAAAAACACGCTTTGTTAGAGAAGGACATCGCTCTGCAGGCAGAGAGGGTACAGAGTACCAGCGCTGCTGCTCTGAAGTTTGCAAATGGAGACAGTGAGTGCAAAAGCTTCCAGGAAAAAGCAGCTTTCATTCATTCCATCGGAAGCCTAAAATACATTAGACTCTACAGTAAAAGTATTCGGAGGGTTATTTCAAATATATCACACTAGACTTCATATAGTAAATATTTTATTTCTTTGCAAAACATGAAATCTAAAAGAATGTGGTATGTAACCATTTGTTGGGGTTTGTTTTTTTCTCCAGGCTATAAGCCATGTGATCCTCAGGTGATCCGGGACAGGGTGCAGCATCTGGACCTGTGCTACCAGGAGCTTTGTTCTCTCGCTGCTCAGCGAAGAGCTCGACTGGAGCAGTCTCGCCGCTTCTGGAACCTCCTGTGGGAGGTGACAGAGCTGGAGAGCTGGATCAGGGAGAAGGAGCAGATTTTCTCGACCCTTGATTACGGCAAGGACCTGACGAGCGTGCAGGTGCTCCAGAGCAAACACAGCGCCTTTGAGGATGAGCTAGGAGCCCGACGTGCCAATCTGGAGCAGGTCCTGGCTGAAGGGGAGAAGATGATCCAAGCCAAGCATTTCGGCTCCCCAAAGATTCAAGAGTGCATGAACGACATCAGGAGGCAGTGGCAGCAGCTGGAGGAGCTGGCTGCGTTTAGAAAGCAGAACCTCCAGGACACCCAGACTTTCTTCCAGTTTCAGGGTGACGCTGATGAACTTAAAGCCTGGCTGCTGGACGCCAAGAGGCAGATGAGCAGCGATGACGTGGGCCACGACGAGTACACAACTCAGCGGCAACTTAAAAATCACAACAGCTTGAGAAACGAAGCTATCAAAAATGGAGGCACCATTGACGCTCTGTCCAAACAGGCCAACGCTCTACCAGAGGAGCTACAAAACACTCCTGATGTTCAGAGACGTCTGAAGGATATCAAGGACCTTTACATGGAGCTCCTGACTCTGGCTGACCTGAGGCAGTCCAAGTTGGATGACACCATGTCTCTGTACACGATCTTCAGCGAGACGGATTCGTGTGAGCTCTGGATGAGCCAGAAAGAGACGTGGTTAGTGGGCTTAGAAGTGCCTGAGAAGCTGGAGGATCTGGAAGTAGTCCAAAACAGGTGTGAACCAGTTTGATCGGCAGCATCTCAGTGGACCGTGGACTTGAATTGTCTAAAACTGTTTTGATTCTGTTACTTTAGCTCTCATTTGTCTCGTTTGCAGGTTAAGCATTTTAGCTCAAGATATGGCAAACGTTCAGTCGAGAGTCGACAACGTCAACAAAGCTGTGAAACAGCTTGAGGATAGCAGACACCCACGAACCAGAGAGATCAAAGAGTGCCAGACACGACTGAATAAAAGGTGCTTTTTCCCTCTAGCAGTTATATATAAGAATGTGTTTAATCCTCTTTGTTACATAAAGAAAGTTTCTGCCACCCGACAGAATTATTCTGGTTTTGTTGCATTTGAATGTTGCAGATGAGCAGATGAAAGAAGGTATCAAACAAAGAAAACAAACAGTTTTTATTTATTAAAGGGGAAAATCTATCCACACCTTCAGTCCTTCAACAAAATTTGCATTTGATTAAAATTAAATGCTAATATTCTTAGAAGGAAATGTAGAATAATGAGATAAAGCATTACTCGAGAACATAAACAACGACTTTAAAGTAATTTAATTGTGTTTTTTCCAGATGGGATGCCTTCAAGGCCATGGTGGAGGAGAAGAAGAGGAAAGTAGATTCTGCTGTTAGTTTGCACAACTACGGGTTGGAGTGTGACGAGACGGAGGCCTGGATAAAAGAAAAGACTCGGATCATTGAATCCACGCAGGACTTGGGCAACGACCTGGCGGCTGTCATGACAATCCAGAGGAAACTGTTTGGCATAGAGAGAGATCTGGCCGCCATCGACGCCAAGCTTTCCTTCCTGAGGAAAGAGGCTGACCGGCTGGCTCAGGACCATCCGGAAAATGCTGGAGATATCTTGGCCCGCAGAGGAGAGCTGGATGCAGCCTGGGACAGGCTGAAGAAGACACTGAAGGACAGGGAGGACTCTTTAGGTGAGGTTAGTAAGTTACAGACCTTCCTCCAAGAAATGGACGACTTCCAGTCCTGGCTATTCAAGACCCAGAAGGCTGTGGCATCGGAGGAAATGCCCACCTCGCTGCAAGAGGCTGAGGACCTGCTGAGCACTCACAGCGCTGTGCGTGAAGACATCTACAACCATGAAGAGGACTATCACCGTGTGAGGGACACTGGAGCTCAGGTCACACGGGGTCAGGAAGACGATCCTCAGTACCAGCAGCTGGAGCAGAGGCTGAAGGGCTTGGATCGAGGCTGGTATGAGCTCCAGAAGATGTGGGACAGTCGCAAAAACTTCCTGGACCAGGGTCTGGGCTTTCAGCAGTTCATGAGGGACAGCAAGGCTGTAGAGGCCATTCTGAACAACCAGGTACTGCACAGGAAGTTTAGTCTAAAGGGTCAAGCAGACAGGGGTGACTTGTAAAGCATGGGTGGTTAAAGAATGTGGAGTGAAAGAATGCAGCGTAGTCGGTTCCCAGACGTTTTTCATGTTTCTTGGCTCTCTTCTTGACTTTGTTGTTAGTTTTTAACTCCTTGTGTCTGTTTTGCTGCAGGAGTACACCCTTGCTCACATAGACAAGCCTGACACCTTGGCTGGAGCAGAGAAGGCTCTGAAGAAGCATGAGGACTTTGTGAGCACCATGGAGGCCAACGAGGACAAGGTCGACGGTGCTCGGCAGGGCGGGCGGCGGCTGGTGGACAACAACAACCTGTACTCTGGAAAGGTTCAGGAGAAAATGGATTCCATCCAGGACAGGTTGTTCATCCTTCTGTTTATGGCTGAGTAGTGAACAAATACCAGATACTGCGGCGCTTCAGAGCCAGTAAAACGATTTATCTGCAAATGATTCACAAAAGTTCACTGAGATGATAAACAAGTGACCCTAAAAACCACGTCTACATATGCTAAATTACCCATTTACCATAAAATGCAATCTTAATCATCCCAAAGCCTCGTCTCTATGCTCCTTCACAGGTATGTTCAGAAATCATCTTTTCTTCAGGGTTTTGGCTCAGCTGGGAAAGCTTTTTTATTGTTAGCTTTCACAGAAGTCTGTAGAAAGGACATGGGAGCTGCTCTGCTTGACTGACAGGCACATGCAATAATGGATATTGATCTTAAAGTGAGAGCTTTACTTCACAGTGCAGAAGAGAGAAGAAATGATGACTTTTTCTTAAAAGAAAAAGGAGCACTCGTGGACTGTATGCTGCTAGAGTTTTATCACAGAGAGATTTGTTAGATAAAGAGATTAATTTCTCACTCTGAAACTTTGTTGTACTGTACCTAATGTATCATTGCTTCTGTTTTTGCTCTACAGGCGTGACAAGAATAAGAGAAGAGCTAAAGACGTGTCAGAAAAGCTCAGAGATAACCGTGACCTGCAACACTTCCTGCAAAACACTCAAGATGTGAGTTCATAAGGTGTTGCCATATTGCTTTAGAAAGAAAGAAAACCACCTTTTATGCGGCGCCTCTCAAGATAAAAATCACGAGGCGCTTCACAAAAAAAAAAAAAAAAAAAAAAAGATTTTTAAAATGATTAAAACTTGTTTGAAATGAGAAAAAATAAAAATGAGTCTTTTGTTTATGGGGTGCTGATTGTAAATGAATACATTTAGCTTTAGTTTGTCACATTTTACTCATTAGCATTAAAGATTAGGTGTGAAATTAGCTTTTTAATCACATTTATTTAGCAAGTCCCAATTTTACGTTTAAAGAAGTAACTTTAGAAATAAATATTTACAGTCAAGTCTAAAATTATGAAGTAATTTAGTAATTTCTCCTTTGGGGATAAAAATTTGAGTTAAGTTAAAGCTCCAATAGCAAATCTACAAATCAAGCTAGCTTTTAAACACAAACATGGTCACATAACAGTCACCCGTCCCGTCGAGTATCGTCCCTGGGCCATATTTGCCAGAACCAAAACTTGCATTGCCTGAGTAAACGAGAGAGCGCTGGACACCAGTCGCCGTTTTCTAGGTCCAAAACGCCTTTTGCTGTCCGGGACTTCAAATGGTGTTTTTCTTTTTGGGACTCTGGCATTTTGTCCTAAAGTTGAAATGGTAGCCGCTGTCTGATTCTCCTTCTCTGATCTTATTGAGCGGAGACCTTTTCACACCAGTGGTGCTCTGTTGCTAAATACGTGAGTGAGCGCGTAACGAGTGGAGGACCCAAGTAAAGGCTGTGGTTCAGTGAAACAGATAACCACCAGTCCAAATGTGGGGTTCACTTAGCCGTGTTATTGGCAGAGGTTTTTAGACAAACCACTTTATTAATTATTATTATTATTATTTTTTACTCTCCAGATTGTAATCAAAGCTATACCGTGTTAGATTAATGTTAGGAGGCATGAAAATTTTGTTTTAAGCTAATTTGTTTTCCAGATTTTCCATCGTAGCTCGAAAGCTAATTACACAAAATCTAGACAGAAATATTTTATTTTTTATTTCTTTTACAGTCAGCGCCCCATACACAGTGCACTATTAAAACTATCCTTGTTTAAGTCCAGGGTTAAGGTCAGATGGTCAGTTCTGATGTACGTAGATCTTACCGGTCTTGTATGGGTTTTAGTTTGTTCCCTCACAGAAGGTCCGGGCTTCACTCTGTAATCTACCCCACTTGTTGTCACGTTTCAGCTGACTGTGTGGATCAATGAGAAGATGCTGACTGCTCAGGACACCTCGTATGATGAGGCCAGGAACCTCCACAGCAAATGGCTCAAACACCAGGCCTTCATGGCTGAGCTGGCCTCCAACAAGGACTGGCTCAACAAAGTAGACCAGGTCAGCAAAGGCTCTGAGGTTGTGTTTAGTGGTGCACCTGAGCTGTAAGCCATGGCTAGGAAGAAAACAGCAAAGCTAATTAAATTCAACATATAACAAGATGAAAAGAAAAACATTTGCAGTGTTATAATTTATATTAAAAGCACATAATTCCCTTTAATCTGCTTGTAGCGGTGGTAACGTGAAGACGTAAAGTGTTAGCTTAGGTAGAAACGACAGGCAGGTTCATTTGCTGTCATCAGAGGTTTTAGTGTCTGAGTGAAGGGGATGTAATGGAGTCTAGAGCTCTGGGGAAGGAGCTGCTCAGTCTGATGGACTTTTCTCCTGAGGGGAGGGGCAACAGCCAGTCAGTCACCTGGGTGGGATGAGTCTGTAGTGATTTAAAGCATCTGTGGTTCTCTGCAGTGCAGCTAGCGTTGTTTACTGTAATCTAGACAGAGAAGCCTCTGTCTGTTGGGTTAAGATTACATCACTCACTTACCAAGTATTTATCATGTTGTGTAGTTAAAATAGTCATTAAATCATGTGCAGAGGGATATTTTAGCCATTTTGATGTATTTGTGTGTAGAAGTTATGAGTAATTACCTTCTTACTCACTAGAGATGCGTTCCTGAATGTCTCAGTTTGGAGAAATAAGGTTTATGACCAGCAGGATTGATGAGCTAACAGCTAGTCGGAACACAAGCAGATTAATTACTTACAACATCATTAAGTCTCACCACAGTGCAAAAGTTATTTTATAAAACTTTTCACAGTCTCCTCTTTTCAAAAATGTGTCTGCTTTGGTAAAAAAAAGAAGAAGAAAAAAAGTCCTGCTGGATTTAACCCTCAGTTGGTCCAAATTGCATTTTGAAGCTCCTGCTGGTTTTTGTGTTTCTTTAAAATAACTCATGTAAAAAACAATTAAAGGCAAACGAACATTTGCATGAACTGCTGTGACATTTAGAGGTTAGGAAATGTTTTAACCCTTAAAAACCCGGGGTAACATTGGTGTCACAATCCATTTTAGCATCTGCAAAATTGCTTCTTGAGTCATACATTCAATGTTTCATATTTCCAAAGGGTTTCTCAAGGGTTACCATGGCAGCCCTCTGACTAGCTGTTAGCTCATCAGGAGGACACAAACTGAAGATGTTCAGGAAGCTATCTACAGGAAGCTCCACAAAAATACACTTCAAGAAAAGCCTTTAGGTGTTAAAACGTTTTTTTTTCTATTAAAATAACAAATAAAAACCTCTAAATGTTTAGAAGTGTTGCAGTAGTTCAGAGATTTGAGGTGGAAAAAAGATCGCACACTTTATACGATGTGCTTTAAAATGCAGAATGGTGTTATTCAGTTACAGTTAAAAATCTGCAAGTGTGAACAAAAGTATTTATAAGTTATATTCTTTCACAGGTGGTGAAATTAGCTCTGGAAGAAAACGGATGATATTTGAGGATGAGAAACTTCTTCTAGCAGAAATTCTTATCAACTTATCGTCAATGAATTGCAGAAGAAAAAAAATTGTTGAGCTAAACGTACCAATTTCTGCTGCACCGCTAGAAAGAAATGAAGAAGATGTCATTTTTCCTGTAATTTTGAGCTCTTTACCCCGTGTTGTCTCAGGAAGGTCAGGAGCTGATGGAGTCCAAGCCTGAGTTTGAGCCCATTGTGATGGAGCGTCTGGCCAAGCTTCATGAGCTGTGGGACAAACTGGAGTCCACCACTCAGGAGAAGGCTCGGCTGCTGTTTGACGCCAACCGCTCGGAGCTGTTCGACCAGAGCCTGGCTGATATGAAGAAGTGGTTGGGCCAGCTTCAGCAGCACCTACAGAGTGGAGACGAGGATGTAAAGGACCTGACGAATGCCAATATTCTGCTTAAAAAGCACCAGGTCTGTAAACGGTTTAGAAAATGACACATACTCACTATTTCTGCCTTTTTTTTCAGGGTTTCTTCATATTTTATCTACATTTTAATCACTGGAATAAATAATGTACCGTTGGAGAAAACTCAAGTGTGTTAGAACATAAAAATGACTATACATGTCAAGGTGATAAGGACACTGATAAATAAATAAAATGGCTCAAAGTTTAGTTTAACACATAAAAGTTAGAAACAGCTTTTAGTTTTTATCCTCCGCTGCATCCTGATCAGGCTCCTGAAAGGCCATTCATCTTTTCTTCCCGTGCCAGATGACAGAGAACCAGGTTCGTGACCGTATCCGGGAGCTGGAGGAGCTCCAGGAAGCCGTCAGGAAGCACGGCGGCGGGAGGGAAGACCAGCCGGAGCTGGAGGCGGAGCAGCAAGCCCTGCAGAGGGAGTTCCAGCAGCTCCTCACACCTCTGTCCCAGCGCCGGGGCAAGCTGGAGGCTGCCAAATCCATCCATCAGTTCTACAGAGACCTGGCCGATGAGCTTGTGAGCATACCTTCAATTTTAAAAAGAATTATAAAGCATCAAAGCCCCCGAATGTTCACTCGGAGTGATTGATAACACTAAATTATAATAACAAGGGTCAGATTAGGAGTTGGATGTGATGAATAAAGCCTGGATTTCAACAGGTGTTTTACTCTTTCTTAAAATAAAGTCTTAAAATCCCTTTTTTGTTGTTTTGCTGCTAAGATCCACAGTCAGGTGTAGAGATCAACTGAGAGATTTACGGTTTCATATGTTTGAGGCGGGCTAAAACCCCGCTATAGAGGAGATGGCTGTGGAGATTCTTTTTACAGCTCTGTAAAGCAATTTCTCAGATTCTCTTTATCGTCACAATCTCCTTATTTTCTCCCCCTCCTCTTCGTCTCTTTCAGCTCTGGATTGAGGAGAGGATGCCCCTGGCAATGTCACAAGAGCACGGCAACAATCTCCAAACCGTGCAGATGCTGTTAAATAGGAACCAGGTGGGGATTCTTCTGAGCACAGAGGTCTTCTGAGGTGGAAATGATTTACTTTAATGATAAATCAACAGCTGCTCGTAGGTGTCGTCCAGCTAAAACAGCAGGATATTAATAGAAGACTTGATAGAGTTTTTGGAAGTGCCTTAAAGTTTTCTAAACTGATCCAATTTGATTTGGAGGCATGAATTCATCCACGTGTATGACGTGCTACGCTATGTGTTGCTTTTATCTGTGATCAGACTTTGCAGAGAGAAATCGAGGGCCACCAGCCCCGCGTTGATGAGGTGGTTGAGCGAGGCAGGAGGATGGCAGCTGCCGCCGGCGCCGAGGACAGACCCGAGGCGGAGAGAATCACGGACCAGCTGAACGAGCTGGAGGAGGCGTGGACGCGGCTGCAGCAGGAGATGGCCAAGTGGCGGGAGAGGTTGAATGGCTCCAACTTGGCCCAGCAGTATTATAATGATGCTGATGAGGCCGAGGCCTGGATCTGGGAGCAGGAGCTCTACATGATTGCTGATGAGAAGGCCAAGGTGAGGAAGAGGAGAGGAGGAGGTCAGTGGGGTCATCACAGATGTTTAACAATCAGATCCTACCAAGCTCATCAGTCAGCGTTAATATATCAGGACGATTAAACCGCACCGCTCACTGAGACTAATCTGTTGTGCTTTCATGCTCCTGCTTTAACTCATTTACTGTTCTTCTTGACTATCTTCATGCTTCACCTTGGATGTTGCCTCTTCTCCAGGATGAGCAGAGTGCCATGCTGATGCTAAAGCGCCACTTGATCCTGAAGCAGGCAGTAGACGATTATTCTGCCTCCATTCGGAGGCTGGCCGACCGAGCCCAAAGGATGTTTGCAGAGGACCATCCTGACGGGTTTGTCTGCATCTTCATTTACCCGTCGACTCCCAGACAGTTAACCCAGTCTGACATACGTTTTTTTTTTCTCTTTTTTGTTGTCTGTGTGTGATTTTGCAGCGAGGAGATCATTAGGCGACAGGGCCAAGTGGATAAGCAATATGCAGGTCTGAGAGAGCTGGCAGAGGACCGCAGGAAGAAGCTGAACCTCACCTATCATCACTTCCTTCTGAGCAGAGAGGTGGAGGACCTGGAACACTGGATTGCAGAGAGAGACGTGGTGGCCTCCTCTCAGGAGATGGGACAAGACCTGGACCACGTCACGGTAACATACACGGATCAAAAAGAAACAGCTGGAAAAATGTGAAATTGACTTGTGAATGGGGTGCTTGTTGCATCTTTTCAGACAGAGAAGCCTAGCGGGTTCAGAGAACAGAAAACTGGACTTCTGTAGTTCTGTGAGGATTTGTTTGAGGACATTTGTTAGTTCAGAGTTAAAAATGCAGATTTCATAAAGTGCCTTGTTGAAGCCAGTCACACCGAGGATCTTTGCTGGTCTGCATCACCTCAAAATTATAATGAAAAAGTACTCCAAACCTGTTAATAATACAAGATTAAATGTAACCACGGTAACGCCTAGAGCCAAGGAACATACGATGACAAACCTCAGCGTCATGTCATGCATTCATCTGTGATCCTGCAGGAACAAGAGGGTGTGTGTGTTTACACACCAGTGTGCCACACACTTTATTGATGTTTTTATGTTTTTGTTTTTATAGAGGACAAACAATACTTCACATGTCATGAAGTCAAGCTGATTAGAAGTAAAGATAAAAAAAAACAAATCCAGAAGAATGAGGTTAAAAGGGACAAGTGGAACTCTGAATGACTGATTTTCAGGTTTTTATCCAATAAGAACAGAAGCCTGAAGGCAGCTTCTGCTGCTGCACAGGAGATAGAAGTTGTAGAAACACGTTTATTTTTATTTTAGCTTTTCGGTGCATCTGTAACATTTACCTGAATCATTCTGATGTCACAAATTAATTTCAGTTCATCGAAGGCAGAGGTGTCAAACTGCGGTCCTCGAGGGCCGGTATCCTGCATCTTTCTGTGGTTTCCCTGTTCCAACACAGCTGATTCACCTGTGCAGCAGCTCCAAGCTCTCCAGAAGGTTGGTAATCGCCTGCTGATTGAAATCAGGTGTGGTGAAACATGGAAAAACAATTAAACATGGGGGAAAGCGGCCCTCGAGATCTGGAGTTTGACACCTGTGATCTAAGGTGTGTATTCCTGTATGGAAACCAGAACTCTTTATGTGTCAAGGCATGAAAAAAATAAATTACACTTTACTGTCAAACTCCCACAGGTCCAGATCCTGCTGTTTGCATCCATCTTTAGGGTGATAGAGATGGTCGAGAGCCTGAGAGAGGAGTAAAATACGCCATTTTTGTCCCAACAAGAAGAACCAACATCATAAAACGGAGATAGTCTGATGTTTCAGTCCAAACACAGTGTAGCCCTGAATCTGATCCCAGGACAGTTTAAGAGCATAGTAGGGATTAAAATGAATCCCAGGTGGACCAGGACGTCAAAGCCCTCTTTCTGGGTTTGATGGTTCTGTAGCCACGGCTAAACCCACCTCACAGCTCAGCTCTTTATCTTTTTAGTCTGTTTTAGACACGACAGACATGTTCACTGATACGAACGTCTAGATTTTATACCTGCTGAGACTCCATGTGTCTTCTAAACATGTCCCCTTGTTTCTTTATACTGATTCTCTTTGACAAAGGTGATACATTAAAAATAAGGAGACAATTTTGCTGATGTAATATTTATCTGGTGCATGAATATGAATGATTTTAAATTTTTAAAACCATTCTCCATCTTTTCTGTTCAGCTTCTCAGGGATAAATTCAGAGACTTTGCCCGGGAGACGGGCATGGTGGGCCAGGAGCGAGTGGACATGGTCAACCAGACGATAGACGAGCTAATCGAAGGTGGACATAGCGAGGCAGCTGCGTTGGCAGAGTGGAAGGACGGCATCAACGAGAGCTGGGCGGACCTGCTGGAGCTCATCGACACCCGCTCTCAGCTCCTCACGGCTTCCTACGAACTTCTCAAGTAAGAAATATTGCAGATTAATCCTGAAATTCCAGTTTTAGGAAGAAAATGGCAACAAGTTAATGTATTTGTAAATAAAACCTCTGTTATGGTGAGCTGGATGATGACTAAGAGAGGAATGCATTTACTTTTTAATCTAAGGTACTTTGATGATGGAAAGGAGTTGGTGACTCAGATCCAGGAGAAGCAGAAGGAGCTGCCTGAAGACGTGGGTGAAGATTTCAGTAAAGCAGAGTCCTTCCACAGAATGCACGCTGCCTTTGAGAGAGACATCACCGCCCTGGGCAAACAGGTACACCACACCAGCGAAGCCTTTCTCCTCCGAGGGAACGCAGCACGCCACAAGCTTTGATGATTCACATCTGATGCGGGCAGAAAGTTCTGCAAAACCTGCAAAAAAGTGACAAGTTTGAATGACTGGGGATGAGGTTAACCCTCTGGGGTCCATGGACGCGTATCCGCATCTTTTGAACAGGTCTGATTTGGGACGCTGTAGCAGCAAGACTCCGCCTCCCTTAGTTTCGGTTTCAATTTAGCTTTAAAAAGGAGATTATAAACTACACCCCAGTTTTTAATTTTTGTTAATAGGCAACGTAAAAGCGGAGTTATACTAAACTAAGAAACGACCTATTTTTAGACAATCTGATAACAGCAGTTTAGTAATCCGTGAGAGGGAATGTGCTTGTGAACATAAAAAACCCACAAAAACATGAAATCCTTTTGCTGTTGGTGCAAGTCTCACATATTCAGTTGATAAAGAGTATCATTGTGTAGCCGAGAGAGAGATAGGAAGGCCGCACGAGTAACCAGATGTGCGCAAAAAGGAGCCGCTTCGCGGGGAAAGGAGTGGAGCGAACGGAGTAACAAACAATTAGACAGATATTGACGGTAAACTTCATATTTTGGAGCGATCCGGACAGATATATTGTCTCTGCAGTTTAGTAGGCTTTTATTAGGCTTATATAAAGGATGATGAGAAGGATAAATGTCCACCAGGCAGTTCAGATAGTACGGCTGTTTTTTGAACTGGAAGCAGAGGACGTGGACGGAGACTCACAGCCGGAGTCTGAGGCAAATAGCGAGGATGTTGATGATGATGTGGCAGATCCATCCTTCCTCATAGAAGAGTTGGGTCATGATGAGGTGGAAGATGAAGGCAGAGATCCAGCTCCTCCGAGATCCAACAAGAGGAGTGGGCGGCGCCGCCCAGCTATCAGATCTCGATCTCCGCGGCATGAGACAGAGCCACTCCCCACTCCAAAATGCATGTACATTATTGCCAAATTAATAAAATAAGTATACATTCAGATAGTCCAGGTTGTGCTGAAAAATAAAAGATACCCCATAAGGCAATATTTATTGTTTTTATTAGAAAATACAAAAGAAAAAACAAAATGAGTCAAAAACGGTGATTTACACCGTGGACCCCAGAGGGCTAATAATTTTTTTATTTATTTGTTATTTGCTATATTTAGTCATATTTTTTTTATAAATGTACAGTCTAGATTACCATTCTGAATTATGAAAAACATTCGTCATAAATGTTTGTTGGTTTCCCAGTAAAATAAACAACTTTTTAAAAATTCGGATTTTATGTTTTTGAGTGATTTAAGGTCTAATATGCAACCCCTTTATGTCCAAATATAAAAAATAAGTATAGATTGATAAAGTCCTGGTTGTGCTGAAAAGATTGATACCACATAAGGCAGTGGTTATGGTTTTTTTTTTTTTTTGGAAATACAAAGGAAAACTCTAAATTAGTCAAAAACGGCAAATTACACCCTGGACCCCAGAGGGTTAATATTCAAAACACTCAGCTGGTTGTTCCTACAGCTATTGCGGGATGAAAGTCACCATTAGAGGCAATGTGGGGTTTATTCTGCAGCCCGGACATGTAAATAATTTCGTTTAACAGCCGTGTTCTTCGTCCAGGTTCAACTGTTCCAGGAAACAGCTGCAAGGCTTCACGCCCAGTACGCCGGAGACCGAGCAGATGCCATTCAGGCCACCGAAAGGGAGGTGGTGGAGGCCTGGAAAGGTCTGCTCGATGCCTCAGACGGTCGCCGTACGCAGCTGGTGGACACGGCTGAGAAGTTCCGCTTCTTCAGCATGGTCCGAGACCTGATGGCCTGGATGGAGAGCATCATCCAGCAGATCGAGACTCAAGAGAAGCCCAGGTGTTCACAACTGACTCAGCTTTAAAAGCAAATGCTCCCTGGTTGATGTTTCTGTGGAAAAGGGGGATCGTTTGTGTCTTCCAGGCTTCAACAAGGAGGAAAAAGATCCAAATCCAAATGTTACAGCCTAAATATTATTTTAAGTCAATAACAATAGAAAATGTTTATAAATTTCTGTACCTGCTAACACATTTTCCATTTTCTCAAGGGATGTCTCGTCCGTGGAGCTGCTGCAGAAGTACCACCAGGGGATTCGCTCAGAGATCGAAGCCAGAGGAGCAAAGTTCACAGACTGCATCGACCTGGGCAAGGCCCTACTGAACCGCAAGCACCGAGACCCTGCTGAGGTACGCCCTGAGCAGCAGAGAAGGCTCCTTTCATCCCCGGCTAGGTGTTCAATCGCTGTTTTTATTAGATTTAATTACTTTTCTGGGAGTAATTGTTCTCGTCTGGCACAATGGAACCAATTGGTTACCACCAAAGAACAACTTTCACTCTTCTTACGTTCATCGGGGAGATTAAAAAGAAAACACTAATTAGAAATAGAAAAAGCCAAAGAATTTAAATGAGCAGTTGACCCCTTCCTGAATGTACCGAACCGTTAATCACTTCACAATACTAATTCATGGAGAATAATAGAAGGCCCTCGGCTGAGTTGTTCAGTATTGCTGAGATGTAACTGCAGCTGGATGAACTGCTTGTTTCAGATCAAAGAGAAGCTGGTTCAGCTGATTGAGAAAAGGAAGGAAATGATGTTCAAGTGGGATGACAGATGGGACTGGCTGCGACTCTGTGAGTGGAGCTACACACCTCCTGCGTTAGCCGTTTTATTAAAAACGATCCTCTAACTGCCGACTTGATTGTGTCCAGTGCTGGAAGTGTGTCAGTTCGCACGGGACGCTTCCGTCGCCGAGGCCTGGCTGGTCGCTCAGGAGCCCTACGTGACTAGCAGAGACCTGGGTCACACCGTCGATGAGGTCGAGAAGCTCCTCAAGAGGCACGAGAACTTTGAGAAATCCACCGCCAGCTGGGAGGAACGTTTCTCTGCGCTGGAGCGCCTCACCACGGTACGGACAAGTTTGTTTGTTTGTTTGTTTGGAGACGTGTCAGGGACGTAAAACTGCTGAAGACTGATCTGACTTCATCGCCGTGTTGCAGCTGGAGCTGTTGGCGTTGAGGAAGCAGCAACAGGAGATGGAGCAGTTCATGAAAGATGAGCAACGCTCAGAAAGGGAGAGCAGGTACGAGCAGGAACACGGGCTTTATCAAATCTGCTCAATGAGATCTTAAACCTTTGATTTGGCGACTCTTTCTCCTAGGAGGGAAGACACTGGCTTTGCAGAAGAATCCTCACAACTCTACACCATCGAGGAGCAAACTCTGGTCAGTCACTTTCAAACTCTCCACAGCTGCATTTTTGTAAGAGCTCCTTTTGATTATGGTATGATACGGGTAGATCTGAATGCTTAAACAATCTCCCACATTTATCCGCTGATCAGTTTCTTCTTCCTGCTCCAGTCTGGGGCAGCAGATCCCAGTTCAGGCCAGCAGGAGGGGACTGCTGGTGACTCCACGGTGCCCATAGAGTCAGAGATGAGAGAGAGTGCATCCCTGGAGCTGGAGCCCTCCTTCTCTCTAGTCTTACCTAAAGAGCCCGAGAGGGCGGCCACCATGCCCACAGAACCTCTCAGCAGCCTGGCCGTGCTGCAGGAGGGCACGCTGTGCCGCAAGCAAGACTTAGAGGGCTCGGGGAAGAAGGCCTCCAACAGGTGGGTCACACAGAAGGAAACCACTTCAGCTTTTTACTTTTATTCATTCAGTCTGTGGGCTTTGTGGTGCAAAAACAGACTTTTCCCCACCTCTCCAGCTTAATCTGCTCATATTTTCTATTAAAATAAACAAACTGTTGCTTTTCTTGTGGGAAAAAATAGTTTAATGTAGTTAAATAAATGTATATTATAGATATAATAGAAACAGCTGTTGTTTATGTAGTAATTTATTATGTTGTGATATTTAACATTATTAATAAGTAAGGTATCAACAATAAAGTGAATTACAATGTGTTTTAGAAATACGTCGTAGTTAGAAATCCTAAATAACAGGCTTTGTGCTTCATTTTAAAAAGGCTACTTTAACAGTAATTATTATTAACTGAGATGCTGACACATTTTTGCCATTTCAAGAATTATGAAGTCTAAAATCTGCTTTTGCTTCTGTTTCATAAAGAATATATTTTATTCTTTGTTAAAGTTGAAGAGAAAAAAACATGTTAAAAATTAGTCAAAACATTTTAAGGAACAATTTCAGACACTAAAAGATAATTTTTTGTTCTTTCATGTAATTAAAGCTTAATTACTCACAAAAAAAACACTTTTGGCAAATAAACTGTCAAAAAGTTACTTATTTTAAACTCTGTGCTGTTCTACATAAAATCCCAGACTTCCACTGAATAAAAGAAGAAAAGATCCTGACATATTTTCTGTTTATTGTAATCAGAATGAGCCTGAGAAAACCTTTTCCTCCCGGTTCTCAGGTCGTGGAACAACCTTTACTGTGTGCTGAAGTCCGGTCAGCTCTCAGTCTACAAGGACCATAAAAGTTTTGGTCATGGGACAACGTACCACGGCGAGGACCCCCTGTCTCTCAGAGACGCCGGCTGGGAGATCCTCACCAGCTACAAGAAGAAGAAGCACGTTGCTAAGCTGCAGTAAGAATCCCACCCGTCGTTACCTGAGCTGTGTTATTTGTTGTCTGATGAAGCTCTGCTTTTAAAGAAAGGTGCTTTTAAAAAATGATTATTAATATCTGACAGCTTTTTGACCTTCTGGAGGTTTCTCTGGAGCTTACAGGCATCCAGAACAGTACAGCCTCACCTTTCACCTCTCAGCTGAGAAACCGTCCCACACTAAGCCCCACGCTGCAGCCCGACCCGTTGTTTTCACTTACTGCAGCCATCAGCTGTAGACTGAAGGCTTTAGGGGGCAGAAAATTAGACTTGTTTTACTCTTCTCTTCGGCTTTTGACAGAAGCAGTCTTGCTGTTTAAACTGATCTTAGAGCTAAATCATCTGACTTCTGTTTTTGTACATTTTAACAGAAATATGAAAGTCGGTCTCATTCAGCACTCAGCAAGAGGCCTTTCCCAAACGAAATACAAAGAAATCATGTCTGGATTAGATTTTTTTTCCTCACTATAGATCATAACACTAAAATGCTCATTAGTTTTCACTAAATACATTTATTTTATGAAACTATCTATAGGTCCCTGATTATTCTGGTTCAGTAAAATTCACCAAAATCGTGGATTTGCTACCTGAAACTCTGGGGCCACCTGTGGCTCTTCAGCCCACCTGACGTGGCTCCTGATGACAGACTAGATTTATGCAGATGATTGCCAGATCTACCTGGCTTTGAACAAACCAGGCTCCCTCTCTCTTCTGGACCAATGTTTGGCTGAAGTGAGGGTTTGGCTTGCCAACAATTTCCTTAAGCTGAATGATTCTAAGTCTGAGGCACTCCTGATGACCCCTAACAAAACCACACACATGTCTTCTGATTTGGCCACTCTCCCATATGACCTCAAGCAGTGTGTTACCAACCTGGGGGTGAAACTGGATACACACTTTTCCATGGGCCCTCAGATTAACGCAGTGGTCAGATCGTGTTTTTACCAGCTGCGCAGACTAGTTCGCTTAAAACCGATCCTGAAACGAGCGCACCTGGAATCTGTAATTCATGCTTTTATCACCTCCCGACTGGATTATGCAAATTCCATTCTAATTGGCTTACCTGCCTCCGCTCTTAACAGGCTTCATGTCGTACAGAACGCGGCAGCCAGGTTTTTAACAAACACCCCTAGAAGAGACCATATCACACCTGTACTGGCGCGGCTCCACTGGCTACCCGTAAACGTCAGAGTCAAGTTTAAAATCCTGACTTTTGTTTTTAAGGCCCTGAACGGTCTGGCTCCGGATTACCTGTCGGACCTTGTGACTCGTTATGTGCCAAACCGGGCATCGAGATCTGCTGATTGCCTGCTGCTTCGCGTTCCACCAATGACATACAAAACGCGGGGGCAGCGTGCTTTTGTCTACGCTGCTCCGACACTCTGGAATGCTCTTCCTCTTTCAGTGAGGCTGGCCCCATCCCTTCTCCGGTTCAAATCGCTGCTTAAGGCTCACTTTTACGACCAGGCATTCTTAAATCCCTGACTTTAATTATTTTATTATGTGTCTTTTATTGACCGTGATTATCTGCCTTGTTGTGCATTTTATTGTTGACCGTGTATTGTTTTATGTTGTGTTTTTACTTTTTATTCTGTACAGCACTTTGGTCGGCTGCCATGCCGTTTTTAAATGTGCTTTATAAATAAAGATGGTATGGTATGGTATGGTATAACAAGACCCTGAATAATGTTTCTGCAGTCTAGCAACAAGAAAAGGGCAGTTTTTGTGCAAATCTTTTGCATTAAGTGCATGGATGGATGTCGGTTGTTTCCCATCATTCCAGTATCTAGATGAGCTAAAAGTAGGTCAAAATGTCACAAAGTGGTTACAATAATCATGTTTTACTGTTGAGCCAATATTATATGAGCTCATCTGCTCTGTACAGAAACAGTTCTAAAGAAAACCAACAACTTCTTATCACTGCGTCTATATTTTGAAAGCACAACTTCATGCTTTTTATTTAAGGTGAATTATTTTATTCAAAACAACTTTAGCTCAACATTTTTGACTTTCTTCTATAAGGTCATGTAGTTTATTTCTTTTGTGTTTAATTCAAACTGATTTATTTCTAAAAAGGAATTTACGCAAAAAGTAACGTAAGTAATTCCTCTCAATCTGAGACCATGGTCTTGATTCAGAAAAGGGTAGAGTGCCTTCTCCGGGTCAGGGGTGAGGTCCTGCCCCAAGTGGAGGAGTTTAAGTATCTCGGGGTCTTGTTCACGAGTGAGGGAAAACTGGAGAGTGAGATCGATAGGCGGATTGGTGCTGCATCTGCAGTGATGCGGGCGTTGTACCGGTCTGTCATGGTGAAGAGAGAGCTGAGTCAGAAGGCGAAGCTCTCGATTTACCGGTCGATCTACGTTCCTACCCTCACCTATGGTCATGAGCTTTGGGTAGTGACCGAAAGAATGAGATTGCTGATACAAGCGGCCGAAATGAGTTTTCTCCGCAGAGCGGCTGGGCTCTCCCTTAGAGATAGGGTGAGAAGCTCGGTCATCTGGGAGGGGCTCGGAGTAGATTTGCTACTCCTCCACATCGAGAGGAGCCAGTTGAGGTGGCTCGGGCATCTGGTCAGGATGCCTCCTGGACGCCTCCCTGGTGAGGTTTTCTGGGCACGTCCAACTGGGAGGAGACCTAAAGGTAGACCCAGGACACGCTGGAGGGACTATGTCTCTAACCTGGCCAGGGAACGCCTCGGGATTCCCCCAGAGGAGCTGGGCCAAGTGGCTGGGGAGAGGGAAGTCTGGGCCTCTAGACTTAGGCTACTGCCCCCGTGACCCGACTCCGGATAAGCGGATGAAAATGGATGGATGGATAATGTAATGTAATATAATATAATATAATGTAATGTAATGTAATATAACATTATTACATCTAAATGTCTGTTCCAGCTTGAGCTTAACTCAGCTCCTTGTTCTCGGGTGAAATGCATGCTGGGAGCTGTTTAACACCTCCTAATCATATTTTTATTTTTTTCAGAAACTTAAAAAATATTGTATTAAAATTAATTTCTACACAACCTAAATAATGCATAAGACATCTAACCTAAATATCAGCGTGCCTCATATCAATAGGACGTGTCATCTAATTACAGCTTAGGGCTTAAACTTCCTCCAACAGCTCGGGGTTCCTCTCAGTAGCAGACAGAGGATTTAAAGATTAAGATAAATGTCGTCTTCACGGCAGGGGTGGGGTATGAAAGTGTCAGAACTGTTCCAGTTTGTGGTTTCAGCCGTGCAGAAGACAAGTAAAACTGTAAATCAGGCTTTTACTGAAAGCTGCACATCAGAGCAGCAAAACCAGAGGACCTGCAGGAAGGTGGATCGTTACACAAACCTTTCTCTCCATTGTAGATCCATCACAAGGATGAGCTAAACTACTGCGGACAGGTGATGTTAGCATTCAGCTCGTGGAGAAAAGAATCCAGGGATAAAACGAGATCCTTCTGACAAAAACTCTTTCCCCGCCGTTAGATACAGGGGTGGAAATATTCAGCTTTAGGGTCCCTTGACAGCCAGTGACAGAACAGGCTGCACCGACTTCACAAAATATCAGCAAATCGTGAGTAAAAACATCAAAAAGAGGCAGAAGATTCATCCAAAGCAGACATGAAACCCCCAAAATTTAGGAGACGTTTGGAAGAGTGTGTGGAGCTTAAACTCTGTGTGTGGAAAACATCTTAAATCTCTAAGAACGGGAAGAACTTCTACACCCAGGACCTGCTGGAAAAGTCTGATTTCAGGTGACATTTGAAGCTTTAGAGCCTCGCATCAAATGCCAAATAAAACAAAGCTGCTGCGTGTCTGGAGGGATGACTGAAGTTATACGTGAAGAGAAGCTTGGATGTTTTTGGGTTCATTTAACTTAAAAATCAATATGAAGAGTTCGTTTCCTTTGATTCAGAGCTTTCTAGTATCTAGAACCAGTTGGCCATTCTCCTCTCACCTCGTCTTCTGATTGGCTGATCAGTTAGCCTATTAAACATCTAATTATTATTGCCACCTGTAGTTCTTGGATCCTCCACCAGAGGGCAGGGGTCAACGGTTATTTTGAGGAATGTACTAATTCTGTTAAAGAGGAAGAGCCTTGGGCCTATTCAATTACTTTCCCTACTGGGCCAGATTTCAAAATCGTGGATCAGCTTTGGGCCGGATACCCAAATCTTTATTATGTATTTTACGGACAACGTTTAAATATGAAATTTTATTATTTTGACCGATATTACCTCTATCACTAATACAATGACAAAAAAGGCAATGCACAATGTCTTTTTATTGCTTTAATGATCTGTATTAATTTACCAGCTGCAGAGCTGGTAATACAAACATTTGTTTTATTAACCTGCAATAACTCAGTCGCAGCTACTAAATAAACATTAACAATAACCATAGCTTGACCGTTATTCTTGCAACTTTAGTGCGAGAGGTGGCACTTTTTGTTTTGAACAAGAAATGGAATATTTGGCTCATAGGAGCTGAGTGCAATGCGCAGACAGTAGTGCAGAAAGGATTCAGTGAGAGAGGAGCGCAGGTTTGTTTTGATTGCATTCATATGGGAAAAGCTGGATTCACAAATATAGGTGATCCAAACTGAGAACAGTCACAGCTACATTCTTGAGGTTTGGGAACTGATGGGCATTGATCTGACTCCAAAACTTAGCGGGGCCATTTGTGCGCAGCTCTTGTGGCATCTTAAGTGATGACTGCATGTCCACCAACTCCAGCAGGAACTGTCCCTCATCGATAGAAGAGACCACTTCCTTAGCTTTGATGGACAATGTTTCCTCAGCGATGGCAGCAAATGGATATTTCGTTAATTGCATCGCCTCTGTAGGAAGTGACAGATCCTCCAGGCGACTGGCGAAGTTGTCCTTCAGTTTCGCGACTAAACCTGTCATTTCTGCCGTGACTTTCGGAGGAGAGGTGGCTTTACAGAGTGTGGGAAAATGTTGCATTCTTTCACCAGTCAAGTCAGTTGCGAACACGTTTAGTTTTGCCTGAAAGGCGCTTGTTTGCTCCACAAGCTCAATCACCGTCTTGTCTCTCCCCTGTAGTCCCAGATTTAACTGGTTTAAGCTTGAATAAGTCACTCAGAAAACATACATCTGACATAAAACTGTTGTCTATCAAGCGGGTCACGTGTGCCTCTGCTTTTTTTTGTTTGCTCCCACGAAGAAACATTTCTATCTCCACCCTAAGCTCCCAGACACGCTCCAGAGAGTTACCTTTGGAGAGCCACCTCACATCGTTGTGCTCTGCAGAGACATCAGAAAGCAGCTGCCGAAAGAGACGGTGTTGAAGGCTGGACATTGCATGAATGAAGTTTATTGTGGCCATGAAATTGTCCATTACAGTTTTGAAGTGTCCACTTAGTTTCGCACACAACACTGCCTGGTGTACAATACAGTGCAAGGATTTCATCCCCGGTGCAACAGCTGACCAGCGCGCTGCGAGTCCATTTATTCTGTCCAGACCATTGGTCTTTGATAAGTGGGTCAAACAAATCCACTGCTAATATTTCAACTCGCTGTATGTTTGATGTATCTGACAAAGGCACGCTCTTCACTGCAGCAGTCACGCTTGTTTTAATTTTCTCATCGCTGATCACCTCGTCCAGAAAGGCTAACATACGTTCTTTAACAGTTTCAGAGTCAGTGAAGAGCCGTTTCTTCTTTGCTAAAATCAATGACACGCGTAGAGGCCACAGTTGCTTTTTCTTGTGCAGTACATGTCCTTACTATTGTAGAAGAGCTCCAGTTGTATGATGCTAGCAGGCTCTGCACTTTGCTAGCCCTCTCTGATGTTCCTTCGGGAAATTGAGCTCCAAATGCCTGATGTTTCTCCGTGTGGTGTCTCCGAATATTGTATTCTTTCAATACAGACAGGCTTTCGTGGCATAATAAGCACAGTGGTTTAGCATTAAGTCTGTCAGGCAAAATAAATACATATTTGTCCATCCAAATCGCCTATTTTCCCAGTCAATTTTGCGTTTCTGACCAGTTAGTGACATCTTGCAGGTGAATCATTCAGGCAGGGCTGGGTCATTGCTGGGTCACTGCTAAGATACACATGAATATGTAGAAGCCACACTATGGCAGCTCCAATAGACAGCACCAGTCCACGGGGCGTCTACGTAAATATGTCTGTGATTGCTAAAATGGTGTTGTGTTCAAGTGTAATATCAGTGTGGGAATTTAGAAACTTGCATGCTAAAACAGTTTTTCAACAGTTTTTTTCCATTGGTGGTTGGGGGATTGGGTGAGGTGGGCCAGCTGGGTAGGGCCCGCGGGCTGGATGTGGCCCACGGGCCACCTTTTGAATAGGTCTGCTTTAGAGGAACAGGTGTGTAATTTAAGATAAATGTGGAATTATAGAACTAAAGGAATAAACGTGCTTCTAATAATCAAAACTTAATAATAATTCAGATTTTCCCTCCTTTCTCAGTCTTGCAGATGGAAGTGAATATTTGTTCCAGTGTAAAGACGACGTAAGTTCAAAACATCAAATACACAAACTCACCCTGGTTACAGCAGGTACATGTTTACATTTCATAATACATTTAAGGGTAAATCGTGAATCCTTTCTTTTAAATTAGTTTAACAAAAGAGATTATTACCTCGATTTAATCCCACAAACACCCCAACTCCTTCAGTCATCCAAATACAAGACAGGAACACACACACACGGCTCACTTTGTAACACGATGCATTGTGTGTTTTGATTCCAGGAAGAGCTCCAGCGCTGGAGCGAGGCCATGGAGAAGGCCGTTCAGACCCTGGAAGCAGAGGAGGAACTAGGGCCCTCGGGGGCCAAAACCCACAGCCTCCCCGCGCCCCCCTCCTCAGCTACACCCCCTGAAACCAGCTCTGCCAAGAAAGACAAGGAGAAGAAGTTCAACCGCTTTGCCAAGAAGAAGTGAAACAAACGAGCCGGCCGCTGGGAGGGAGCGTTGCCTAGGCAACCTGGATGGAGAAAGTAGAATTTATGTACAATCAGTCAGAGTGGAGCTTTTTAATCACTAGATGTTTATTTTGTGAAAATGAAAAAATCGTGAAGTTTGAGTGGAAGCCGTCACCTTTGCCTGTATTTAAGCCCGTGTACGATTCCAAAGGTCCTTTTTCTGTATTCTCTTTTTGTGTTGTTTTTAACTCACCTAGAGCATCGATTAAAGCACAGGGATGCTTCACACTCAACCAAAGAATGTTTGCAAAAATTTGTTTTTGTTAGTTTAGCTGCAGTTTGTTGCTTTGTCATAAATGTGGCGTAAGGAGGCATCTAGACCCCAGAGTCCGGGCGGTACATTCATCAGCCTGCCTGAGAAAATGGTTGTGAACTGTAATACTGTGCTGCGTGAGCTGTTAGCGGCTACTAGAGTCTGATGATTTGAAACAGATTTGCAGAGTGGAGGGCTGTAACGTGCACACACACCAGCTACACTCATGTAAACAAAAAACTGAGTGTGTACAAGCAGTCATGTGACACAGTTTGATCTGTGGATTTAAACTATACTCCACACCTGTCTACTAAACTCTATAACTATGTAATAACATATACACTATATATAGCTAGAGATGCATGTTATACGTTGGTTTGATTTGGTGCTATGATGGTATTCTTGACCCACTTGAATTGCCTTATTTGTGTTTGACTCGTGCTTGCAGTGACACAACGCTAGCATGCATAAAGTGGAGAGGGGGGTTCCATAAACTAAGCAAACGTGAATAGATTTTCAGGACGAGGCAGGACACTTTTAACGTGGTGCAGCATGAGAAATAAAATCTCTTTTAGACCACGGTTCAGCTGAAAAACACCAAGGCTGGGAAAATGTAGCCTCTGCCGCCAAAACAAGCGTTTGTGTCAGGATGCTGCGGAGAAAACAGCAGCTCAGACTTTTACAAACACAGCTTTGCTGCAGGGTTCTGCTGTGAAGCATGATGCCTGGATGAATTATTAACATAGTAATGATTTAATATGTTTTATTAGGTAGAGATCCATGGTAACAGGAGATAGATTTGTTGATTTCAGTTACATTTGTAGATTGAAAACCTGCTTTTGGTCAATTTGTTTTCATTTAAATTTCAAAATGATTTGAATTGGTATGGGGTCAGAAATGAATAAAAACTGCATATTGAAAGGTAAATTAGTCACTTATAATCATATTGAGATGTTAAACCTCCCAAATTAAAATCCATTCTTTATAAAAAACCTGCCACCTCATTGGTTGGGTTTATTAATAAGACAAGTTAATGCAAGACAATCAAATGTTTACGTATGATCAGGATTTACATAATTTCAGCTCATTTTAATGAGTTTTTAATGTACAGTAACAGGATTTTTCATCTATAAACAGATAAGGAGACGTTATGATGAACAGTCTCAGATTACCATCGTCGTCTTGTATTATGGATTAAACAGCCGTCTCACTCAAGTGACCTCTACAAAAGCCATAAATGACATCATTCAGCTCCAGAAGATGTTGCAGCATCATGATCTCGTCTATTTTATTTACAAATCCATCTAAATGACTCATTTCCTACAGGTACCAGAAGTTTAATTCTCCCATGAACGCACCTGGAAATAGTTTGGATAGTTCATTTATTTTGATCCTGACACTTTCTCACCCTCAGCCACTTTTATTCCTTCACTCTCCTCACCTTTTCTGTTCGGTGGTTTATAAATCTGCATTTTGTACTCAATAGCTCTGTAAAATATTCAGACATGTTGACAAAAAACAAATGTTTTGAGAGAATAAAGTTTAAAAGAGAAACGGGTCTGGTTTATTTGCCAGTAAGAAAAACAAATGAAACTTTTAATTCAGGATACATTTATTGGTTACAGACGAGTCGACAGAGGCATGCATGAGAAAAAGACGGTTCTCCGGTAAAAAGGTTGTTAACATCCAGCTGTCTGGTAGAAAAAGAATCACAGATGACAGCGAGGCGGCTTCAGGCTAATTAGATCTCAGCTCGCTCTTAACAGGCTGAAGATGATCACTTGTAGCACGACAAAGCCCTGGATAGCAGTTCATTTCAATTGTTACAAACTCAATAGGTGTGCGCCTGCAGCCGCGCAGACAAACAACTCCCTGGTTTCAAAACAAATAAGCCAAGAGGAATATTACTCATCATCCGGTTCTACCCAGTGAGACCTTTAACAGAACCTCCTCAGCTCCCGCGTTTATCCTGAAAACAAATTTCACTTCCACACCGACTTTATTTGTACATCTTGCTGCCAGCAGTAATCCCTCAGCCCGACGACAACCCTGACTAATTTAAATTACGCTGTTTTACCACTTAGTGATTATTTCACTGTAGTAAAAACAGATTAAGGCATTTCTGTGATCGAACGGCTGTTACAACACAACCTTGTAAGTTGCAAAGCAGAAACAAAGGACATTTTAATGAAATAGCTCCTAAATCCTCAGAAAGCTGCAGCATTTGGCAAAAAGACGATGTCTAGGTGAGATGCAAATATGACAAATGATACAAGAAAACATTTGTTTTCATAAGTTTAACAAATATTAATTTTCCACTTGTAACCCGATTTATATAGGAGCCGTTAAATCTCCACTAGGGAGCTATTAATCTCGATTAACTCAGATGTAACAAAGAGATGAAAGTGGATTAACAAGAGCGACTGCCGATGTTTAATACACACTTAGAGAATATTTCATATTTACATCAACACTGCAGAGAGAAAACAACCTGATGAGACTTTACATTGAGTATGACAATGGTTAAAGCCCTGCTGTGTTTATCGTGTTGATAGAAAGTAAACCAGAACCTTCTGTCACATTTGAAGCAAAAGAAACAAGAGATTGTAAGGCTTCGTGCATCAGCAGGTCAAACCTCGACTTCCCATCAGTCTGAAGCTTAAAAAAAACAAACAACAACAAAAAACACATCTTGTTTCTATCAGATTAGAATTCCAGCATAAAAAAGATCTGCCACAACTCACTCCAAAAGCACGGCATTTAGGATGACTTTTTGAAATATTGATTACATCTAAAGTAGCAGAAACGACGAGTGAATAGTTATAAAAAACAGCTTAATTCATGAATAATTAAATATGAACTCAAAACAACAACCATACATTTAACGATGGAACAAAAGGAGGAAGTGAGCGGGATAACTAATCGGGTTTGTGTGTTTGGATTTCTTTAGAAACTAGCTGTGATGAGAGCATCTCAGTAGCCACACACACACACACACACACACGCACACGCACACGCACACGCACACACGCACGCACGCACGCACGCACGCACACACACACACGCACGCACACACACACACACACACACACACACACACACACACACACACACACACACACACACACACACACACACACACACACACACACACACACACACACACACACACACACAGACAGACAGACAGACAGGAATAAGAAAACAGCTGACTTTGTGAATATCATGTGATATGTAGTCACAGGCCTGGTGTGTACTCTGTGCTGGGCGCTCAGTCGCTCCCTCTTTGGTTGTCACCGACACAATGCAGCCGCCGCCGTCTCCAGGACCCAGCTCATTAAACAGTGAAAAGGTGTGTGTGCATGTGCAGAAGTGTACAATGTGCATGTACGTAGCAACAGGACGTGATGAGGAAACAGGCAGGAGCAGGATTCTGTGTTTATTTGATGAGCTTGTTGGCTCTGTCGTTCGCTACGTCAATGCGTATTTTGTTCAACTCGGCCTAAAGGAGAGAAAACAGAAGATGTAAACAAACTGTCATGTTGTAGGAATCTGCAAACACATTTAAATAACTTTTCAAAAGCTTTTCTCTGCACAAACGCACATCTTAACACGGATCTGCATGTTTTCCTGAAATCAAGCAGCACAGAGTCGGGGCTTACGTCTCGGCCCAGCCGCTCCGGTCATCACAGGATCGTCGGCTAGCAGTGCCTACACCACGCTCAGGACAATCCAGACTCTTCTCATGCATCGTTCCACAAATGTGGAATGACCTACCAAGCACTACCAGAACAGCGGCTTCCTTTTCGATTTTCAAGAAACTCCTGAAGACCCTGCTCTTCAGAGAGCATCTTCTAAACTAGCACCCTCCCTGCACCCGTCCCCCTCTCTACTGTCCACTCCTTGTTCCCTCCTCTCCATGATTCATCATGCTGCCTCACTGCCACCTACGACTGACTGGAAATTGGTTGTTGTTGTTGTAATTGTTGTTGTTTTAGCCTCAAGGGCAACACGCCGATTATCACTTGTAAGTCGCTTTGGACAAAAGCGTCTGCTAAATACATAAATATAAACAGAGGAAGGTTGCTGATCTAATGAAATAATCAGATTACCAACTATCTCAATATGTGAATTTACAAACATCAGAAAAGCAAAAGTCTGGAACGATTCTCCTCCGCATTTCATTGTGTTGTTCAAATTTAGATAAAACTGGCATTTCTTTAAAGTGTTCCGACTGAACACCTTAAGCAAGAAGTCTCCTGGAAAAGTCCTGATCCGGCTCCCACGTTTGGCCGGTTCATCTCATACTTCCAGGCAAATAATCCTAAAATCCCAGAGGCTGGATGGAGAGCTACTCCGAACCGCCGTCCTCAGGAATCAGCACACTGGCGGGATTTAGGGATTAAAGTGTTGGCTTTGGCTGAGCCACTGCAGGACAGGCAGAGACACGTCCTGAAGTTGGTCCAGAGTTGTCCTGATGGTTTGTCGTCACCCCCCCCCAAACTGTTTGTAATGTGATGCTTCCAGCATCGTGTCTCAGCACAGATGGAGGTTGGTATTAGACCACAGTGGGGTTCTTCTGGGACCACTGGGGACTTTCCTGTGATGATGCACCTTTCATTCACTCTACAGCGCTGATGTGAAACAACTGCTGTGTTTAGTGTCATTTTACAGCAGGTGTTAACTCCTTGTTTGTTTTCCAAAGGAGTAAAATGATGAACAGAAGAATTCACCAACAATAATAACATTTTACGTTATTACTATTGTGCCTATTTAAAATTTTAAAAATGCTCTCACCTTCTCAGTGATGTTGTCGATGTGCACGTTCTGCTTGTCGATTTCGTTGCCCATATTTGTTGCCAAGTCCTTCAGGTTGCTGACGATGCTGCCGACCGTGTTCAGGTTTTCCTCCATCTCATCCTCTCGAGCGTCGTTGGTTATCCTGCACATCAGACATGAAGTTTAACACCTAAGAATCCAACAGGAACGTCACAATATCACCGTCAGAAGGGCACAAATGGATCTGGCAACCACTGGTTGTGCAAGTTGTCCCCCTTAAGAGATGAAAGAGATCTGTAATTGTCATCATAATGTCATTTACATTTCAGCTGTGAGACAGAATATAAACATAAATCACACTGTATGACTTTTACTGCTGTAATGGTGCAGAAAATAAGCAACAAGGAATTCTGTCCCTTACAGAACCTCTTCTATCCTCAACTTATGGCTCCTGTTTAAACCCATTCTCTGTATAAAAGACACCTGCCCACACCTTCAAACATTCAGACTCCAACCTCCACCATGGCCAAGACCACAGAGCCGTCTAACGACACCCAGGACAACATTACACACCTGCGCAAGACGGGGACGAGACAACCTACAATAAGCGAGCTGCTTGGTGAGAAGGGATCAGCTTTTGCTACAATTTTAAAAAAATGAGGGAAAAAATACAATCTCCCTGAACCTGGAAGGGGGGGGGGGGGGGGGGGGGCACACTGGTCAATGACCTGAAGAGACCTGGAACCACAGTAGAAGAAGAAAGAAGAAAATATCTTTTCTATAGCGCCTCTCAAGATGAAGATCACGAGGCGCTTCACAAAAACAATTGTGGAATTGAAATTAAATGAAAAATTATTGAGAAAATGATTGAAAATTTATTTAAAATGAGCAAAAAATTGACAATTGTGATTAAAAAAATGTTAAAGAGAAAATGCATAGGAAAGAGGGAAATCAGTGGATCCTGAGGATGGTGGAATAGGTGGGGAGAGCAGAATAAAGAGAGAGTGGTGAAGAAGGTCATACAAAAGCCAGCTTGAACAGGTGAGTCTTCAGCTGCTTTTTAAAGGAGACCACTGAGTCCACTGATCTCAGGCTCAGGGGGAGAGAGTTCCAGAGTCTGGGGGCCACAGCAGCAAATGATCTGTCACCTTTGGTCTTTAGCCTGGTGCTGCACAACCAGTAGGCTTTGATCACTGGACCTCAGGGACCTGCTGGAGGTGTAGGGACTAAGAAGATCACCAATGTAAGATGGTGCTTGTCCATGTAAGGCCCTATAGACCAGAACCAGGATCTTGAAATGAACCCTGAAGTTGACTGGCAGCCAGTGAAGCTGGAGGAGAAGCGGGGTGATGTGGGTGTGTTTGGAGGACTTGGTCAGAAGCCGAGCACAGGCATTCTGAACCACCTGTAGACGGTTCAGGGAGGTTCTGCTCAGACACATGAAAAGAGAGTTACAGTAGTCTAAGCGTGAGGAGATGAGGGTGTGGAGAACTGTCTCAAGTTCAGAGCGAGACAGAATGGGACTCAGCTTAGCAACGTTCCTGAGATGGAAGAAGGAAGAGCGAACAAGAGAACTGACATGAGAATCCAGGATGAGAGCTGGGTCAAAGGTCACGCCAAGATTCCTGACAGAAGGTTTGGTGTGAGAAGTAAGCTGACCAAGAGAGTCTCTGACTTTGGGAACCAGCTTGTCTGGGGCACAGATGAGGATCTCAGTCTTATTTTCATTCAGCTGAAGAAAGCTCCCAGCCATCCAGGTTTTGATAGAGTCTAAGCAGGTGTGTAACAGCTGCAGCTGAGATGTCTCATGGGGCTTAAAGGAGATGTACAGTTGGATGTCTTCTGCATAAAGATGGTAGGAGATTCCTTTGAAGGAGCTCAGGATGTGCTGAAGAGGAAGCAGATAGAGTAACAAAGGTTACCATAAGTAATACACTTTGTCATCACAGATTTAAAATTCTGCCGTGCTCAAAAGGTCCACCTGCTTATGCCAGTACATGTCCAGGCCCGTCAGAAGTTTGGCAGAGATGATCCAGAAGAGGATTGTGGTCAAATGAGACCATAATAGAACTCTGGTATAAACGCCACTTGCCATGTTTAGAGGGGGAAGAATGCTGAGTTGTACCCAAGAGCACCATACCCAAGCATGGGGATGGAAGCATCATGCTTTGGGGGTGCTCTTCTGCAAAGAGGACAGGAGGACTGATCCTGCTTAATTTTATTTTTTTTTTACATTCCGTCTCTCACAGTTGATGTTTACCTGTGATGTAAATTACAGACCTCTCATCTTTTTAGGTGGGACAACTTACACAATCAGTGCCTGCCAAAAATGTTTGTTGCCCCACCCAACAGAACTCTTAGGAACACAAAGGAACCTGACCTGTTGATGTACGGACCAGACGGGGCCGAGGCTTGCACCTGGACAGTCTGGCCATTGCGAACAGCCGAGGGCTGCCTCGAGACCACATTTGAGTTGTTGCCGTCGCCACCCCCCTCCGATCCAGTTCCCCACGTGCGCTTGTAACGAGATTCATTCTCGATGGATGAATGTCTGGAAGGTAAAATTTAGAATACATGAAAAAATTAAGTTGCTTATCTAAACACACACACACACACACACACACACACACGCTTGCACAAAGACGGAGCCATGTAAAACTAATGGTCAACCACTGCAGAGGCTGATCAATAAAGCAATAAAGACAAAAGACTCCCTACCTTATATCACGGTAATCAAAGTTTCCTCTTCTCCAAAGCGAAAGCATTTTAAAAAGATTTTTTCCATATTTAGAACCAAACATGATCTTTTAGAAAAAAACGATCCAACATAACTCCCAACCACGACACAGCCATCGTTTCACATTCGAGAGACTTTTTACCATCAGATTTCAGCTGAATATTAACTTCTGCTCTAACTACACCGGCCTTGTTTCAGGCAGGTGATTGTTAGTAAAGTGAAATAGTAAATAAGAGTTCTATAACCAACCATGTGACCTCCCAGTAGCAGTACTATGGAGCTGTGAGCCACCTGGAGCGTGTAGTGTACCTGTCACAGGGGCAGACACACAGGCCGCAGCATCTGGACAGGTCAGCCAGGTTTTTGTCGGCCTTTTTCATGTCCTCGTTGATCTGGTCCATGCCTTCGTCTATACGCCTCAGCTGTTCTGGATCACACAAGGACACAACATGTCAGGCTCACTTTATTCCCTTTTAAATCCTACAAATAATTATTTTCATGAGGTTTCCTCCCTCAAACTCAGAAGATATGGTGTTGTCCTTTATGGCTAAAATCCCAAATATCCCATGAATGAGACTTTGCTTGCCAAAACATTCTAAACCGCATATGTCCTAGTTACGTGTACAACTTGCACAAATTCAGTGACTCCAACTAAATTTGTATATTTCCTCAGTTTTCTAGCTAGTAGCAACCCCTCTCTAGTACCAATCTATTTAGTGAGAACAAATAAACTCTAATTTTTTTAATAACTGACCTTTTCTTTAGTCTTTTCCTTTATTAAGATTGCAAATGTTACTTCATAATAAATAAACACAAAAAACCTGCATGATATTACATTTAAATGTAGCGTCTTTACCTCCCTGCTGATCCAGCATCACCATGGTGTTGGCGCCAGTCTGTTTGCTCTTCAAGAGAAAAGAAAAACAGCAAAACAAATTTAGATATTGCACATAATAAGAGAATAAAATAATTAAAGTTGGATGCGACTCAAGACTCAAAGGCCATTATAGTGATTAAGTCATGATTAAATGTGGGTTCCTTGCTTTCTAAAACACATAATCGTGTCGGTAGTCTCACCTCCTCGGCCATCTGGAGCATCCTCCGTGTGCTTTCCAGTGACTGTGGAGGAAAAAACAGAAGGTGTCAGAGGCTGGTGAGGGAAGAAGAAGAAAATATAATTTCTATAGCGCCTCTCAAGATAAAAATCACGAGGCACTTCACAAAAACAAAAATTTAAAATATAAAAAAGGATTTAGAAAATGTTTAAAAATATATTTAAAATGAGCAAAAACAGGCTATTGGGATTTAAAAGAAAAAATGTTAAGAAAGAGAGAGTGACTAGGAAAGAGGGAAATCAGTGGATCCTGAGGAAGGTGGAATAGGTGGGGAGAGCAGAATAAAGAGAGAGTGGTGAAGAAGGTCATACAAAAGCCAGCTTGAACAAGTGAGTCTTCAGCTGCTTTTTGAAGGAGACCACTGAGTCCACTGATCTCAGGCTCAGGGGGAGAGAGTTCCAGAGTCTGGGGGCCACAGCAGCAAATGATCTGTCACCTTTGGTCTTTAGCCTGGTGCGCTGCACAACCAGTAGGCTTTGGTGACTGGACCTCAGGGACCTGCTGGAGGTGTAGGGACTAAGAAGATCACCAATGTATGACGGTGCTTGTGTGACAGTGTGAGCGTCCTGTCACAATGTCCCGATTGATCATGCGCCCTGGCTACTTGGCCAAGGGGATGTCCCTTTGGCTGACTGGTTAGAGCGTATGACTCTCACCCGGGAGTCTGGGGATCGAATCCCGCCTGGGCCCTTGTTTCTCCACCTTGCCACACTTGTCCATGTAAGGCCCTATAGACCAGAACCAGGATCTTGAAATGAACCCTGAAGTTGACTGGCAGCCAGTGAAGCTGGAGGAGAAGCGGGGTGATGTGGGTGTGTTTGGAGGACTTGGTCAGAAGCTGAGCACAGGTGTTCTGATCCACCTGTAGACGGTTCAGGGAGGTTCTGCTCAGACACGTGAAAAGAGAGTTACAGTAGTCTAAGCATGAGGAGATGAAGGTGTGGAGAACTGTCTCAAGTTCAGAGCGGGACAGAATGGGACTCAGCTTAGCAATGTTCCTGAGATGGAAGAAGGAAGAGCGAACAAGAGAACTGACATGAGAATCCAGGGTGAGAGCTGGGTCAAAGGTCACGAAAGAACGACTTGTAAAAACATTTAGATGCTTTTTAGTTTTAGCCTTTGTTAAGTTTTGATGCTTTTGAATAAATCTGTTTACAAGCAGTTTCTGATTGATGGATCGTGTTTTTTTTAATTTATTAGGATCCTAAAGAGAAAACAACATGAGAGAATTTTGAATAGCAGACAAGAAAAACACACAAGCAGCTGATAATTAATATTTAATAATTACCAAAAGAAAACACAAGTGTTAAACAGTGATGCTATAGTGAGATTTTATCATTTAGAACTAATTATTATAAGATCAGAAGCTTTTTGTGGATTATTTACTTTATTTGCTGGAGGCGCCAAACTGATCGTCCCAATAATGACAGTTGTGTGAATATGCCTAACAGAAAGAGATATTGCCTGCATTTTAATTCTGTTCATTATCATTATGTCTGGTTGGAAAAATAAACCAATAAATCTTCAAATTACTATTTAAATATCTGGTTAGGACATTTCTTTTGTGTCCAATTATCTTGTCAGCTACAATAATAAAAGTCTGAATGAAACAGAAAGCCATCGGAAGTCTGATATTTGAGAATATTTCTGCAGCTGAAAACCACATGATGTCATGTCTCAGTAGTGACCAAACAGGCGAGAGTCGCCGAGACGAAAGTAACCTACAGGAGGACAAAAGGTGTTTACAGCCAACAGGAATGTGGTCAGGTCAGGTGGGCCTCACCTCTTAAACACAGAGGAGAGGATGCTAATGGAGGGCGGGAAGGAAGGAAGGAAGGAAGGAAGCAAGAAAGGAAATAAGGGAGCGACTGATGATTAATGAGCAAGGACTAGATTCCTCATTTCCTCTCTGCTGTTTGCTCTGAACACACTCAGAGAGCCGAGGAGCAGACAAACAGGAGTTGTGAGACGTGTTCGGCTCAGCCAAGCTTCTGTTGACTGATCCAGAACATCACTCATGAGGAGGAACGTTATTCCTGCTGGAATCTGTCTATTATAACACAAATCTGGATCCAGCTGGGTCAAATATTTCATTGGGGAATGTTTTAATGCTCGTTTTCTCATCCGTGTACAGTGTTAAAAGTGAGAGTGGTTAGTTACCCAGAGCCAGAGGTGAGGAGAACCAACCAGGCAGCAGCAGACAAGATGAAGGAGACGTGTAGCAAGAGTCAGAAATCAAAAAGAGCAGTGAAACTTCAGCCCAGAAGATTATTTTGTGAATCAGAAATCACATCACAGCTACAGTTAAACACTTTCCCTCCATCTGAATCAGGTGGTTGATTATATGATGCCCTGAAGTGCTGATTAAACAATCTCTAAGACAATAACGAATCTAGCCAACTGCACTGTAAGAGCAGCGACAGGTAGGGGAGCTATCAGACTAAATTAGCTCCCAGCCTCTCACACTTCCTGTGATACCGTCTCTATAAACAGACACAATCTCCATCTAATTACCCACCAAGGCTCTGTCAGAGAACACAATCCCAGATTATGTGTGCGAGTCTGTTTTCTCCTACTAGTTCATGCCAGAATTTACTTTTGCAAAGTTACGACTAAAACTATCTCCTAACAGGCTGATCTTACTCGGCACGGCAAATATTGTAATGTTGTTAAAACAGGTGAGTGACGGTTTTGCGCTGCAGCTTTTGGACATTATAGGAAGAGTCTTGCTTTATGGATGAGAATGAGATAACAGAAACCACTTTAAGGTTCTTATTTGTAAACCAAGCGATTAGCTAAGCCTGCATCAGTTCTGGAGTAAATCTAACAAATGAGATCTGAAGTATTAATTAGTGAGCAGCAGACTAGAAGGTGGTGGATTGTTTTAATCTTTAGATAAAGCCGGGCTATCGAGAAGGATATGCGTCTTCTACATTGCATATTCATACTGCATTAGCTCAGTCTGATTTCCATTTGAAAAATAAGGTTTGCTTCTAAGATGAAAGACTTGTCCTGGTTGCTTGTTGGTGGATGACAACCTCTGCCAAGGAGGGCTGTGTGTTTTCTATGGTTTGTTTACAGGATTACTCAAGGAAAAAAAAACCTCTGGATTGATATGCATGAAAACTGTAGCAGATGTGGGGCATGGCCCAATTTAAAAGTGATTAACTTCTGATGTAAAGAACCAGGATTTGCGATGGTTGTGTGTGTTCGCGTGTGCTCTTTAGTGTTATATATGATAAATGACCCGCACTTGTATATTGCCTCTCAGAGTAAGGACTCCAAAGCGCTTTACACTACAGTGTATCATTCATCCATTCATACACACATTCACACACTGATGGTGATGAGCTACAATGTAGCCACAGCTGCCCTGGGGCGCACTGACAGAGGCGAGGCTGCCGAGCACAGGCGCCACCGGTCCCTCCGACCACCACCAGCAGGCAAGGTGGGTAAAGTGTCTTGCCCAAGGACACAACAGCAGAATTCTCTGTCCAGAGCCGGGATCGAACCTGCAACCTTCCGATTACTGGACAACCCACTCCACCTGTTGAGCTACTGCTGCCCTGTGTTACAGCAACAGCAAAACCCACTTCCCTAAACAACTCTTATTTGTAAAAATATGTTGTTTTTTTTCAAACAATCTGTTCATCGATGAAATGTAAGAAATATTCCAGCTGTTTGATTCTTGACATTTTTAGTAACTTCCAGAAAGCCATTTCAAGGCTTTGTCACTTTAAGAAAACAAGTTGTTGCTGACCACGCCTACCCATCGCCTACTCAGGCTACTATAAGCCGAGAGGCTCTGATATCTAGGAGGGGCTCAAACTAGAGCAAATGCTCCTCTAGCAGCAGCTCTTTCTTTGCACAAGAGTCTGACTTTTTGAACCCGCTTGTTTGAGGCACACAATTCTGAAAACCAAACCCTGACAGAAAACTGATGAATAGTTTTTTTAAATTTTACATTTGGAGTGTTTATAGAGGCAGTAGAGACCCACACGGCAGTGGATGAAAAACGTGAGTTTTGCATAACATGCTCCCTTTAAAATGCAGAAACATCTTTGACTTGCCTACAAACAAGTCTTTGTTGAGTTGACTTCCTGTACACCTAAAGACAACATGACTAAACACTAACGGTCAAATGGAATTAATGATTATTGATACATTATTGGTTTTTGCTGAAGCTTCTCCAAATGGGCAGATCCTGATTTTGTTCTAAACCTGAGAACCACATTTATCGCAACCTTTTTAACGTTCACTAATTGTACATTTAAACTAAGCAAGCGTGTGTGTGTATGTGTGTGTGATTCCATACCTCGTCTGTCACCTGGTTGGCCCTAATAGCCATTTGTTCCACACTCATGTCTGCCATGTTGCTGGTGTCCTGTTTGGCGGCTCCTCCTTTGGCGCTGAGCTCGATATTCTGTGGCCTGAAACAAAACCAGAGTTCAGTCAACAGCAGCTCAACAGAAGGTATCTGAACAAAGACGAAGGAATGAACAGCTCTCTTGTAGATGGAGATGAAACATTTTAGGAATTACACTCAATAAACAAGTAATATTTTATGTAAAACATAGCCAAGTTTTCTGACCCACGAATGAGAAGCTAACAGTCCTCAAGTGATGAAAAAAGGTTAATGAGCGTTCTGTTGAAACAAAAGGTTTTAAATGACGTACGTTTCACCCGACCTCTACCATTTTTACAAAAACATCCCACAACATATCCGCTGACACGTGCGGCGATACGAATATATCCACCACTCGTCAATATCTGCCAGCGGACGGGCAGGATGATTTATTGACTGATGTCTCACTTGGATGCATTAATTATTAAAGAGATAAGAACACAAAACACTTACTGGTTTGAAATCTTAAAATGCAAAGATGACTTGGCTTTAATATAATGCCCCAAAATGAACTGAATACTTTACAGCTGGACAAATGAAAAAAGACTAAAAAGCAGCTGTGGGATCATTTATCCTATATCAGAATCTAGCACAATAACATAGAAATGGAAAAAAACAGTCATTTTAACAGAACACAAGTTTTCAAAACGTAACATTACAATCTCAAAACCAAACTTAAATTAATGGCCCGATATTTTATTTATTATGCCCCCCCCCCCCCCCCCCCCCCCAGTATTTAAGGGAAAACACGTTAGTTTACTCTGTTTATGGAGTGAAAGAAAAGGCAAAATGCAAAATATAAACAAAGCAGGTTCTGTTTGAACTTCAAGTAGCATTAAGAGACTGAACACACACACACACACACACACACACACACATGGTTCTTACTGATAGTGTGTGTGTAAAGCGAAGATGAAGTGAAGTTGAAACGATTACTTGAGTCATCAGAGAAGGAAAAAGAAAGCTGAAGGTTGAAATAAAGAAATCAGCCTTGAGACAGAATAAAAGATATTTTGATAATTTATACTTGTTAAATGTTTAACGGGAGTTTACTCTGGTTTAAAAAGAGAAATGATCAAAATCCTAAGCATTACTGAGTGACAAATCAATAAAAGCATGATTGTTTATACAGATGTAGATGCTGTGGGGTTAGGTGTGTAACAATGTTTTGTATTTACCCTGTAAATAGTAAAGCACATCCATGAACCAAAGAAACATAATATAAATGTTTTCATCACTAATTGGACTGAATTTGAACATCAGACGGTGTTTTTCTGACATGAACTCCATTAAAAGCGAACGCTAAACAAGACACAGCCATGTAAACAAAACATGAATAAAGGCCACATCTGATGTGACTTAAGCTGTGTGTATTATTCTGATATTAGTAGCCTCACATGTTTATACTTTACTCCCACTATTACGCCCTACTGCAGCTCTGGTGGCTTCTGACGGCACAAAGTAAAGCTTAAAGCAGTCAGGGCCGAACAGGGAGATGTGTGAGTGAAGAAGAAACTCAAACTGTAAGAAGTTGTTTCCTTAATGTGTTAAACTCCACAGAGACACAATGTCAGGCCTGATTAATGTCGCTGATCAGATTTTGTAAACAAATATGAATAAATAAATCATGTGCAGGTCGTAAAATTTTGACAATGTGATTATTTTCCTTTCTAAAATGAGGTTGTTTTTCCACATTACTGCTGTGCAGCGTCGCTCTTGGTGGCTCCCAAAGTAATAAGTTAATTATTAATGACTTCTGCTCGGTTTGTTTAACTTTGCACACCAGTTTGGGTTATTTTCAGCATTCTGAGCTTTTAATTTCATCAGTTATTCTTTTTGTTTACCCGTTTTCTTCTGTTTTAGAAACAACGACACTAGGAAGTGGAGAAAATGTCCAACATGCATGAGTCTAAATGTTAATTATGCAATCTCAGCTAAACCCATTTAGGCTGGACACTTACGCCAGTTTGGTGACTCAACATGTAGCTGCTGAGCAAATCAGGATAACCGTAACCACTGGCTGACAGCTCAGAGCAGGCTCTGTTCAGATCTGAATTTAAACGCCACCGTCATCAAAAGCTGGTGACTACAGCAGGAACCGTCAACGTCCGGACGTTTCGCACCCTGAATTTAGTTTTCATCTAACAAAAACATGAACGGACTTCATAAAGTCTGAGCAAACATGGAGGATGAAGACAGATGATTAGCATTAGGTGATAGGTGTTGTGTCACTGAGGCCAGGCCCAGAAATGGTATTAATAACTTGGATCACAACAAGAAAAATGACAACAGTTTAAAAGAGACTATCTTTAAGGCTGGAGTGACACATCTGGTGTAGCAGCAGCCTTAAACAGACTTTTTCACACGACACGAGAGCTAGTTTGTCACAGGAAAAGGCTCAAGCCTCTGCTCTCTGACACAGGCATAAACACGGCCCGTTTTTTTATTCCCACCCAAACGTTTTTGATAACATAGAGGAAGTAAAGCTCTATCCGCTTTTCTGTTTCTGCTCTTGTCAGACCGCTTTCCTTTATAGTTCAAGTGACATTTTCCTGTTTTGCAAACGGCCTCTGGACTTCAAGATTCCCTGTTAAAAGCAGGAAAAAAAATGAGACGGAAAAAGTATAGTCTACTTGGCAGATAGTTCGGGGGATTTAATGTTGTTGACTCTGCATTTTTTGTTTTCTTTTTTTATTAGACCACAGCGCAGAAGGTTCACACAACTCGTGACAGTTTTTTTTCTTTCTTCCCAGAGCACTGGTGTGACTTTACAACTCCAACACTAAATTTATTTACACGTACAATACACAAGAGCTGTAAACAACAGAAATGTAACCGGTCAATAGGGTCAGTTTGAGCTGATTGTAAGTTTAGAGACGCACCCCAAAATCAAATCAGTTGATTGGCCGTTGATCTGAAATTTGAAAGATGTATTCTGTAAAATGGGGTTAATTGCAAACTGCCAAAATTTGTATCAGCAGGTCAGAGCTGCATTATCAAAAAATTAAACAAAGCAAATATGGATGATTCTCTAATGATGTTACCCTTTAAATAAATGTGGTCATTTGTCTGCATTCCTATAAATTAATTTAAAACCAGTGAATTTAGAGCACCCAGTAGACCTGCTTGTGCTGTAAATCCAATCAATGAACATTTTCTAGTTGTAACACATTTTAACAGTGATTCTGTGTTTGTTGGCGTTCTAAATAACATTAACTTTTCATGCTCAGTTAGTCAGGAATTAGAAGAAAGTTCAGGTAAAAATGCTTCAGGTGTAGGAAAATTCAAATGATAACGTCCAGCTGATGTATTGCGTACGTTATTGATCGCCATGTTCGTGAAAACTCAGACTCGTGTGTAGATATTGCATAACTCCTTTTAGGGAACTGGTTAAGCACACATCAAGCAGGTATGCTGGATTTATAAAATACTTAATCTAATTAAGTTTTTAATATAATCTAGGTTTAGTGAGGACTATAATATAGACATGAAAATAACCCAGAGACCTGAATTAACAGGCGCACATGTAAAGGTTTATGCAGAAGTTTTAGGGACATACCTGCTCATGTTGTAGACTCCTCACAGCAACAACAGAAAGTGACAAACAACAGAGAAAAGCGTTTCTGGTTATTCTACTCAAACCTGTTCCTCCAGATCTAAACTAATGCTGAACAAAGTGACGTCTTTTCTTATTCTCATCACGTTCACCTCGTATTTTTTATTGCCTTTTTTTTACTCTCTGGTCAACTTTATGCTTACCTTTATAAGAAAACCTTACAAGAAATTTGTTTAATTTGTTTTTATTTCAATAGGTAAATAAACCGAGAACCAGTGTTCAAAAACAAGCTGACCAATGACATCATGGTGTATTTCCATTGCCTGAACCATGACCTTTTATTTCCAGATTTATAGATGACGCTAATAATCCAAAAGTATCAAAACACTGAGTGTGAACTTGACAGCTGGCTATTTATTTCCGCAATATTTAAAATAGGAGCTACTTTGTTTCCACTCCTTTGCCATGACAAAAGGTTATGTCGAAAAGAGCAATACAAAAGTCAAATATTGTAAAACAGTGCACTCACATGACAAGAAAGTATCACCTGAGAAACAGGTGATGTTCAGCTGAAAGAGACATATTAACCAAAACACCTGAGCCTGAAAATAACACACCCACGTTAGCAAAAGTTATGCCCTTAACAATAATCAAAACGTCATAAATAAGTTTAAACAGAGGAAAAATAAAACTTTATGAAGTTTTCTTACATTGTCCAAAAAGTTGTAGTAGCTCCCCAGCTCTAATAAAGGAAATAGATCCTCTGGGCAACTTGTTCACCTAGCTAACGTGCTGTTAGCTTGCTAGTTTTGTTAGTTCCGCTTCCCTGTCAACCCCCTAACGACAACACCCAAACTTTGATGGGAGGACAACGTTAAGAGATACTTATCAGGTCTGTTAATACTTACTGTTAACCTTCCTTGTGAAAAGACCGAACTCGCAACTCCTCCTTTCGCCACGGTATGTAAACTTGGCACTGGTTTGACCAGAATTCCTCCACTGAGTTCGTCGTCTGGGGACTTGAAAGTATGTCGGTTGGTGCATTCATTTACCCTCGGAAATATAGCTTTCTTCAAGGTGAGACGCTTCAGAAGTTCTTAAAAGTAATAAAAACACGTTTAAAATAGTTCAGAAGCTAACTGTGATAATTATAAATCTTTTTTGCGTTCAAAAATTTCACATTATTTTCACTACATCAAAATTCAGTCATATTTGTTTTTTAATAGCTTGTTTATATCTGAAGGTATTTAGTTTTAGCTCTTTAAAAAGAGGAATGAAAATCATATTAAATTCGTTTATTTATAGGAACAAACACTGTATTTAACCAGACTGTGTAAAACTTTTGGTAGTTATGTTTCTTGTGCTTTGGGTGATCTAAAACCAAAACGACGAGTACTTGAATGCAGCACAGGATGGTGCTGTCATAGGACTCCAGAGAGGAGAAAAAAAGAGCACTGCTCAAGTTCCCCACATGAGTGCAGCATTTACCCTTCACCCAGACCCCCCCCCCCCCCCCCCATATTTTACATGAAGACAGAACGCCAGATACATTTTTCTCCATAGAGCTTCTAAGCGATGCTCTGAAATCTGAGCCTCTAGCAATGAATCTGCTGTGTAATTCCCAAGTTTTATGCTTTAAACCACAAAAGCCTTTTCAAGGTGACTCCAAAGATACTAGGCAATGAGCCAACCAACATATCAGCTGACAGTGTCTAAAAGGCAAGTGTTTCTATCTCCGTTTCCAAACAACTAAACACCAGCCAGCCAGATGAAAAGTCCATGTGTTGCTACAGATTTGCACAAATGATGCAGCAAAGTTACCCAGACCAAAGGGCCCTCAGTGCCTGCATGATGACTGGCTCTCTCCGCCCATGTAACTTTTATAGAGTCTACATAGCATGCATTATTCAGCAATAACACATAAGCCATCTGGACTTCTCTCTCTCTCTCTCTCTCTCTCTCTCTCTCTCTCTCTCTCTCTCTCTCTCTCTCTCTCTCTCTCTCTCTCTCTCTCTCTCTCTCTCTGTGTGTGTGTTTGCATGCATGTGTTTCTATGGATCAGTGAATGCTCCGTAGATAAGTCCCCTGCTGCCATAATTTCACGCCACATCCAACAGCTCTTGGAGAGCTAAAAATTAGTATTTTCTCTGTAATTACAGCTAAGGTATAATATGTCAGAGGATGTGTGAGTGAGACAGGAAAGGGATGGAGGGAGAAAGTAAAGTGGTGAATGAAAGAATAGAGATAGAACATGTATTAGAAAATTTCAGGATCAAGCTCTTTTACAATGCCGTTCCTCATTAGTAGAGTGGGAGTGCTGTCCTAATTCCATAATTCCTAAATCATGCCTGTTAGTTGAATGTGAGGAGACAAAGGTAGGGGGGGGGGGGGGGGGGGGAAGGAGAATGGATTAGCCTACAGCCTAATGATGTGTCTGAGAGAAATGGGAAGAAACAGAGGATAAAATGAAGAGACAGATAGAAACAAAGAGGAAAAGAATGGAGAGAGGTTGCCATCTGCATTTCCTGGCTTTGTCTTTTGGGTGCTGCCAAAACCAACATCATATAGGCCAGATTTATTCTTGCCAATTTTTTCCCCACGTGTATGCCAGCTAATGAAAAGCGCTAAAATAATCAAGTGCTTAATTAGATCTGGAGTAGGGGAACAGAGATATAGCTGCGTGTGTGTCAGTGACTTAGTCCAGACCACTTTCTCATGATTTTAACCAGCACATCTGTTAATTCCTGGCTCTGCCCCAGTTGTTTCACTCATCCATCTTTCCTCTCACCAGGATCCAGACATGGGAACGTTTCGAAGCCTTGCTTGATCGAGCTTAATTTTACATTGAGCTAATTCCGCCGGTACCTGATACTTGTCAGGACAAAGAATCGGCTGACCAAGCGTGCATCTAAATATTCAGAGATAATTTTATGCCCTCGTCTCCTTTTCACTGGAATCCACTCTTTCTCCGTTTGAATTGAGCTCTCCTATGAAGCAATTTGTTTGAAACTAGAGACATCAATAGCCATTAGCCTGCTTTGCGCAGGAGGGCCAAACGTGGCAAGCCAAGGCTCATTTATTATTCATGCACCTCAGTTTTACCCCCAAAACAACATTTCTTATATTCGTTTTATTTTTGCATCATGCTGCCAAATCTGACAAGTCAGTAGTTTCAAATAACGCTTTTAAAGCAAAGCTGATAAATGTTTCAAGCTACCACTAGCTTGTGCGAGGGAAAAATGCCAATTGTGTCTCGCAGTTTTTTTTCTGGACTGGTGAAAACCCGTGAAGGTTAGAAAAGGAGGGAATCTTTGCAATTAAAAATTTAAAATGTTATGCCGGCTGCAGCAAAAAGAGATTGTGTGTGTGTGTGTGTGTGTGTGTGTGTGTGTGTGATTTCAGTTTGACAGGCTGTTTAAATAGTTGTTTGTAAAAATGTTTCTTGCACAGCAAATTACACTGACAAGAAGCAAAAATTAGAATTATATTTCAAAACAGCAAATTTACACGTATTGATATGATGAATGTTAAAATAAACCGCTGCTGACAGCTAGTTCGACTACATACTTCATAAAAAGCAGAATAAATCCTGAAATGTGGCATCCTGGTTCAATATGTTGTGGTTATTTGTCTCTCTGGCGAAGTTGATGCCCCGATCAGGTGCTCGTTTCTTTCTTTTCTTTTTTTTTTCTTCAAAACTTTTATTAGATAAATCTGGTGAAATAGCAGGGAAAAGTGGGGGTGACATGCAGTAAATGGTTTGGGCTGGAATCAAGCTCCAGCCCGATGTGGGAGGACTCAGCAGCTCTACGTGGGGTGCATACTCTACAAGGTGAGCTGCAGAGGCGCCCCACAGTTATGATTTTCACTTTTTCTCTGAAGCCAAAGAAAGAAACCGGAGAACTCAGAGGATCAAGCAAATGCAGCGGCAGTGCTGCAGGATAAGGGACATAAAAGTTTTGAAAAAGTGGATCCAAGACAAAGTTTTGGCCAAAGAATCTTATTACTTTTTATTTATAGAGGCCACAAATAAAGGCCTCATTCATAAGTAAGGGCCAAAGCGGCAAGGACAAAGACCACAAGCTATAGGTCTATCTGGCATTCTTTCACAGTCCGGGTATTCCCAGTACATTCAGAAATGTGATTAGTGCTCCAACATTCTTCGTTTTCCTCTTGTCCAACAAGGATATTAGCCGCTCAAGCTGCGGTTAACAGCTGACCTCTTCTTTCCACCGGCTGCGAAAGCAACGTGTAACGGTTCTGACGTGAAACGGGAGCAAAAGCCTTCCGCACAGCTGATCCCATGAGGTGACAAAATGAAGAAAAAAGCAAGCAAGGAAAAAGACAGCTGCATGTATCCAAAAAGGTCTGTGGTTCTTTTTCGGTTACAGAAGTTTCGCAACAAATGACATACTGCACATGACTTTTATTTGGAAAGTTTCCACACGTTTTACACTGATTTTGGGTTTGACTTCCTGTCTGGCCAAACTGCAGAGACTGATGTGTTTTGGATGCGTAGCTTTCAAAAACATAAACTTGAAACGTAACAATGGCGTCCCTTCGCTTCTGGGATGCATCCAGAACGTTACTCTTAGCTGCCGGTGGAAAGGAGTCCGTCCACCATAACACCAGCAAACTGTCGCTTAGTATGCTTCATGCCGCTGTCGCGTCCAGTGGAAAGAAGAGATTAGACTATTATAATTAGTCGTTCAGGCTAATGTTAGCAGCAGCTCAGCCCAGCGATGTTGTGTGGTTAGCATCACCGTGACCAACGTTTATGTAATGCTGATGCTGAAGTGTGATGGGACATGCTAATTTAAGGAGACGAGCTACACCAGCCTTTCTCGGAATTAACCGTTTCTCAGCCACCATTCCAACATCACTGATTTATGGGCCATTCCCATCTGTACCGGGTCGGCCCGGGCCGGGTAGCGTAGGTTGTTTACACATCTGGGTGGCCTGGTATTTTTCCGGGCCAACCAAGGCTCATTCTCAGCCCTCTTCTCGAGGGGGTCTGCTTCAGGCCGACCAGGGCCAACACACCCACTGCTGACAGCAAATTCACATTCCATTAGAGCAAGCCTCTGATTGGTGGGTAGAATCAGCCCACATGGGCTTAAGGCAAGGATGTGTGGAATCAACCGGGCCAGGCTGGGGCCGACCCGGTACAGATGGGAATGGCCCAATACATATGGAGGCAGTTCCGAGACTGCACAGGCTCTTTGCTACACACTACAAGCTGCCTATATTCGACAATAACAAAGTAAATGTGGTTTTATATTCTACCGACCCTTTAAAATCTCTGTAAAAAAGTTTTCTGTTAGTTTTGCAAATTGCCTGAAACCACTTTTCTTTTCTTATTTTGTGGCGTTTTCACTCAGAAATGTATGCAAAAACAAATTATTTTAAAGACAACTTTAGATAAATAAAACTTGCCACTTTTTTGGCACCTACTATGCACGAGTTGTCTGAAGCAGATTAATAAAACACTTTTAAGTAATGTTTTTTTTATTCTTGCTATAAAATAAATGTAGTGTCATCAAAGATACAACATATCAATTAAAAATGGGTGTGAAATAACTGACCACAGAAACACTCCAAAAAAAAAATCATGATTTCATAATTAAACCTCATGACAGCATTTGAAGACATGCTCTTTGTTAGTTCTCATCATCAGTGGGTCACCAGGCAGGAAATCTGATGGAAACAAGAGAGGAAAGGCTATCAAGCTTTATGGGCTCCACGTTGTCAGCAGTTCAGATTAGCTGTCACATCACCGAGGGAGAAACAGCTGAAGATGGGAGAGGGTGATTTCTTCTGAATAATTTCATGCATTGACTGGCAGAGCTCAATGATCTCCATCTCATATATGATGTCAGAGGGAGACGGAGAGCAAATAAAGCCCCAGATGCAGTCTAATACATAAATACAATCACCTGCCCTTTTGGGAAAATTAAAAGAAAACATAAAAGAAGAGTTAATTCAGGTTTCCGGTGAAGAAAATCCACTCAATCAGGTTGCTTTTGAGTAGACAAAAAGACAATCTTTATTTGTGTGTTTCTCTCTTTGCTCTGACTTCTGCATTTGACTGATTTTTAATGGCTGAGGTCAGCTTCCACTAAAAACACCACGGACAGAAAAGGAGACAAACTTGTACATGACGCTCAGACCTGGAGGCATCCTACCACTACCAACCATGGATCACAAACCAGAGAAGGAGAAGAAGAAGAACAATGCAAGGACGACATAAGTGGAACAGAAGAAGAGAAGACACATTATTTTAATCCTCCTCAGGCTATAACCCATCACTGCATCCCACAAAGGAGTAATTAACAGTGATTTTAAATGCTACAAAAATAAGATGAAACAGGGAAGAGAAGCACTTCCCCTTGTTTGTGTTTTCTCCTGTGTGTGCATGTGTGTGTGTGTGTGTGTGTGTGTGTGTGTGTGCATGTGTGTGTGTGTGTGTGTGTGTGTGTGTGTGTGTGTGTTTCCATGCCATGTTTTTGTAACTGTCTACATCTGTATTTCTACATACACCGGTAAGTGTGGCTATCTGTACATTGATCTGTGTGTGTGTGTGTTTGTTCACAGTGCTAACTCTTCATGTTTACTTCCCATCATGTGAAGGAGTGCCTTGATACACACCCTCCCTTCACCTCCACCCTCTCCCAGTTCCTTGTGCTGTTCCTCCAGGAATCCACTACTGCTTCCAGCAACATTCTAAGAGTGCATGTGTATATGTCTGTGTGCCTATGTGTGTTTCCTGTGATGCTACCCCCCAAACACACACACCTAGCTTTATTTGCCATGGTCTTTAACCCTCAGACCCGGGACCAGGGCGTCACTGTTTATGTCCGTCGCGGTCCTTGTTGGACTCTGAGGGCTGATCTTCAGTCAGTTTCAACCCGCGGGTCCATTTTTCTTTCCGGCCCGAGCTAATCCATCAACGACTGAAAGCCCAGACAGGAGAAAACGGTGTGAAGAAGGAGTTTGAATTTTTCCTTTGATGTTTGAAAAAGTCTCTGGGTGAGCAAGAGCGAACGGGGTGATTCCCGATTTTTTTCCCATGAAAAAATATATATCATCATTAGAAACAAGTTTGATCTGTAGGATTCACAGTGGTCATGCAACATGAGCGTCGCCTCCTTTTCTCACCTGCACCCCCCCTTCACCCCTTCCATCCCACCAGATCTCAGACCTGTTCATTCATCCTGCCAGTCCGAGAGAAGGTTCTGTGAGTGACCACAGTCAACAGAAAGACAACGAGGTGGGTGGCCAGTGGTACATTCATACAAGAGAGCCACGATTCCAAAAGTCACCCGACCCGGACGACATAGTGCTGGAGACGCCTGTGCAGACCAGGCCGTGATAAATGCTTTGTTTAGAAACATGAATAAGACAAAAACACACCCCACCCCATAATCGACATCTCAACAAACCCACCCAAAACACCCCCACCACCTGCTCCCTCCTTACCACTGAAACAGGCTATGGTTTTACTTGTCACTGCTTTGTGACATCGTTTTTTAAATAAAACAATGATTTTTATATGAAATTCCTCTGAATCTACATTGAAAACATCAACACTTGCAGTATTACATTTCCTAATTTGGTTATTTAACTTTGTGCTCTCGTTGTTTGTTTTATTTCCCCCTCTCTCCTCCTCTCAGTGCATTTGCTCTTATCCTCATTGCAGCTGGAAATGGTCCACGTTGTATAGAATTCCAATTACAATGCGAGCGTGACCACTTCCAATTCGTGGTTTTAAAGGAACGGATGGCAATGTGAGCAAAATCCAATTTTTGTGCATTCAGGCCTATCGCCTAATGCGTCCCTCTGTGATTGGATGATAGGGACTGCTCTGGGACGACAAGTTTAATCATAGCCATGGTTACATCTACCCCTGCAGTGGCAAAGAGTCAATAGTTAAATCAAAAAAGACCCCCTGATATGAGTGCCGAGACTTTTCTCTTGTGTTTTCAGCCGAGAGGTGATGTTCCACCTAGAAGTCAAATATTAAAGATGAAGGGCATCTTCCCAGACAGGGTATTCCCACCTGAACCCCTCACAGCCATGCCTGGGAAGGGTGTCCGTGGCTGGGCCAGGAAAGGGGCTGGCAGTGGAGGGGTGGTAGGTAGTCGTATTGAAGTGAAGGTGGGAAGGATAAGGAGGGGCGAAGGGAGGCGGAGATAGAGGGCTTCCCTGAGGGGTGGTGGAGTTTAGAGGGACAGCCAGCCAAGCCCATCACCCTGGTTTGGGAGCTCCAGGAAGAGGAGGGAGACGTGTCACTGCCAGAAGAAGAGTCCAAGGAACGTCGAGGCCAGAGCTGCTACCAGAACCGCACTCCCCGCCCTGGAATTCGGACTGTCATCAGTCAGGAATGGCTCTGGAGAATCATATCCCGACCCATCTGAAACAGAAAGACGAGAAAAGGAAAAAAATACGACAAAACCTCTGAACCGAGAAGGTTACAGACAGACGCAAAGACACGACGGTCTAAAGAAAAAAAGCTAAATTATGGATTTAGTGGAAGACAAATGGCAGACAAAAGGATGTGTCGGTGTGTGGGGAAACGCTGAAAGTGAGTGACAAACCACAAAACTCTTATCCTTCAACAGCTAATGAAAGGCAAAGAGAGCACGGCGGGAAAAAGAAGGGAGAAGCAGAAGACGACAGAAACAGAGCACTGCAGGGGGTTTAACCAACCTAATTACAGTTTAATCACAGAGACTCGGAATCTGGAGTAGCTGACACACACACACACACACACACACACACACACACACACACACACACACACACACACACACACACACACACATGCAAGCACGCACGCACGCACGCACACACACACACACAGTGACAGCATTTCATAGATGACAGTTGTAATGTCAGACAGATTACTTTAACTGCACAAAAAATGGAATTTAATAATGAGCAGATGCGACGACAGAATAGGAGAACGTATGCTGTTTTAGTAATTATGGAGGAAGAGGGAGTTTGATATGGAATGATCCATGTACGGAAAGCTGGAGGACAATGGCTGACATTCTTTTGTGAAGATCTTCAAAGCTGTGCGACTATCTGGGGAAATGGGTTGGTTACTACCCAGGTTTGATTCTTTAATCTGAAAACTCACGAGGTCAAATCAGAACACAGGTAGAGTTGTATTCCTTTATTTTTTTTACGGCTGTCAGATTCTGATCCTTGCGCATGTCAGGCTCCCTTTGAGTTATTTTTAAAAGACCGTGTCACATGCCAACATGGAGCTCTCATAAGCACCTAGAAGCCATTCCGAAAAGAGGAAGCTGAAAAATTCAGGGGGAAAAAATATTTCACTTCCTCATCATTTGCTTTGATTTTTAAGAAAATAAAAGCCTGACACATGTGGGAGTAGAATATCAAATCTAAATGTGTTCAATACGTTAAATCAGAGCTATCGGGTGTCACGTCTTGGGTTTTGTAATATTTTTATAGAGAGCACTTTCAGCCTGCTCTGTTATCTTTTCACAAGGACAGAAGGTCTCTCTCACACCCACTGTGATGTGATGTGATGTGAAGTGCGTATGCCACTTAGTGCCTTTGTACATGCTTCTCCATGTCTAGCTCTGTGTGTGTCTGCACCCGTGCAGATTCCCGCGTGCTTGTGAATGCGTCAGAATATGTGTTTTCAGTGTGTGTGTGTGTGTTAAAATGTCAGCAGGGCTGGTCTGTGAATCAGAGCAGCGAGTGTTGCCTGGGCATTCTATCAGACCTCTTATTGCCCCTAATTTTACTTTGATAGGCAATCTGGACCTTCTGTGTAGATGTTCTTGTGTGTGTGTGTGTGTGTGTGTGTGTGTGTGTGTGTGTAGTCAGAGCGTGACATACCTGGAGGTCTGACATACACCTTCAGCTTTAGACATGCCCGCCCCACATGGTTTGGATGAGGAGACGCTGTAAACAGAGAAATTGAAAGAGAAGATTTCTTCAGAGATTAAATGGTTGGTGCTCCTAATTGCATATTTGGGTAAAAATAAAGAAATAATATTTGACTGCTTTTCCGATTTGGGGAGTTATCAGATCACAGGATGGACAATGCAGGCTTTGACGGGTCATCAACTCCCCAAAAAGGAGGTGACACCACTAATAAGCTCTTTATTTGTAATATGCACCATTTCACATTTAAATAACTCCAATAAAAGCAGATTTATTTTGTAATATTCACAATGATAAAAGGAGATATGATGCAGCGAGGCTCATCTGGAGGTTTCCTTTTGGTGGGACAGAATTTACCATTACAGGAAAGGTTAGCTTTTACACTTTTACTATCTTTTTATTCCTCTGGCTCCTTTTTCACACCAGATTTACCAACATCTGATACAAACTCAAGATGGACATATAGTTGGCACAAAAGTTACAGAGAGAAAGTAAAAAAAACTGAGAGTGAGCTGCAGGTGTTAAGGGATGAAGAACAAAGGCTCCTCAGGTCCGTGATTTTTATTGTCGTCAAATGAATGTGTGCTTTCTCTCTCTCCAACTGCACAAACACACCCACATACACTCAGTACAGATGAAGATGGGAAAGGAGCACTGACAAAAACAAAAAGAAGACAAGCATGCCTAAAACACATCCAAGTAGCCCAAACCACCACGGCTGGCCCCTCTTTTTGTGGAGGAGCAGCAGCTTTACTCCGAGTCCCTCTTAGATGTTCAAAGTACTCCACCCTTTCTCTAAGAAAACTTATAAAATCTCTTTTTGTGTGCTTGTGTTCACAATTTTGCTTTTTCAGACATTACTCAAAGCTCAGGACTACTGATGAAGGGGTGAACATGCACTGCCACAGGTTGAACCGCTCCCAATCCAAAGAATTCAATCCACTTTTCTCAGAGAACCATGCATGTGGAATCTCCTCGAGTATGTATGAAGATCTGGTCCACCGTTCCTGAGGCAGGACCTCAAAAACACTCCTCCGAAAATTAAACTGTTAATAATAATTACATTTCTGGGACAAATGTTTGTGTTCATGGGGGATTTCAGTTTATGGGACACAGAACCATCATTGCTGCTGGCCTTTTGCCTTCAATCAGTGAAAATAAAGAATAATTCAAGCCTTATCCCTTATGCACTGATGCAAAATCCAGCTAAATGCCCTTATCTTTTCACTGGGTATTCTAATTTAGTGGTGCCTCTTCTTCGACTTACAATTATTCAAATTGCCTGTTGGGTCATTTCATGCCAACTTACTTGACCCTCGTGGTTTGTGTCATGGATTTTCATGAAAAAGAAATGTAAAAACTTTCTAAAACTAATAAATATGAAGTTCATTTGACCTTCTAAATTCCCAAAGCTCCTCTCATCCCCAGTTAGCTATATTTAGAATGGCCTTCAATGTTAAATTGAATAATTTCTTGTACTTCACCACAAATTTTTCACACTCTGAAGCAACGACCTGAACTAAATAACCACAAAATGATTTGCAATAGCTGCTGCTTCATTTAAACCTGGTACAAATAAAGAATTACATTCTCAAAAAGACACATTTCACCAGTTTTTACTTGCCGCACGTACAAACAACATAAAGGTGTGCAAAGACTTACGGTTAAAATTTTCACATACACAACAATTGCTGAAAAAGCAAGAAAATTCAGCATATCATCAACGTTTTAAAAGGTAGACTTTATTTATCATTACTGCTACTTTGTTTCTCTTACAGTTTCTACCCAATCAAAGTTTATGCTCTATTCTTTTCAGATGTTTTACATCACGTGGACCTTCTGGTGATGATGTCACAGGAACCAAAGAGGGACTAAATATCCAAAAGTTCTGTGAGGGCTGGGCAGGACTACGTAAAGATATGAGATAATGAACTCTAAAGTGATGCTAGAACTGGGGCTATGTGTTCTTCTTCTAGATAAAAGGTGTGCAGATGCCTTCCGCACCGACTGGAGAGTTGGTGAGAGAGTTGGGACTAGGAGATGACAAAGTTTAAGGAATTACACTAATCAAAAGCATGAATCACTGGTGAAAAAAAATCCCTTTTAAAAACACAGTTGACCTTTGCAATTTCTCAGCTGATAGGTTTTTTTGTCATAATGAAGAAAATCAGAGGACATCCAAACTCTGACTCATTGAAAGGGGACTAATCCAAAGGGTTCAAATGAAGGCAATTGGACTTCTTTGGTTTCTTGAAGATGTTTTGCTTCTCCTCCGAGGAGCTTTGTCAATTCTAACTGGAATATGGGAGAGTCAAGCTTATAATAATCTGTAGCTGTCTATTGTTATTTAACGAGACGAAACTACTCTGGGTTCCCCGCCTCTCCGTCCCCTGATGAGTTGTTGCTCTATTGAGATGGAGTTGTGTTGATTAGATGCAGGAAGGTGTGGCCCAGACTGAAACTGCTTAGGAATGAGAATCAAAGCTGCATAATAGATACTAGAAAGGTGAAATATAAGCCCCTCCCCTATTTAATGTGGGGGTTTCATGTTTGACACAGATAGCTTCTTTTACTCCTTTCTCCAGCCCTCTTCTTTGTCCAGAATGTGGACTTTGTCATTTTTAAAAGTGTGTCCCTTGTCCTTCAGGTGTAGGTGGGCTGCAGAGTCTTGAACTGAAGAGGTGGCTCTCCTGTGTTGTGCCATGTTCTTGTGTAATTGTTGTTTAGTTTCCTCAATGTAAACATCTGGACAGTCCTCACTACATTGGACTGCATAAATGACGCCACTGAGCTTCTGTTTGGGTGTTTTTGTCTTTTGGATGGACCAGTTTCTGTCTGAAGGTGTTGTTGGGTTTAAAATTTACCTGGATGTTGTGTTTGGAGAAGTTTCTTTGAGACTCCTGCCACGTATGGGATGACGGTGCCTTTGCACCTGTTATCCTTTTCTTTGCTGGTTTGGATGCTTTTCCAGACTTCTTTGTAGAGTCCACAAAGGCCCAGTTAGGGTATCTGCAGTTTTGGAGAGCTTTCTTGATGTGCTTTTCTTCCTTGTGTTTTCCTTCAGTCGTTGTGGGAATGTTCTCAGCCCGATGGCGTAAAGTCTCGATGACTGACTTTTTGTGCTCCAGTGGGTGATGTGAGTCAAAATGCAAATACTAGTCTGTGTGAGTTGGTTTCCTGTAGACTTCAATGCTGAGACTTCCATCTTGTTCAATTTGCACAGCACAGTCCAAGAAGGGCAGTTGGTTGTTGTGTGCATCTTCCCTGGTGAACTTGGTGTTCTTGTCCACGGCATTAATGTGCTTTGTAAAGTCTTCTACTTCCTTCGTGAGAGTTTTGACCTATGCATTGTCCACATACCTGAACCAGTGGCTTGGTAATTTTCCATTGTAGGAGTTCAATGCTCTGGTTTCCACTTCCTCCATGTAAATGTTGGCGATAGGTAACACTGGGAAGCCCATGGCACATCCATGTTTTTGCCTGTAAAACTTGTCGTTATGTTTGAAGTAGGTGGGAGAAAGGCAGAGGTCCAGGAGGATACAGATCTGGTCTGGAGTCAGTTTTGTCCCCTCGTTCCAGCCGTTTCCTGACTGCTTCCACTGCTTCATCTGTGGGTATACATGTGAAGAGTTAAGTGACATCAAATGAGACAATGGTTTCCCCTGGGGCCAGTTTGAGATCTTGAACTTTCTTTACAAAATCCACCAAATTCTGTATGTGATGTTGAGTCTTTCCAGCAAGTGGGGTTTGAACCCTTTGGACCACCATGACCTGGATGACCGAGAACCTTCACCAGCATTGAGGAGGACTCCTTTTGGCTGACTTTTAGCACCCCCTAATGTCAGTTTGAAGAATAGAAACCAAAACCTATCTTGTTGCTGTGCGTTCATCATATTAACACCTTCATCTAACAGCTGAAAAGTTTCCCAGCCTTCCTTAATGCCTACAGGAGTGATTAATCACTAAATTAAACAAACCAGCTGTGTTCATGATCTAAAACATGTAGGAAACATGCTGGGATCAGACTCCAGTGCCAGCTACATCAGCTCTTTCTAAGTACCAACAGACCTGGGCAACTGTGAGGTTGCAAGTGGAATGTTCTGGCCACAGGTGGGCGATAGGGGGTGGGTGGACTTCCATTAACCATGAAAAAGACCGTTTTAGCACATACTGGCTCAAGAAAATGATTAAAAAATATGAAAAATTTGCAAAGAATCCCTTTCAGACATTCCAAAAGAGAATTTACAAAGCAAGGGTGATCACATTTAAGGGATTTATAAACATAGAGACAAACCTGAGCATAAATCTACTTAGTCTACATTTAAAAGTTTTTACTTTAACCAATATGTTTCTAATTTCTTCTGGATTCATGATTTTCTCTCAAATCCCTCCAGAATGCAGCGTGTGCACCAAGAGGTTTCCATAGAGCTCCTTTCATTCTCAGAACTGGAAGTGAAGGGTTCAAATGTCAAATTTGTGTAGATAAACAAGAAAGTTTAAATGTGATAATCACTTTTTTTAAAATTAAGAATAACACTGAGCTCCAGTGTGTCTGTGCGTAAGGGCAGGTTACCACGGTGACCTTAATGAGGCACTGGGAGCAGTTTTAACATTACTTTTGATCTTGTTTATTGTTATTCTTTCTGTGCAATTTTGACATAAAAATATGAAATGTTGTCTTAGCTTTGATCATCATTGTATTAGGTTTTATATCACGTCAGGATGTAAAGAAGACATTTGTGTATATGATGAAATTTAGAAGTAAGAACCTTAACACCCTTCCAAATGTCTTCAGCTACTACTTTTAACTTAATTATGCCCAATTATTATTATACACAATATAGATAACACAAGTATTTTTATGCTACATTATTTTGTATGTTTTTCTCTCTCTATCTCTTTTTGATAACTGCTTTAGGCAAACACCAGTTTTCCAGGGCAACCTCTGCTACATCTGAATGTTTGACCAGATTGGTACCAATCATCATTTGGTAACGAGGTGAATCTCAGTTATAAAC